AACAGAAGAAACATTTCCAGTTACATGTGACGCCCAAACGCACCAATAGCTACCGCATGGAATGCAGGTGATGCTTGGGATCATCATGGGGGTCCAACCCAAGATTTGCACGACTCTGACTTTGAATGTTACAGTCATTGTGGCATTGAATTCCAGGGTGGAAACATCAGTTTAATTGTTTTAGTGACCAGAAAACAAATTTTGATATGCGTCGGCTTACCCAAAATGAAAGGTTACGTGCCCTTGGCATGCTACAGATCGGCACAACACAGGCGGTTGTGGCGCGGACGATGAATGTTTCTCAGTCTGTCATACGCAGGCTATGGTCCAGATACCGTGATACACAATCTGTACAGGACAGACCACGCTCAGGTCGACCAAGGGCGACAACTCAAGCCCAGGATCGATTTATCCGTACCTTGGCCTTGAGAAATCGTGTCATCACAGCAAATCAGATCAGCGCTCGTCTTCAAACAGACACTGGTGTGAGAGTGAGTGGCCAGACGATTCGGAATCGACTGCATAGGGGTCACCTTCGCGCCCGACGTCCTCGCGTGATCCCTTGTTTGAGAGATCATCACATTCAGGCAAGACGTCGTTGGTGTAGGGATCGTCAACACTGGGATAATCGACGCTGGAGCAATGTGATGTTTTCAGATGAGTCAAGGTTCACTGTTGATTTTTTGGACAGACGTAGGAGGGTGTGGCGTCGTCGAAACGAGCGCTTCCAAGACGTTAACGTCATCAGACATGATCGATTTGGGGGTGGTTCTGTTATGGTGTGGGGAGGCATCACTGTTGCTGGAAGAACGGCTTTACATGTTGTTGCCGGGCGTGTTACAGGCCAGTACTACCGGGACAACATCTTGGCAGTCCATGTTGTGCCGTTCGCACGACGTCATGGCCGCCGTTTCATCTTCCAGGATGACAACGCAAGATGTCACAGGGCCAGGATCGTTACAGGTTACCTCCAACAACAGAACATCACCACAGTACCTTGGCCAGCACTGAGTCCCGACCTCTCCCCCATCGAGCATGTCTGGGACATGCTTGGACAGAGGTTACGTCAACGTCAACAACGTCCTGCCAATGTCCAAGAACTTGCTGCTGCGTTGCAACAGGAATGGGACAATCTGGACCAAAATGACCTTAGACGTCTCATTAGGAGTATGCCACGTCGGATCAATGCTTGTTTGGCAAACAGAGGAGGATTTACCCGTTACTGACTTGGTTGTGATGCTGTGGTAACTTTGCTGTTTGACCCCGGGTATCATTTTACCCTTATAATGGTCAGTCTGTGCCTTACTTAGTCTAACGATCATTTGGAATAAATCGATGAATGTGAACTTCATTTCATTTTGTCATTTGTTTCTTCGTCAGTTTCATTAGGTGACTTTAATAACACTTAAAAATCAAATATCCCCTACTTTTTTGGAATAGTATATATCGAATTCCAACTGCCAAGGGTTCTTTAACATGCACACCAACGTGGACACAAGACCTCAGTGTTTCATCCCATCCAATCAACTATACGTTGTCCTTTGCCAGGATCTTGTCCTGCACCACTGACAAGGTAGCCAACTTCAAAGGATGACGTCAATGATATCCATGACAACACGGGAGACCAATATGTCTGCCATGTTGAATAAATAATGTACTATTAGCCAAGCGTGATGTTGACGATAGTGTATACTAACCTGCTTCCCAGGTGGCTCGGAATCCACTTCCACGTTGTGAAGCATCTGATTTAAACATGATCCAGATGACGTTACTGGAACTGGAGAGAACAGACGGTATATTCGTTCCACAGTATTTACCAATAACAGGTGAAGTCTGTTCATCACCATCTCGAACCTGGTTCAAACATAACAAAACCAAGATAAAACGAAATAACGCCATACTTTTCTGCATCGACTGGGCTAATGAAGATAGCCATACAGGGATATATTTTCCTCTACACCAGTTTTCTATAAATTAGCATATAGTTTAACATCCTAATTTTCTGCATCAACTGGGCTATTGAAGATGGCCATACAGTTTTCTATAAAGAGAGAGAGAGAGAAATGGGGTTTAACGTCCACTCGATACAAACCAGGTCATTTCGGGACTAACATATGGTTTGTTTTTTTTAATTTTATTTACATAATTCGCTTGCGGTAGGGGTCTTTAGCAGTGGGAGGAAACCGGAGGACCCGGAGAAACCCCACGAGGTTGGACAGGCGACCCTACTCCTTGTCACGTACAACCGGGGATTCGAAACCACGCCAGTCGACTCAATGACAGACTTTATGATACAGCGCGCGCACGCTAACCATTCAGCCATCCAACCCCCCCAGTTTCGATTCCCCGGTTGTACGTGACGAGGTGTCGGGTCGCCTGTCCAACCTCTCGGGTTTCCTCTGGGTACTTTGGTTTCCTCCTACTGCTAAAGACCCCTACGCGCAAGCGAATTATTGAAATAAAATTGAACCATATGTTAGTCCCGAAATGGCCTAGTTTGTGTCGACTGGACGTTAAATCCTATTTCTCTCTCTCCATAAATTAACAGAAAATGTTTTCCGGATTTTTCATGACTAGAGGAATCAAGGATTAGCAGTGAAAGGACCAGGAGAAAACTCACCAGGTTGGACATGAAACCCCACTCCTTATCACGTACAAGTAGTGGGATATATGAAACAATGCCACTTGTCTGAATGTCAGGCCTTATGATATAAAGTACGAGCGTTATACCATTTGTCCACAAAAGTTGTCTTGGGTAATATATTTGTTAATTCGCCTCTTTCAGACAAATAAAAATAAATATGAAACAAACCTCGACAAAATCATATCGACATGAAGCTTGACTTTCGAGATCCATGTTCGTAAATGTCAGGCTGATCGTGTCTCCAGGCGTAACTCGGATTGTCCAGACACACTGTGCATTATGATTATATGCGTTCGGATAATTAGGCGAGATAACTATTCCCTGGTCTCCTGTTAATTCACCACCACACTGGGCTCCCGCTACAAAATAAATTATGTCATACGTCATTTCCTTTATTTTAAATGAATGGAAGGTCGCAACGTGTGTCATACGAGAGGCCTTTGACCCTATGACGTTGGACATTTGATTAACCAAACAGTATTGATGTTTCTAGTTGATTACCCACAGTTCTGTGCACCTCACGCCAAATACCAACAGTAAATAATGTCCCGGCTTGGATTCAATCGGATTAAAAAGAGGCACGTCAAAGATTTTTCACAGATTTTTTAACAATTTCTGGCCTTTAAAAGTTTCAGATTTCACAATAGTTTGCAAGGAACAAAATTGCCCAACTGACGGTTCTGCCGCCTTTACCGCACTCCGCTGTCACGTTATGATTAACTGATGAATGGATCTATGATATGATAGAACCGTACCTGCAATAGCAGTATACATGATATGGAAGCCGCGATCATTGACACTAATAGAACCATACCTGCAATAGCAGCATACGTGATATGGAAGCCTCGATCATTGAGACTTCTATCTGAATGGAATGTAACGAGAGCGTAGGGACCGGATGTGGTAACCGGAGCAGGATTCGTTGTACTACAATATTTCGCTAAAACATCTGAGGTATCCAATTCTCCATCTTGTATCTATAATAGACATTATAACATATCATTCATTTACTCAAGGGCCATTCACACAACTGAACAATACAGAAGTGAACACGGGCCATAACTCTGGAACTCTATTTAAAAAATGGATCTTCATTTCACTAATCTGAACAATAAGCATAAATTTCAAACAGATCAGATGACAAATTCTGTCATAAGAGCATTGACAAGACTCTTCAAAGTAAGCAATGGCGATAACTCCAAATATAACGAAATGGAGGTACTGAAAAATTATGACCGAACAACCTGGTCATCAATTAGAAGAACCAACACCCCATGATATGCACGAGAAAGATTGACAAACAATGGGCGCTGTCTTCTTTAACACCCCGCTATAACTGCCTCACAGTGCAACGTACCACGTGTAACCTAATTTATTCCTCATTTATTCCTATAAATTTCAAACGAAATACTGTTCTGTTCTGACTGGACTAATGAAGATAGCCATACAGTGTGCTTTGACGGACATTTTGCCTGGACAGTGGCGGTATGGTCTAATCATATATCGAATTGTAACTGACAATATTTCTTTTATGTGCATGCCAATGTATACACGGAACCTTGGTTTCCCATTCCATCCGAACGACTATGCTCTCCCTTGCCAGGCCCTCTGCCCCATCCTAACCCACTCGGCAAACCTCGGCAGATTCCGTTACTCATGCCTCTGCTGTATGACGGTAAGTGATATGTACCTACGCCTATACAATTGCGATGCGGCACCGGTTTACTTATTAGGAAAACTTGCCGCTTTTAAAAAGAAGTTATCAAAATTGCGTCGTTCGATGCGTGTGTAGAATTTCAGTGCAATTGGTAATCCGGGAACTTGAAAGTAGTTCCAATGGCGGACTTCGTCATACAGCCGAGGCTAGATGTAGGGTACTGGAATCTGCTGAGGTTTGCCGAGTGATCCTAACCCATGTGATCATGTGATCAGGAAGTTATAATTCAATATGGCTGATTTCTGCCTACCTGTAAATAATCGTAACTACAGTTTTGATGATGCTCTAGGGCTAAAGCTGCAAACGTGAAGATTATCTTCTTCCCCGGTGAAACCAGAACCGTCCATATACAATCACGATTATGTGGATAGTTACCAGGGTAACCAGGGCTGTTGATGTCGCCATGGTCACTACCAGCCAGACGGCCACCACATACTATAAAGAGAATCATATTAACGTTAACCGCTTATAGTCATTTGCATATTTCAGGGAAAATATCTAAATTTTCATGGTTTAATTCCAATATAACAACTCTTCCAGGTCCTAATTTTGAACTTTAAAAAAACGAAACGAAATGGAATCTATGTTTTAATCAGATTGGAGGACAAACGGACAAAAAGAACAAAATATAAAAATCTTTTACTCACTGGGATCGCCAGACGTCCAGCTAACGGTGAAGCCGTTTCCAGCCACGGAAGCATCAGAATAAAACCAAAGATAGAGTTGATTATGTGTACTGTTTAAAGAACCACCATTGGGCAGAGCTGTACCACAATATTTACCAATCATATGAGTTGAAGCAGAACCGCCATCATGTATCTGCAGGTAGTCATAGCTACAGCTCTGATGAGCTTCAAGGTCAAACCGAGTAAAGGTCAAGGTCAGCACCTTATTAAAAAAGAGACAAGGTTAAATTTAAGAGAAATGTTTGACTGTAATAATGATTTATAATCTTAGTATTCTCGAACATTTCCAGTTTGATCAAAGTAACAAGACAATCTTGAATGCCTACCCAGCACTGTACACGAGCTCACATTCAATCTTCTCTTGTACAGTCTAATTGGGTAATTAACGGTTCAGTTACTTGATAATAATAGTTACCTTTCCAGCTGTAGTCTCTATAACCCAGGCGCAAGAAACCGCATGAGGATAATTTGCACCTGTTGTTCGTGGATAGCTCAATGATCCAGTCTCTCCACGTAATGTTCCACCACAACCTGTAAATATCAACACGTATAAATCATGACAGGTATCATACACCAGACAGAACATGCTTCATTGTTCAGATCTCGTTTGGTTTTCTTCCCCAACTGATACGGGTAGTCACGCATTGTGCTATGAGGGAATTGTGTGTCATACCTCTCAATCGGTGATGCCTCTAAAGTGCATGCTTTATACCACTCAATCAGCTGATTCCCCGTGTATTATACTACTCTGTCATGCAGCTCCTTGGTCAACTAACCCTATTAAGCGCATGCATTATACCACTCGGCCACCTAACCCTTAAAATTTATGTGTAATACCACTCTGCGACGCTGATTCTCTAAGTATGTCTGGTATAATCAGAGATATAAAGGGAACTTACTCTGCTGTGTTTGTTGACAGGTAGGTCCAGTATAATCTGATGAACACTGGCAGCTGAAACTACCGAGACTGTTGACACATGTTCCACCATTCTGACATGGATTACTTAAACATTCATTCACGTCGGATTCACAGTTCCGTCCAGTATATCCAGCATTACATATACAGATATACGCAGTGCCAGACAACTAAATAATACCGAGAGAATACGAATGGAATTAAACAGTGCCAGGCAATTATATAATACAGAGACAAGAGAAATGGAACTAAAGGACAATATTAGTGTCAGTCATTATTACATATGAGGTAGAGCTCGTTAATTACATTCCAAATATAATTTTAACATAGAGATTATTGCTACGGGAGATGTGTAACAAGCACGTGAAGAAATGGGAAGTGACGCCAAACATGACAAACACGAGTTATCCTTCTATATAAATGACTGAACTAACAGACACACGATCGAATTTCATATGCCATGCAGAGTTTGTTTTGAGTTAGATTTTTTCTGGACAGCGGCATTTCGCCTACTCTTCTTCAAATTCAAACAGCCAACGGTTCCGGTACGTGCACGCCAACAATGTACATGGGACCTCAGTATTTGGTCCCATCTGAAGGACTAGACACTTTGACAGACAACTACAGTTAAAACGAGAGAAGACAAACAGAAATGAAATGAAATGGTTTTTTTTAAAATGGAGTTAAAACGTCCTACTTTTCTGCACCAACCGTGAGAAATTCATTGGGATACTTTCCTTGCCACTGGGGATCACGTGGCTAAGTGGGTAAGACGCTGACTCGCTAGCCTGGAGGTCAGGTGTTCGATCCCTGCATTGGCCGAGAAAGTTCATCCAGATTTTCCGGCGTGGTTCCCCCTTGTCAGTGATGCAGGACCGAGGGCCTGACAAGGACAGCTGTCTAGTCCTTCGGATGAGACGAAAAACTAAGGTCCCGTGTATATATTGGAATGCACGTAAAAGAACCCTTGGCAGTTGGAATTCGATATAAGAGTAGGCGATAGTGCCGCTGCCCGGGCAAAATTTCCCTCATAGCACACTGTATGGCGTATGCCCGTCTTCATTAGCCCGCCCAGTATAAGAGCAGAACAGTAGGACGTTAAACCCCATTTCATTTCATTTCATTTCCTTGCCACTAATTAACATGCACGAGACCTAACTTAACTAATGTGTATATCCAGTTCAATTTCCAAATAACGTTAAAACAATATACATGTATATTAAAACCAAGGTTCTCTAATCTGATTAAAACACAGATCCTATTTCGGTTTTTTTTTTTTTTATAGTTCAAAATTTCGTTTTACTTGTCTGGAAAAGTTTTATATAACCCACATTCTGGTGGGTTAGCCAATGGAACGGTCTGTTACGGCGAATTTTTGGCGTGAGGTGCACGGAACTGTGGATAACCCACTAGAAACATCAACGCTGATTGGTTGATCAAATGTCTGATGTCATAGTGTCAAAAACCGGTCGGATGACCTCTGACACGACCTTCCACTAAAACAGGTCAGATCTTCATGTAGTAGAGGCCATCAAAAGTATAAAAATACGAATCTGTATTTTAATCGGATTGGGGGTTGTCTGGATATCAGAGTGAAAACAAACCTGACAGGCTCCGCCATGTTGACATGGATTGGTAGCACATGGTCCAACTGTTGGTGTTTGTCTGATACAGCCCGTATTACCTACACCATTACCAGCATACCCTGCTGGGCACGTACACGTTCTACCTGCTATACCTGTTATATATAAAAAATATAGAAATGAAATGAAATGAAATGTTATGGGGTTTAACGTCCCACTGTTCTGCTCCTAAACTGGGCTAATGAAGACGGGCATACGCCATACAGTGTGCTATGAGGGAAATTTTGCCCGGACAGCTGCAGTACGGCCTACTCTTGTATCGAATTCCAACTGCCAATGGATCTTTTACGTGCACGCCAAACCTCGGTTTTTCGTCCCATCCGAATGACTAGACAGCTGTTCTTGTCAGGCCCTCCTCCGTCCTGCATCACTGACAAGGGGAAACCACGCCGGAAAATCTGGATGTACTTTCTCCGCGAATGCAGGGATCGAACACCAGACCTCAAAACAATATAGAAATCAATCATAACAGATAAATATCTAGACAGATCAATATTTAGACAGGTCAATATCTAGACAGAACAATATCAGACAGGTCAATATCTAGACAGAACAATATCAGACAGGTCAATATCAGACAGAATATAACAGATCGATATCTAGACAGATCAATGTCTAGATGAAACAATATTTAAACAGAGTATAACAGATCAATATCTAGACAGTTCAATGTCTAGATGAAACAATATCTAGACAGAGTATAACAGACCAATATCTAGACAGAGTATAACAGATCAATATCTAGACAGATCGCTTTCTAGACAGAACAATATCAGACAGGTCAATATCTAGACAGAATGTAACAGATCAGCATCTAGACAGATCAATATCTAGATGGAACAATATCTAGACAGAGGGAAACCTGTCCTAAGCCACTAACAAGGGGAAACCAAACTGGAAAATCCGGGGGTACTTTCTCAACCAACACTGGAATCGAACCCTCGCCATCCTGGTTTCTGAGATTCTGTTACAGAGGTTCGTGTAGTATTTTTTACAGAATCAGGATTAAATTTATTTTACCTGGAGATTCTCGACACGTGGCTTGACTGTAACATCCACCATTATTTACGTTACAAACTCCAACCCAGTTACATGTAACTCCGTTACCTTGGTAACCTGTAAATACACAGAAAATACATAAATACTTAACTATTATGTTCTTTTAGTCAACTGTATTTGAAACTAGGTCTGGTTAGGTTATTTAGGAAAGTGAAACTAGGACTTACTAATGTTATTCACTATTTCATTAAGACAGGAACAACCAGGATGAGAGAGAGAGAGAGAGAGAGAGAGATGGGAGAAAACCCACCAGGTAGGACCGACCACCTTATTTCTTGTCATGTACTAGTGGGGCAGGGGATTCAAAACCTTGAATCAATGACAGACCTTATGATCTTCATGTAATGTGGACCTGTTAAAGCATTTGGTCACCTAGCCCCCTACTCCCATCCAACCGCCCTTTGAACAAACCAGAATGTACTGTACTAACCTGGAGGACTAGAACAACCAGACAGTAATTACCTGAAGGACTAGAACAACCAGACTCTACTAACCTGATGGACAGGCACCACATCTTCTAGAACCTCGTGTATTAATACATTCGACTCGAGGAGCTTGTGAACAGCCGCCATTACCAGTCAAACATTCGTTGATATCCTGACACGTAAAACCATTTCCCGTATAACCTGGTAATATATTTTAAAGTGTTATTAACAATGTCCAGATATTATGAGAGAATTTTGCCCTGTCAGCAGCATTCCATCATCTCTTCAAATTCCAACTGCCAGGGGATCTTTAATGTGCACGCCAATGGTATACATGACAGAGATGGGGTTTAATGTCCACTCCACACAGACAAGGTCATTTCGGGACTAACATATGATTTAATTTTATTTCAATAATTTGAATGCGCGTAGGCGTCTTTAGCCGTGGGAGTAAATCGGAGGACCCAGAGAAAACGCACGAGAAAACCTACTCCAACTCCCAACTAACTTACATGGCCGCTTTCCGGTCATAACCAACGTTCTATCACTTCAGATATCTGCTTATAATACCTCTCTAGACAAAGGATGATCGAGGAGATTATGCAGCTGGCTATATTACATCATACCAGATTAAACGTTCAGTACAGATTGCTTACAAGACAAAGGGCATTACATAACCCAGACCAGCGATAGTAACTAATGACTTCATCATGAACGTTGGTCGTGTCAAGCTGTTAGTGCCAATGTCGACCATCTGTGGGTCATAATATGATAAGGATGTTTACAAGACACGTGGCCGTTGGTCGTGTCAAACCAGTGACAAGGTCGACCACCTGTGGATCATAATATGATAGGGATGTTTCGATCTTTTTCATGTTTGAAAGGTGTTCATTGACATTTTCCTAAATAATCTCCAATTGTGTATCACCGTGTACACATTGATGTACATGTAAAAGAACCCTTGACAGTTGCAATTCGGTATAACAGTAGGCAGTAGCGCTGCTGTCGGGGAAAAACCTCCCTCATAGCACACTGCATGGCATATGCAGAAGAGTAGGACGTTAAACCTCATTTCATTTACAATCATAACCTCACCTGAACACTAACCCTTATTGAGTGCATGTACAATACAGGTAATATGAGATGTATGACAGGTGATAATAATTTATAAGAACTTACCTGTAGGACATACACCACAACGAAAACTACCAGGGATATTTATACACTGTACTGGAGGATCTCGTGAACATGATGCAGCCTGACCTGAACATTCATCAATATCCACAGTACAAGCAGGAGATGACGTACTCTTCGTCCAACCATCGTCACAGATACATTTATATTTAGGCTGAAAGACAAATAAACATCCAGGGTTTAACATCCAGTCTCAACACAACTAGACAATAGGGTTTAACATCCAGTCTCAACACAACTAACACATATTGAGATTAAAGACAGGGTGTAATATCCAGTCTCGCAGCACAACTAGAACATTTTGAGGTTAAAGACAGATCAATAGGGTCAACACAACTATAACATATTGAGATTAACATAATATATTATACATAGGCTCTATGAGATATATGATGTGTAAATTCCGCTCTCAACACAACTACATAATATTGAGACTAAGAAAGTATATTTTTATGTCAAACATGGGGGTGTTAAGAAATGGGAGGAAACCAGAGTTCTGTGAGATTAGGCAGGACAGGGGGCTTGAAGGAGTGAAATGGGGTTTAACATCCACTCAGCATAGACTATGAATGTCAGAACACATTTGAATCTATCGCAGGTCATCTTTACTTGATAATTTTATTTTAAAATAAAGCACAAACCTGATTGGACAGAACCCTTGCAACATTAACACAAGTTCCATGTCCACATAGTTCTGACTGTGAGGCTCCCGTACAATCATCGTGAGACTCCGTACAGCGTATTCCATGCCAGTTAGCGGCACAATGACAACTAAAAAAATATAAACATCAAATATCTCTACAATATTTACCTTAAAACAGCTGTTTGTTGCATTTCTTGGACAACATCTAATTTTTCCCTGACATGTGCTAAAAGTTATTTCAGCTTTAATTAAGAGAGAGAGAGAGAGAAATGGGGTTTAACGTCCACTCGACACAAACTAGGTCATTTCGGGACTAACATATGGTTTAATTTTATTTACATAATTCGCTTGCGCGTAGAGATCTTTAGCAGTGGAAGGAAACCGGAGGACCCGGAGAAAACCCACGAGGTTGGACAGGTGACCCTACTCCTTGCCACGTACAACCGGGGATTCGAAACCACGCCAGTCGACTCAATGACAGACTTTATGATACAGCGCGCGCACGCTAACCATTCAGCCATCCAACCCCCCCTTTAATTAAGAAAACTAATCCCCAAAATGATTGGTAGAAAACGACCCATGTTTAATTCAACTGGATTCAAAAGAGGGTCATAAAGAGAGACAGAGAGAGACAGACAGTTAACCCCCAGTTAACCCTTTAGTATTGTTGTCAGTAGTTACCATGATCTCTACTATTTATAAGTTTTTTCTTGTCGCTTTCAGTTACCATGGTTACCATGATAAATACTGTTTATAAGTTTTTTCTCGTCGCTTTCAGTTACCATAGTTTCTACTGTGTATTATAATCAAACCTACCTGAAACTTCCAGGGGTATTTGTACAAGTTGCACCGTTCTGACATCCCATATCTGTTCCCGCATAAATAGAACACTCGTTAACATCTGTTTCACAGTTATTACCCTAAAATATAGAACACGCTAAAATATAGAACACCCATTGACATCTCTTTCACACCTATTACCCTAAAATATAGAACACTCATTGACATCTGTTTCACACCTATTACCCTAAAATACAGAACACTCATTTACATCTGTTTCACAGTTATTACCCTAAAATATAGAACACCCATTAAAATCTGTGTCACGAACATTACCCTAAAATATAGAACACCCATTAAAATATAGAACATTCATTAACATCTGTTTCACATGTATTACCCTAAAATACAGAACACACTAAAATATAGAACACACATTAACATCTTTTCACAGGTATTACCCTAAAATATAGAACACCCATTAACATCTGTTTCACAGGTATTACCCTAAAATATAGAACACCCATTTTAAACTCCCATTAACACCAATTAACTTATATACTGATGTCAAACAACCATCTCCTTAACATCCAAGACATTACCTAACCTCTATTTTTTGTAACAGGAACTAGGGTCCAAGACATTAACAGGAACTAGGACCAAAGCGCTCCTCATCAATTGTTCTTCTTCTTTTTATTAGGGTCCACGCGCTTTAAAAAATAGCCCAAGTAAACTTGGCATTCTTGTTCCTTGGACAACTGCAGATCGATTGATGGACTTTGAGTTTTAATATGGCATAATAATTCCAAGATGACGTGAATTCTTTCTGACCTCAAATTGTGCTTTATTTATATACTAAAATCTTGTTATCATCAAGAATATTTAGGAAATAAAAAAAAAAAAGATTACCTGCCAAGCGTTGGGACATTTACAAATAAAACCATTAAACAGATCCAGGCATGTACCTCCATTACGACACGGGTTACTATTACATTCATTATTGGTTAATAACTGAAATATAAAATGGCTTTACGTTTTAGGAAGGCAGGTTCCACAATATTTTAAAATAAGGGGGGTTGGATGGCCGAATAGTTAACACGTGCGCGGTGTTTGATAAGGTCTGTCATTGAGTCAAATGGTGTGGTTTCGATTCCTGTAGAGTCTCCCACTGCTGAATGAAGACCCCTTCGCGCAGGCGAATTATTGAAATAAAATTGAACTATGTGTTTGGCCCAAAATGAGCTAGTCTGTGTCGAATGGACGTTAAACTGCATCTCTGCATATCTCTCTCTCTCTCTCAATATCACAAGGAATGAAGGAAAAGTCAACATGAAATATTGGTTTATAAAATGGTGTAAAATTCTTACCGCTTGTAGTTGGTTAACAGTAGTTCTTAAAGTGTTAACCTGAAAATAAAAAACATACAAAAATTGTTCTTTATGTCCATCAAAATATACAACCATGCCAATATGGCCGACTCTAATACTCTGCCATGTCAAAATGGCCAACTTTAATATATAACCTTGTCAATATGGCCGACTTTAACATATACAACCATGTCAATATGGCTTACTTTAAAAGACTAGTACGTCAATATATCAGTTAACCAGCGGCTGCCAGGCAGGAGAGATGGATAGAAAACAACCTAAAACGAAAGTGATTTTTCCTACAATCAAGGGCAATACTTCAGGAAATTACAATTCGATATGCGCGAATATCGAAAGTAATCGAGATCTTTGGGTTATAAACTTACATTTCAAGTTTCAACAAAATCGGATCAAAATTGTAACCTCTATAGGGTCCACAACCATGATATATACCATATTTTTACGCAATTTGAGAACGAGGGGCGGCCATTTTGTCTGTCAGTTTTGGGCCGATTTGCACGAAATCCGAACTCAGCCGTCCTTAGGGTTTAACGGTGATATAATAATAGGTTTTTTTTAAATCGGATAAAAATTATGACCTCTATAGGGTCCACAAGCTAAAAACGCGATTTTTCGAACAATCAGGGGGCATAATTCAGGAAGTTACGGTCCAATATGCGCAAATATCAAAAGGAACCGAGATCTTTGGGTTATAAACTTACATTTCAAGTTTCAACAAAATCGGATAGAAATTGTGACCTCTATAGGGTCCACAACCTTGATATACCATATTTTTACGCTATTTGAGAACGAACAGCGGCCATTTTGTCTGTCAGTTTTGGGCCGATTTTCATGAAATTCGAACTCAGTCGCTCTTAGTGTGTAACGGTGATATAATAATACGTTTTTTTAAATCGGATAAAAATTATGACCTCTATAGGGTCCACAAGCTAAAAACGCGATTTTTCGTACAATCAGGGGCCACAATTCAGGAAGTAACGTTCCGATATGCACGAATATCGAAAGGAACCAAGATCTGTGGTTTATAAGCATACATTTCAAGTTTAAACCAAATTGTGACCTCTACAGTGTTCACAAGCTAAAAACATGATTTTTCGTACAGTCAGGTGCCATAATCCATGAAGTTACGGTCCGATCTTAGGGTGATAAACCTCTATTTCAAGTTTCATTGAAATCGGATAAAAATTAAGACCTGTAGACTGTTCACAAACAATTGTGGACGGACGAACGGACGGACGGACGGACAGGGGCGACGACAATATACGTCCACATAAAAATAACAATTTGATTAAAATACAGATCTATATTTTGTTTTGTTTTTTTTTTTTTGTCCTTTCGATGGCCTACATGAAGATCTGACAAGTTGGACTGGAAGGTCGTGTCACGGTGTCGTATGAGCGGCTTTTGACCCTATGACGTCAGGAATTGACGTTTCTAGTGGTTTACATACAGTTCTGTGCAATGGCATGCCAAGAACTCGCCGTAACAGATGGTTTTATTGGCTAATCCCTCACTTCAACAACCAAAACACCGGTAATATATAACAATTCTTCCAGATCCTCGAGTAGTGACGACAAGTTAAACAAAATTTTGTACTATAAAAAAACGAAACAAAACAGGATCTGTGTTTTAATCAGATTGTTAAAAATGGTCGACGATAAATCTCGTTGGTTTAAAACCTATAACATTCACAAAGTGCTGACAAATAAAATCATGCATTTCATTAGATAACCTAAAGATAAGGCGTATTTATATTGTAAATAGTTTAGTTATCCTTTCGATGGCCTACACTACATGAAGATCTGACCAGTTGTACTTGAAGGTCGTGTCAGGGGTCGTACGAGCGGCTTTTGACCCTATGAAGTCAGACATTGATTAATCAATCGGCGTTGATGTTTCCAGTGGTTTACCCACAGTTCCTTGCATGGCACGCCAAGAAGTCGCCGTAACAGACCGTTTCATTGGCTTATCCCTCATTTCAACCAAAATGCTATTAATATAACAACTCTTCCAGATCCTACATCATCCTAGTGTAGTAAAGACAAGTAAAACGAAATTTTGAACTATTAAAATGAAACGAAATAGGATCTGTGTTTTAATCAGATTGTGCAAAGACGTGGTTGTTTTCATAACAATACTTTATCACCCAATAATACATTCTACAGTAGATATCGCTTGTGTGATAATTTTCATAATTTACTTCGATACCTCCTTAGGAGATATCGCTTTACATGAATTTGATTGGTCAGTTGAAAAGGAACTACTTTTTTTTATTTTCAAAGAAGACTTCATTTCTTATTAAAAGTAAATCTTTTCTTTATTAAAAATGACCTATTCCTTTTAATTGACCTTGATGGAAATACTGGGTCAATATAAAGGACTTTGCAATGGTTGAATTGCTGTCAAAAAATGATGTATCATTACGCCGTAATGTAAACAGGTTCAGTAAAAGTGAAATCTACAGCAAAGAATTATATTTATTTATTTGTGCCTGTAAGAAAGGGTAGGGTGATAAATAAAATCTCCTACTCGTCTTTTTTTATATCAAAAAATATCAACACTCGTTGATAAAGTAAAAAAAAACTCGGCAGAGCCTCGTTGATATTTTTTGATATCAAAAAAGACTCGTAGTAGATTCTCTATTTAACAAACGGTGGATGTAGCTGTTTTTCATAAATAACAACAACAGTGGATGTAGCTGTTTTTCATAATTAACAACAACAGTGGATGTAGCTGTTTTTCATAATTAACAACAACAGTGGATGTAGCTGTTTTTCATAATTAACAACAACAGTGGATGTGGCTGTTTTTTTATAATTAACAACAACAGTGTTACGTGAACAAAATGCAACATGGAATAAAAGAAGGAAAGATAAGCTCGCGTCACAAAGTTTACTGGCATTGACAATAAACATCTACCGGTACATGCACAGAATATCTAATCTAAGGGCCATCACAAGAGTTTACTGGCATTACAATATTAGCTTCTATTGACAATAACCATCTACATGCATACAATATCTAATCTATGGACATGCATGTGCATTATCATGAATTTTACCCGAGATGTTAATCTGCGTATTATTCTCGATGATGATCTCCCTGGTCCTCTCCTTCGAGTCTGGTGAATATAAAAATTCAAACAGATTTTGATAATTATAGATTAAATTCACAGTTTTTGGTTCAATTTTAATACAATATTCACTTATTGAACATAACATAAAATCATACTGAAATCAACTCACAGGTTAGCTACTGATAATTTTCAAAATAACTTTTGGTGCATTGAGGCATTTTTCGTGATTTTCTTTATAATTTGATATGAAATGAAATAGGTTTAACATCCTTTTTTTTGTTTACACAGCCGTGTTCCCGTCTACTTTTTATGGGATTCGACAGAACAGCAGGGAACAGCGTCTAGTTCATCAGGTGGGGCGAAAACCAAAGTATGCGTTGTTAGTTGAAATTCAGTGAATCGTAGGCAGAAACGCTGGTTGCCAGGCAACATAACCCTCATACCACAACGTCTGGAGTATACCAGGCTTCGTGGTGCAGAAATTTCGATTTATTTTATTTCACAGAGAGAAATGAAATGAAATGGAGTTTAACGTCCTACTGTTTTGCTCCAAACTGGGCTAATGAAGACGGGCATATGTCTTACAGTGTACTATGAGGGAAATTTTGCCCTGACAGCCGCACTACGACCTACTCTTATATCGAATTTCAACTGTCAAGGGATCTTTTATGTGCATGCCAATGTGTACACGGGACCTCGGTTTTTTGGATCGTCCGAATGACTAGACAGATGTCCTTGTCAGGCCCTCTGTCCTGCATCACTGACAAGGAAAAACCACGCCGGAAAATCTGGATGCACTTTCTCGGCCAATGCACGGATCGATCATCTGACCTCCTGGCTAGCGAGTCAGCGTCTTACCCACGAAATGTTGATTTAATATGAAATGAAATGAAATGGAGTTTAACGCCCTACTGTTCTGCTCCTATACTGGGCTAATGAAGACGGGCATACGCCATACAGTGTGCTATGAGGAAAATTTTGCCCGGGCAGCGGCACGATCGCCTACTCTAATATCAGATTCCAACTGCCATGAGATCTTTTACGTGCATTCCAATGTATACACGGGACCTCGGTTTTTCGTCTCATCCGAAGGACTAGACAGCTGTCGGCCAATGCAGGGATCGAACACCCGACCTCCAGGCTAGCAAGCCAACGTCTTAACCACCTAGCCACCTGATTTAATGACTGTATTGTCAGGTTGACAGTATGATTCTAGAGAGAATAATAAGTGAATATTCTACTAACTTGAACCAGAATAAAACCTACCTCTGTCTGTAAAGCTGTTGGTGTTGTTGACCCCTCTAAGGTCGTCACCTGAAATAACATGCAGTCACATGCAACATGCATATATAGATCATAATATAAAAGGGGCGTGTCACATGATGTGGGCCCGGGGGAGGGGCGGGGCGAATTGAAAATAACGAGCAGACATTCTGAATATGAAGAAAATTCATTTGAATAAAGAGGAACAATTTGAATATAAAGAGGTACAATTTGAATATAAAGAGGAACAATTTGAATAAAAAGGGACAATTTGAATATAAAATGGTACAATTTGAATATAACATGGTACAATTTGAATATAAAGAGGGACAATTTGAATTTAAAGAGGTACAATTTGAATGTAAAGAGGAACAATTTGAATATAAAGAGGTTTGGATATAAACTGAGGAAATCTGAATCCAAACGGATCTCTTTCAACATAATAATATGAAGGCGGTCAATCGGAAACCAAAGGTTTTTTTTAATATAACAGGGCGGGGTTCACGGTTTAAGAAAGATAGGGGCAATCTGAATACAAATGAGGCAGTTTGTATACAATGGGGACACTCTGAATGTAAGGGGCCAATTTGGATTATAAAGTGGTGCAATCTGAATCCAAAGAGGGTCTATATAAGGAAATTTGTATACAAAGGGAGAAAGTTTAAATATAAATATAGCAGTACAATTTTAATAGAATAGAGTTAAGTGGCGTGGTTTCTATTCCCGGCTTGTACGGGACAAGGAGTAGGGACGCCTGTCCAATCTTGTGGGTTTTCTCCGGGTTCCCCGCTTTCCTCCCATTGCTAAGCGTCTATACCCGTGTTTCTACTGCTGAGATTCTAGGGGTGGAGAGAGGTTTAAATGAAACCTACCAGTGTTTTTACTGCTGGGATTCTGGGGGTAGAGAGGGGTTTGTATAAAACCTACCCGCACTTTTTACTGCTGAGATTCTGGGGGTGGAGGGGGGGGGGGGTATATGAAACCTACCTGTGTTTCTAATGCTGAGATTTTTGGGTTGTATATGAAACCTACCCGTCTTTTTTACTGCTGGGATTCTGGGGTGGAGATGGGTTTATATGAAACCTACGCGTGTTTCTACCGCTGAGATTCTGCGGGTGGAGAAGGGTTTATATGAAACCTACCCGTCTTTCTACTGCTGAGATTCTGCTAGTTATTGTATTAAGTTGTGATTTAATGGCACCTGTTGGTAGATTCAGACTATTCTCAACAGCTGATAATCTTGTGTTAACGGTCGTTGGTACCTGGAGAAAAAAGATTAATTAGATCAGGTGGGATATATTATTGAACAGCTGATAATCTCGTGTTAACGGTCGTTGGTACCTGGAGAAAAAAGATTAATTAGATCAGCTGGGATATATTATTGAACAGCTGATAATCTTGTGTTAATGGTCGTTGGTACCTGGAGAAAAATGAAAACTTTATTTCATTTATTGACAAATTAGATCGAGTGGGGTACATGTATATTATTTATTCAGGCTTTATTTTATTCATTACAGTCAAAGCCCAGCTTAATTGTGTGTTACACATGCGTGCTATTCAAAAGGATATGAAAAAATCTTTTTGTCGCGTTAGGGGCCCCGCAATTCTAATCAGGCCCAGGGCCCCGCTCCAGTTAAGCTGGGCTTTGATTATAGTAAACAAAGAGCTGTTGTTTGTCGAGTAGTCATGGAGCAATGTAAGGAAAACTGAACACATGACTAGAATGGGGTAATGTCAATAACAAATAGAGATAGGTTGTCAGGCAACGAAATATAAGCCCACAGCAGCCAAGTCGTTCAAGCAGTCAACAAGGTTTGTCGCATATTTTTTATTTTGTCAAAGAAAAAATACAGATGAAATTCTAAGAAGAGCTAAACCTAAAATATCAAGGGCTGTGTCGCTGCAATAGTTGCCTAGCAATGACTTACTGTAAAGGAACCTGAATGTAAGCCATTTTTTGTTTGGCACAATGTCAGAATAATGTGTTTAGATGACATTTGAAGAAGAGCTTAGCCATGCAGGCTAAAGCGATCCTGTGACAGTAAAAATCTTTTAATGATAACCTAGACATTTCATGCCTCCTGAGAAAGGGTCGCTGATTAAACATTTACTAGTAAAAGAAAAGACCCAAAATCTGGACTAAACAAATATGCTGGGTCGACAAATATATATGTTGGGTGGAACTAGATTTTTGGATCAATTCATACAATAAAGGAATATATTCTTTTGGTCAACCCCTTGTATGCTACCACAGAAAATTGGGAACCAGGGGCCTGTTTCACGAAATTTTAACTAATATAAAATCCAAATTTTAGTAATTTGATTGGATAATATTAGATTGATTTTAGTGCTTAACCAATCAAAATTGAAGTATCTACTAAAACTTGGATTTTACCTTTAGTTAAGATTTCGAGAAACAGGGCCCAGATCTGAATATTCCCCTGGATTCCTCTCGGAGAACGCTGATAAGCCATAGAGAATCTAGTCAAGGGTCCCAAAACACTAGACAATCGCGGCCCCCAAATAAAATACAAAGGTTTTTATCTTGGGTTTAATTTATCAGAGATACGAAAGAGAAACTTACTGCATTTTGATATGTAGTCAGATCATTTCTAAGACTGGTTAATTGAGTAGCAACAGTTCCAGTTGGTTGCAGATTATCCAGTCTATTAGTTAATTCTGTTAAACGCTGTCCGACATTGTCAGGAATCTAAAATAAATTAATTTGTTATATACACTGTAAGATGAATTGACATCATCCCAAATTAGATCCATATTTTGTTCATACCTCTCTCCCTCTACCTGTGTACTACACAATTTAAACTCTGGCCCCGAGTTCCCAAAGCATTCTCAGACTTAAGTAAAGAATTTACTCAAATTTCAATCACTGTTTATGAGAAATATCTTTGATCTAGAAACAAAAAAGTTTGCACATAGTTTCTTATTGACGTATTTGACACATTAAAACAACAAATGTTTTATAAAGGGCTATATTTTAGTTCAAATAAAAGGCGAATAATTTTGAGTAAATTCTTAACTTAAAGGAGCTAAGTCGCTAATATTTGGGACCTAGAAATTGACACAAATGGGTCGCAAGGCAAACAAAAATGTAATATCATGTTTCAATGTCGAAAATTTTGGATGATATTGAGTTAGAGACTTAGCTACTTTAAGTCTGAGATTGCTTTGTGAACTCCGTGAGGGTTTTCTACCTCTCTGCTTATTACTATCAAACTAATGTAGATTAAACTACAGTCTGATTAAAACACAGATCATATTTCGATTCGTTTTTTATAGGTAAAAATTTTGTTTTGCTTGTTTTCACAATATTAGGATCTGGAAGAGTTGATATATACAAGGCGCTCTAGTTGATATGAGGAATTAGCCAATGAAACGGTCTGTTATGGCGAGATCTTGGCGTACGGTGCATGGAACTGTGGGTAAACCCCTAGAAACGTCAACGCTGATTGATTAATCAATTTCTGACGTCATAGGGTCAAACACCGCTCGTATGACCCCTGACCAGACCTCTCAGTACAACTGGTCATATCTTCATGTAGTGTAGGCCATCGAAATAATTAAAAAAAACGAAACGAAATATAGATCTGTATTTTAATCAGATTGGTTGAACTATGGAATGTCAGGATTTGAATAAATATTTAAAAAATACCAAATGCTGCAGGGGCGTGGTGACCCAGGAACAAGACCCCATCCGGGCCCCCAAAAAACAATATATATATGTATGTGTGTGCAGGGTTTGGGCAGGTGGGGGGTGGGGGGGTTAATATCTGGCTGTGTGGAATTGCTAGAGTGGATTTGTAGCATATTGGACCCACGGTATATGTTTGACACTGGTTAAGCAATATGATTATGATTATAATGTTGAAAACCGCATTGAAACCGCGTGATTTTTTGCCATTGCGTCTCTCTCACTTATCCCCAAGGTGGATGCAAGGAGGTGGTTCACATACCGTTCTTTTATTATGGTAGGTAAGGTAGTTCACCTACAACATATTTTGCATCTTTACAAAAGGAGGGGAGGGGGTGTATAATATTTCACCTGGACGAAAAGTATTCAATTAACATTTTTCCCCTCTCACCTAAGAGAAACGAAATGTGAAATAATAATTATTGACTTTAACCAGTTGTATAAATACTTACATGTGTGGGAGCATTCTTTAACTGATCAATGTCATTTTTATTTTTAGTCACCTGAAACAGATAAAAAAAAAAGGGGTCAAATACGGTAAATCATCATATAGTCTGAGATTAGGGCTCCAAGGAATCTCATATTCCTGAAGCAATGGTCAGAGACATCCCCCCCTGGCCATTGCTGGATTGACTTCTGATACTTGCGCTTTTGAGGGAGTGTGTCAATTCTTCTCGTTCAATCAAATCTATCCCAGCAACATGATAGCCCTTCGTTTAATCTGGGACCTTCCCTAAAACATTGGACAGTGATTTAAAGTATTAAAAGCGGTGAAAGTATTGTTCGTCTTCGAACAGTATTGTTTACATGCTATTCTTTTTGATAGCCTCGTTTGTCACGCAATTAATTTTTCTGCAATATTCTACTATGCACTAATTAATTGGGCATAATAAATCGTGAGTCATGGTGTAACGTTATGTAAACATATTTGGTCCAATTTGGAACTCTGTTTAAAGCGTAATGATATTGTTACGCAGTTAGCTATTGGTTGTTAATCGGACTATCGACCAGTCATAACTTGGAACAGAAATTTGCTTCCTTTACAACAGTGTTAAGTAGAATTAGGTCTAATCAAACAAAACACTGCGAGGAGTATGGAGATTGGTATACTAGGCTATGTAAAATACCATGTGAGTACTATTCATTGAACAACAAGATTAGGGATCAATTGGAAAAATAATGGCGGGGAGAGAGAGACAGGGACTAACATATGGTTCAATTTTATTTCAATAATTCGCTTGCGCATAGGGGTCTTTAACAGTGGGGGGAAACCGGAGGACCCGGAGAAAACCTTCGAGGTTGGACAGGCGAATATAATGGCGGACAGATCCTGCAATCAGTTTGGGATCAAAAGAATTTTGCGATCACACTATAATTCAGTTTTAGAATTTATTGGATGGTTTAGTGAATATAAAATATTCAGTACTTCTAATAAAATAAAACCAAGTACGAACAATCCAAACCATTAGACAAAATTCCTAAAAAAAAACGATATAGGCAAAATGGTGTAATCAGCATATGGACTGTTCACCGTGTACAAAATACACGACAAACAGCCCTACCCTAGCCTTGTCCACTCGGAATTAGTGGTCTTATATTGTCAGTTGTCTCCCCTTGATGGGCAATAATTTTTTGGGGATCGCTGACTTTAGTTCTATGCAACAGTCCAATCACAACTAAACACAGTGGAAGTGGAAGAGAAAAGACAGCGACAACAGGTAACGTAAACAAAGGAACTATAAAAATGAAGGGTCTGCAACAGTTGTCTTACTCTTGTTAGTTGTCTCCCCTTGCTGAACAATAAAATTGGATCGTTGACTTCAGTTCTATGCAACAGTTCAATCACAACTAAACACAGTGGAAGCGGAAGGGAAAAGACAGCGACAACAGGTAACGTAAACAAATCCGCTGCCAAAAATTATGAAAATTGAATAAAACAAAAACACTTGAGGATAACTTCTACACCGTCCGTACTCGTCAGAGATAATAAAGGGAGGTAACTATTACGTTAAACCATATTACAGGTGACCTGTTTAATTCACATGCTAATTTCTGACTTTACACTTTTTTTTATGTAAAAAAACCCAAAACAACAAAATTTAAAAACCCGAGGCGCGATGAAGAATACATCTCCAAATTAAATGGCAGTGTCCCGTCGGGCGCCAGCCGTCAACACGATACTTTGGGACAAGCGTCTGGTAATTTTCATTTCTAATGTTATGTGTGCAATGGGGGAATGGAAGCATAGGCATACGGGTCGGCTTTTCTTCCTGGGGGGGGGGGGTGCTGTATCTTTTAAGCCCGAAAAATCCTGCGGCGAAAACGAAGCGGGTCTACAAGCTGTGACTTTGCGGGGCGGGGGCCAGATTTAGGGCGCCATTTATACACCAACCCCACAATGAATGTCAACAAAATACTGGTTGTAACACTGAACATTCCGGTAGAACATAAGGCGTATTGCCTATCATACTCCGGAAGCAACGACTGCAAGTTTTACAACATCCAGCCGTTGCTAGATTGGTCTGAATTCCTCAAACCGGTACGGTATGTGCCTTTACCATAGACACATTTACAGCCTTTGAAAGTTTTTTGTGTTTTTTTGGCAGCCAAACTTACCGCCTCCCCCGACCCAAAAAAAAAAACGTTCTTGAAGAACAGAAAATTTTGAAAATTGGAGTCAATTTCCTGGCATTAGAGGTTATAACTGGGAGCAAATTCTTTTTCTTATGAACAAGAGGATCAGAAATGGCTCAGTATCTCGAGATCTGCCTGTTTTGTGAGAGTCGACAGATAGTGATGAGATAGTATAAGACCACAGATGGTGCCAGGTGGAATCGATCGCCGTCCGTAGTTTGAAAAAGAATCAGACAGCAACGTATTATATGTAATTAACCTTTTAATTTTTGGGGACTGGGCCTGAAAGTTTTAATCAATTTCCTGGCATTTTAGTTCATTGATGGGAGCACATTCTTGTGAAATAGAGGATGATAAATGGAACAGAAACTCGAGATAACTGTGAATATGATAGTGATGACATAGTATAGAACCACAGAGGAGTAGAAGAATGATGAAATAATGGAATCGAGCGCGCGCAAAAAAATTTAGATAGCGACGTATAATATGTAACTGGGCTATTATTTTGGGGGGGACTAGACCAATATAACTTTGCTACAAACTAACCGTAGTAAGAGCTCGAAAAATAACGGCAAGTATCTAGCGGAGCCTATTTTCTAGAACTGCAGTTTGCGAACTAGATATACTGAATCATTGCATCACTCCATCCAATTGCCAGTAAAACTCATGGGTTTCGGTCACTTCATTTAAAAAAAAAAAAAAAATTGATGATCGCCCCAAAAAAATTGTTTTGCCCGACTCTTTGATTTTACACCAACGTGTATATACGGGTGAATCTAGATTTTTCGTACCATTCGAACGACAAGGCAATAATTGAAATATCAGTCCTACTCCTGGCTTGAGAAATCCACGTCGGAATTCAAACTAAGGACTTTCTAGCTGAGAGATCAGGCCCCGAGTTCCCAAAGCATTCTCAGACTTAAGTTAAGAATTTACGCAACTTTCAATCACTGTTTATGAGAAATATCTTTGATCCAGAAACATAAAACTATGCTCATTTGATACATTAAAACAACAAAAGTTTTATAAATGGCTTTATTTTATGATCAGTAGTGGAATACCGCGTTTTATCAGTGAAATAAAAGTGTTATTCCACTGGCTAGTTGTTTTTACCTAAAATGATTGTAAAATCATAAAATAAATAGAACATTTGTCGTTTTGTCGTGAATAACATATTTTATTTCATCTCTAAGCAAGAAAACGTTTATATTATATAAGTGTTCTTGCTTCTTGATGAAATAAAATATGTTATTCACTCTAAAACGACAAATATCCTCTATATAATTTAGTTAAAATTTGGCGAATAATTTTATGTAAATTCTTAACTTAAGTCTGAGAATATTTGATACATTAAAACAACAAAAGTTTTATAAATGGCTTAAGGCGAACAATTTTGAGTAAATTCTTAACTTAAGTCTGAGAATATTTGATACATTAAAACAACAAAAGTTTTATAAATGGCTTAAGGCGAACAATTTTGAGTAAATTCTTAACTTAAGTCTGAGAATATTTGATACATTAAAACAACAAAAGTTTTATAAATGGCTTAAGGCGAACAATTTTGAGTAAATTCGTAAATTAAGTCTGAGAATATTTTGTGAACTCGGAGCCAGTATTTAAAGGGTCAATACCACTCTTGTTGTAACTGAATAATATGTCCCAATCTTTATTCTGGTCAACAAATTGTACTATTTTACAATATTTCAATTAATTGATGATACAAATTTCATATTAACACACCTAATTTCAAAAATTTGAAAAATTCAACATAATGGTTTGAAACGATATTTCAATTAATTGATGATAAAATTTCATCTTAAAACACCTTATTTAAAAATTTTGAAAAATTCAACATAATGGTTTGAAACGATATTTCAATTAATTGATGATACAAATTTCATCTTAACACACCTTATTTAAAAATTTTGAAAAATTCAACATAATGGTTTGAAACGTCTAACGTAAACCTTTTCAAATGAAACTTTGATTTAAAAATATTTTCGGACCCTCTGGACAAGTAAAATAGGATGTAATGGATAATTTACACAACAGGTAGGACACTTAAACATCTAGTACTTAGATAGAGATATTATTTATTTTCCGGAGCTTTCAAGCCAGCAAGAGTGTTATTGTCCCTTTAAAGCCGCCCAATTATTTCCAATCTGTTTAAACTACAGATCTATGTTTCGTTTCGTTTTCTTTTTTTTATACTTTCGATGGCCTCTACTACATGAAGATCTGACCGGTTGTAGAGGAAGATCGCGACAGAGGTCATACAAGCGGCTTTTGGCCCTATGAAGTCAGACATTCGATTAACCAACCAGCGAGGATGTTTCTAGTGGGTTACCCACAGTTCTTTACACTTTGCGCCAAAATCTCACCGTAACAGACCGCGTCATTGGCCAATCCTTCATATCATCCAGAACGCAGGTTATATAACAACTCTTCCAGATCCTGGTGTAGTAAAGACAAGTAAAACAAAATTTTGAACCATAAAACACGACACGAAATAGGATCTGTGTTTTAATTAGATTGGATTATCTCAACTCAATCGTGACGTAAGCAAGTAATAATATATTTCCCAGTTGAACAAAACCACTTGAGGCAGATTTTCAATAAGTTGTTTCTACAATTTTTTTTCGTTGAAATTTCTTACTTAGACAATATTTTATTGTATCTTCACACCCAACAAGCCAGAATAAATGTTAAATATGGAGGAGTGAATCCAATATTTGACGTTTATTCAGAAATAAAACAAACAGGCGGTTAAATTCGTTTAAAGATACATTATTTAATAGTTTTATAAAAGAGTTGGCCATTCTTGCTATACTAATTCAAAAATAGATGATAATAAAATAAAATGTTGAAACTTTCAGTCAAATGACTTTGTTTTCGATTATCAAGTAACATGCTCAATGGCTATGGTAGCCTCGCGTGGCAGGCCTTTCATCACCAGTCTCCAGTAGTGACATCGCGACTAACGGTAAACGTTAGCTAGGTCCGCCATAAATGGACGACTGTTTAAATCCAAACTGTAACCAAGCCATCCGTGGGACTACAGAGTTGATTTTGTGCTTGTCGTGTAAATAAAGGTATAATCAATCATTTCTATAGCATCTGAAGCCTAAAGAAAGATTTGCAATAGGCAGGTTTAGCCCTTGCATAATGTATGTTTAAGAGTAGGCCTTTAACTAAAGATAACGTTAACCAAGAGATACATACCGCCCCTAGACTGTAATTAATATATAGATATATCAGTGATAAACAAATACCATGGTCATGGTAATCTGATCTTATTCTACATCTAAATAACTTTCATCTTTAACAACACTATGTTTAAACAAAGTTCAGAACGGCGTAATTTTGTCTCGGTACAGTACAACCCAGGACAAGCGGCTCGATTTCGTAACGTCGTAATTTAAGCTGAGTTTTGTCTTCGGTACAGTGCAAGCCATGACGAGGAGGTCGATAACCTTGTCATCACACAGCACATTATACTTGAATAACGTGGGATATGAGAGATAGAGAGAGAGAGAGAGAGAGAGAGAGAGAGAGAGAGAGAGATGTAACGTCCCCCTGACACAAACTAGGTCATTTTGGGGCTAAAGGATATGAAAGAGATTGAGGTTTATAACCCAATAACACATTCTACAGTAGATATCTCTTAGCTTAAAATGAATTTTATTGGTCCATTTAAAAGGAACTACTTTTTTATTAAAAAGGAACTACTTTTTGGATCCAGTAATATTGATGGGGAAAAGTTCTCAATGACCATAAACAATTACAATACTCCCCATAACCTTAATAAAGGAAATATCAGGTCAATATATAGGACTTTGCAACGTGTTTCTTGCTGTCAAAAAATGATGTATTACTACGCCATTATATAATAAGGTTCACTAACATTAAACCTATAGCAAAGAATTATATTTATTTATTTGTGCGCGTAAGAAATGGTTGTGTGATAAATAAAATCTACTCGTTTGGGGTTTTTTTGGGGTTTTTTTTGGTTTTTTTTATTTTAATATCAACACACGTCAGTAAAGTAAAATAAAAAAAACGATGACAAAAAAGACTCGTAGGAGATTCCCTATTTATCGTCTATTCCACACAACTGGGTCATTTCGCGATTACATAAATATGATATAGATTGATTTCACCCAATCGCATGATTGCTTAGTATTGGGTGGATGGAACTTTTCCCGAAAATTTGCTCTGGTGGCAATCTTTGCGGTTTACCGCGCGAACAAAAATTCGGCCGCGTTGGCGTTCGCCATCAGTATATACGATTTCACTGGAATATCAGTTAAGCAATCAAATGCGGTCACCGCGTTAGTGGTCGTGTTGGCGCTCAGTATAAATGGACCTTTATATTTTAAACCGATTTGATTTCTAAAGTCCCGTTGTGTATAGAATTATCAGCGAACATTCTATCAGTTAATTCATTGAAATCGTTCAGTTTGTTTTCGATTTTAAGATTTTATCGCTCAGGGCCCTGTTTCTCGAAATCTTAACTAAAGTAAAAATCCAAATTTGAGTAGATACTTCAATTTTGATTGGCTAAGCACTAAAATCAACCTAATATTATCCAATCAAATTACTAAAATTTGGATTTTATCTTAATTAAAATTTTGTGAAACAGGCCCCTGTACGGGTCTTCATCTGGTCTGATTAATGGTGATAGTACCAGATGAATAGGGTTAGGGTTGGGGTTAGGGGGATGCCGTCCACCAAACTGATTTCTGGTTATTCAGATGGGACGATCAACTGAGGTTCTGTGTATATATTGGCGTGCACGTAAAATAACCCTTGGCAGTTTGAATTTGGCCTAAGAGTGGGTCGTAGTGCCGCTGTCCAGGCGAAATTCCGCTCATAGCACACTGTGTGGCGTTTGTCCGTCCACGCCACTTCAACACTAGCCCAGTTGTTGCTGAACGGTATCTCAATTCATTTCATTTCATTTCTAGGGGGTGGATGGCCGAATGGTTAGCGCGTGTGCGTTGTATCATAAGGTCTGTCATTGGGTCAACTGGCGTGGTTTCGATTCCCCGGTTGTAGTGACAAGGAGTAGGGTCGACTGTCCAACCTTGTGGGTTTTATCCGGGTCCTCCGATTTCCTCCCACTGCTAATAGCATATTAAAATACATTTGAACCGTGTGCTAGTCCCGAAATGACCTAGTTTGTGACGAGCGGACGTTAAACCCCGTTTCTCTCTCTCGCATTTCTTTTCTGATACACATAAAAACTAGAAACATACTTACCGCGTCAGCAAGGTTTGTGACGTCACTGTCACCAAATTTTATTTTGCCGCCATTTATAGATTTAAATGTGATGTCATGGTTGGTGCCAGTTTGAAAGACAAGATGGCCGTTCTGGGTTATAATCCGGGGTCTGGAAATAAATTATTTGAGTGTTACCATGGTAATGATGAAGTAGGTTGCTTATACAGAGGGGGTAGGGGTGGGGCAAATGGTTAAATGTCAATGATTCAAGTGGTTTCGAATCCCTGCTTATACGTGACAAGGAGTAGGGTCGCCTGCTAAAGACCCAACACGCGAGCAAATTGTTGAAATAAAATTGAACCATATGTAAGTCCTAAAATGACCTAGTTTGTGTCGAGTGGATGTTAAACCCCATCGCTCTCTCTGGTTAAACAGAAGACATTTCGTCATTTAGATTTCTAGACCATTTCGAATAAACGTGAACCGTGTAACACGCTCGATATAAAACGAAATTAAGAGGGAGAGAGAGAGAGGGGGGGTGGGTGTGGTTTAACGTCCACTCGACACAGGCTAGGTCATTTCCGGTCTAACATATGGTTTAATTTTATTTTAATAATTCACTTGCGCGTAAGGGGTTTTTAGCAGTGGGAGGAAGCCGGAGGACCCGGAAAACCCCACGAGGTTGGACAGGCGATCGTACTTCTTGTCACGTAAATAGCAATAAGGGTTGGGAAGACGTACCTACTTATTGTCACGTATCAGTTTGGGATTGAAACCACGCCACTTGACTCAATGACAAACTTTATGATCTACATGCGTTAGACCACTTGAAGGGGGTCACGGTGGCTAAGCGGGTAAGACGCTGGCTCGCTAGCCTGGAGGTCGGGTGTTCGATCCCTGCATTGGCCGAGAAAGTTCATCCAGATTTTCCGGCGTGGTTCTCTTTGTCAGTGATCACGTGGCTAAGTGGGTAAGACGCTGGCTCGCTAGCCTGGAGGTCGGGTGTTCGATCACTGCATTGGCTGAGAAAGTTCATCCAGATTTTTCGGCGTGGTTTCCCCTTCTCGGTGATGCAGGACGGGGGGGGGGGCTGACAAGGACAGCTGTCTAGTCGTTCAGATGGGACGAAAAACCGAGGTCTCGTGTACACATTGGCGTGCACGTAAAAGAACCCTTGGCAGTTGGAATTCGATATAAGAGTAGGCCGTAGCGCCGCTGTCTGGGCAAAATTCCCCTCATAGCACGCTGCATGGCGGATGCCCGTCTTTATTAACCCAGTCGGAGCAGAACAGTAAGACGTTAAACCCCATTTCACTTGTATACATGACATCTGGCCATCATTATATTCAACTTGAGGGGAGGAAGGGTATGGGGGTAGGGGTGGGAGGGGTATTGAAGATAAATCTTTATTAACCCAGTAGGACGTTAAACCCCATTTCATTTAATTTCTTAAACAAGTGAAGAGGCGTAGATTACGACTTATATAGAAACCGGTTAATAAAACTAGTAAGTAAAGATATTAGCATAAATTATGTACCTAAATAGATATACCCAAGGTATTATAGGTCAACAACATGCATATATAATATACCATATATTAAACATAGTCACGAACACCCTCATTAGGTGTAAAATACGGTAGATACATTAGATCTTTCATATCATATACACTACAGTAGACGCTTACGGCTAGAGGGTGCTACGGTGTCGAAGTGGGTAAGACGCTGGCTCGCTAGCCTTGAGGTCGGGTGTTCGATCCCTGCATTGGCCGAGAATGTTCATTCAGATTTTCGGACGTGGTTTCCTCTTGTCAGTGGTGCAGGACGGGGGGCCTAACAAGGACAGCTATCTAGTCGTTCGGATGGGACGAAAATCGGAGGTCCCGTGTATACATTGATATGTAAGTAAAAGATCCCTTGGCAGTTGGAATTCGATATAAGAGTAGGCCATACAGTGTGCTGTGAGAGACATTTTGCCCTGGCAGCGGCGATACGGCTATATCGAATTCCAACTGTCAGGGAATCTTTACGTGTATCTGGGACCTCGGATTTTGGGGCCAAGCCGTGCTATGGGAGAAATTCGGTCGGCTACTTTCCATCGAATTATACTATACGAGACCCCGATCTTCCGACACACCCGAACGAGTAGACAATAGTATTGTCGGGCCCTTGAGAATTCCCACGGAACCCAGGGGCATAAAGTTAGTGGTGGAAATTCGAAAGGGAAGCATTAGTTAAAAAATTAAATAATAATTAATATTTTTAGTAGCAGTAGATTTTATGATTTTTTTTTTTTTTTTGATTTTTTAAAAAGTGGTTGTGATTTCGTATAATATGACCATGAGATTCAATATTTGACATGTGGTCTGATATTAGATATGTATTATACACGGTATTTTATTGGAGTGATTAATATTTACACCATTTACTCAAGTGGTGTGGGTTCGATCCCATGTTTGTACGTGACAAGGAGTAGCGTCACCTGCCTAACCTCGTAGGTTTTTCTCTGGGTCGTCCAGTTTAGTTCCTATGCACGCAAGTGAGTTTTTGAAATACAATTTACTAAATGTTTCTCCTAAAATGACATGGTTTGTTTTCAGCAACAGTGCAAAATTCATTCAATCAATGAAAGAAATGACCGCAAATGGTTGAGATTAACGCACGCTGACTAATATAAATATTTGGAGTTGTCTTCTGATGAAATAAAATTAATAACCATCCTGAAATCGTCCCTATGTCTTCCACAGATATTGCCATTTTAAATATAATTTAGAAATTTGGAATATAATTTAAAAACGTAGAATAATTTTAATTTTAGAACAATTTGGAAAATATAACTTTATCATTTAAAATATAACTTTATAATTTAAAATAAAACTTGATAATTCAAAATACAATTTAAAATACAGTTTAAAATATAATTTAAAATATAATTTAAAATACAATTTAAAATACAATTTAAAATATAATTTAAAATATAATTTAAAAATTTAAAGTATGATTTAAAATATTCTAAAAATGTACTACTTAATTTAAGATAAAATAAAAAAAAAGTATTTATTATAATAATATAAACAGTCTAGCCATTTCACTTCCTTGAAAATATAATTTCGCCTCTAAGTACATGTAGTATATTCTTAAAACCAGTAGTATATTCTCAAATCAAGGTACGTGCACGTAAAAGATCCCTTGACAGTTGGAATGCGATATAAAAGTAGGCCGTTGTGCCGCCGTCCAGGCAAAATTTTCCTCATAGCACACTGTATGGCGTATGCACGTCTTCATTAGCCCAGCATAGGGGCAGAACAGTAGGACCTTAAACCCCATTTCATTTCATTTCATTTCAAATCAAGGTATATAACTGAACGATTTCTATTTTCTACAAGAATGCAAATTGGGATGTTAAATGTCTATGATTCCGAACAAATTCAGGCGATATTCATAAAACGTTTGTTTAAAATGTAAGTTTCCATTGCATATCATTCTTTTTGTAAATAAAAATTAAATTAAAATTCACAGGGAAGAAAAAATGTTATACTTACTGATCCGGTATGATTTCTCGTTTTTGTCGTGAATTTTGTGATGTTGGTGAAAATATAGAAAATAATATAAAAAGGTAAAGGCAAGGAGTCTTCCAGCGTGTCGACCCCATCTCTATGGTTTGACGCCCCCTTTCAATTATATCAACTTTATTCATCGACTATCTATTTCACTTGACTCTTATAGACCTATATCCATTGTCTTTATCAAGGGGAGTGAGGTTAGTAGAATAAATTAAATTTTGTTTCACCGGGCTGATTTAAATTGTCTTGTCATATTACTTTTATGAAGATTACTATGAAATAACATACTCAGGGTTTTTTTTACCAAAAGTTAAAAATTAATAATTAAATAACTTACTAAGATGTGCCCTTTCCACCCCTTTCTTGGAGCAGTCTATTATTTTGTTAATTAAATAATTTACCCAGACCCTATTTAAAATCAGAATATGATACCTGAAATAGTCTCGATTGACATGTTATCTAACCTAGAACAAATGGTATCAGATATATTAGACTCGAGCTATCAGTAACGTCTCTTCGTTACCTAACATTGTATATTAGTCGTATCGTCGTTTATCAGGAACCGGCGGTGACATCAAAGAACTAATTAATATAGTAATTAGTAACATTTGGAAACATTGTGTGCGTTATATCATTATCGTCTCGTGTAGAGTACTTATAAACAATTGTCTAGTCGCTCGGATGGGACGAAAAGCTGAGACCCCACCAACCCGTTATAAACTGGAATAACTAACCCTAACCCTAACCCCGTAGCACCACTACTAACCCTAACAATGACCGAGTAGCACCACTATTAACCCTAACCCTAACCCCGTAGCACCACTACGCTAGAAACTTACTCGGCCAACACCAAGATCGAACAGCGACCCTTCTGGTTAGTTAGTCGACGCCTTATTCACTGAGCCACCGGGAATATTCTCTTAACTAGCATTTCACACCGAACTCTAAAACATAAAATTAACCATGTTTTAGTCTCATCATGGCCTACTAGTAAGTGCAACAGGACCGCACTACACACAAACAGGAGCGAAGCCCAACAAATGTAAGTCCTGTACGAAGGAGACCTTTAACGGTATTCGAATGTGAGTCTTGCAATAGCAGTGGCGCAGGACACTGGAAAAAACCACGAGGTAGGTCAGACACCTTTCGCCTTGTCACGTACAAGCGTGGGTCGATAGCTCGCCTTTTGATTAAAACGTGTTAGACCGCCCAGTCCCCCCCCCCCTGGATTACATAGGAAAACACAGACCAAACAAACAGACCACAATATAGACAAATTGATAAAAATGTGTATGACAGGTGGAGAGAGAGAGAGAAGAAAGAGAGAGAGGGGGAGGGGAGGGGAGAGAGGGGAGGGGAAGAGAGAGTGAGATATATACTAAATTTACGCTGTCTATCTACAGACACTAAGCTAGTTGACTGACATTTTAAGTCCTAAATCGACGATGTTAGTCGAAAACACTATGTATATGTCGAGAATTTTGAGAAGTATTTATTCTGCTTCCAGTTAATAAAATTGAAAAGGTTTAATTAGTCTTTATGTGTATAACAGATGTGAACCGGAGTAGGACTGCGTTACAAAACAATATACTAATTGTTGGATATGGAGACTATTTAGGGCAGAGATCTATTCTCGAAGTAGAGTAGATACTTCCCTGTGTGTAGAATGTCAAGAAATTGAAAAAATGAAAAAAAATCGTAATAGGAATACTCTATGATTGTTCCAACCTCGTGGGTTTTCTCCGGGTCTTCCGGTATCCTCCCACTGCTAAAGACCCCTACGCGCAAGCGAATTATTGAAATAAAATTGAACCATGTGTTAGTCCCGAATTGACCTAGTTTGTGTCGAGTAGACGTATAGTAAAATGGAGAAATGAAAATGAAATGAAATGGGGTTTAACGTTTAACGTCCTATTGTTCTACTCCAACTGGGCTAATGTGCTATGAGGGATAATTTTGCCCGGGCAGCCGCGCTCGGCCCACCCTTATATCGAATTCCAAATGTTAAGGGTTCTTTTATGTGCTCGCCAACATCCGAACGACTAGACAGTTGTCCTTGTCAAAGCCCCCCCCCCCCCCCGTACTGAGTAAAAAGGAGACACAATAAACGAGACGTGGACAAATTTGATACATACACACAATTGATAAAGTTAAAACTGGAAAACGAGAAAACATTTGAAGAAATCATCAGGGGCCGGGAAAGGGTTGTTCAGTAAACGTGAGCACCTTGATGATAATGGTTTGATGGAGGTTTCTTCATTTCGGGACTAACATATGGTTCAATTAAATTTCAATAATTTGCTTGTGCGTAGGGGTATTTAGCAGTGGGAGGAAACCGGAGGACCCGGAGAAAACCCACGAGGTTCGACAGGTCACCCTACTCTTTGTCTTTAGCAGTGGGAGGAAACCGGAGGACCCGGAGAAAACCCACGAGGTTCGACAGGTCATCCTACTCTTTGTCCCGTACAACCGGGGAATCTAAACCACGCCAGTTGACTCAACGACAGACCTTATGATGCAGCGCGCACACGCTAACTATTCGGCCATCCAACCTCCCTCCTTTTAAAGATTCAACTTAAACAATATTGTACCTAGCAAGGGATTAACAGAGAGCTTAAACATACATTATGCAAGAGCTAAATCTGCCTATTCCAGGTCTTTCTTTAGGCCTGAAATAATGTTATCTAACTTATTAATTAGACATTAATTAAATTATCCAGACCATAATCAACTCTAAATGTCAACGCTAGCCTGTGATATTTACTGGATCAGGATCCGATTTACTGCTCAATTTTCATTCATGATTAAATCATGAAATGGATAACCAAGACTATGTTTTTTACCGTACCGAGAGAGAGAGAGAGAGAGAGAGAAGAGAGAGAGAGAGAGGGGGGGGCAATACAGTTATGCACAAACCAGTATATACGCAATTTCTCTTATCTATATAAGTATAACAGTTTAATACTGGTACAGGGCACGAGAAATGTAAACAGAGACTGGAATGCTGTGTAATATAGAATGTGTATAGTACCGTCGATACCCGGTGTAATAGTAGATGTATAGTTACGGCGGGTCTTTAGTAATATGGAATGTGTATCTATCAGTATATAGTACCATCAATATCCTATGTAATAGTAGATCTATAGTAATACTATAGTTACCATGTCTCTAGTAATATTATCATCTAATTTTATCAACTCATTACAATCACTATGTATCTAAATTAAAGGCTAGCTAACGAGATATCTTTATCGAACATTCTTTAATAACTAGATTACAATGAAATGGAATTTAACCTCCTATTGCTCTGGGAAATGAAATGGGGTTTAACTTCCTACTGTTCTGCTCCGAACTGGGCTAATAAAGATAGGCATACGTCATACATGCTATGAGGGAAAATTTGCCAGGGAAGCGGCACCACGTTCTACTCTTATATCGAATTTCAACTGTCAAGGGATATTTTACGTGCACACCAATGTGTACGCGGGACCTCGGTTTATCGTCCCATCCGAACTACTAGACAGCTGTCCTTGTCAGGCCCTTCGTCATGCATCACTGACAAGGGGGAACCACGCCGGAAAATCGGGATGAACTTTCTCGGCCAATGCAGGGATCGAAAGACCCGACCTCCAGTCTAGTGAGCCAGCGTCTTACCAACTTAGCCAACGTGAACCCCTGACAAGGGGGAACCACGCTGGAAAATCTGGATGAACTTTCTCGGCCAATGCAGGGATCGAAAGACCCGACCTCCAGTCTAGTGAGCCAGCGTCTTACCAACTTAGCCACCGTGAACCCTCCTACTGCTCTGTACCGACTGGGCTAATGAAGAAGGGAATACACCATACAGTGTGCCATGTGGAAAATTTTGCCAGGACAGCGGTGTTATCGCCTCCTGTTCTTCTATGTCAACGATTCTTTTACATGCACACCAACGTGTGCACGGGACCTCGGATTTTTGTGTCATCCAAACGGCTAGACGTTGTCCCGTGTCAGAGTCCCCGTCCTGCACCGCTGACAAGTGGGAACTACGCTGCAAAAATATTGTAATCTTGCAACCGTCAGTGTACTACACATTTGATATTATGATATCCATTTGTAGGGCCAATCGTCGAGAAAAAAACAACCCAATAAACATATTAGGACAATCTGCTAAAGGCTAATGTACATTTTTTTTTTCAGTGGATTTACGGATTAAAGCAAAAATTCATCTTTAGACCGACACTGTGCTAGATAATGTAAAATGAATAATTTGAAAATTTCATTCAAATTACTCTATTGCGAGCGAAGATATTAGATTTTGACTGAACTGTTCTAATCTATTTAATATCGGAAAAATCCGATGTCATCGATAGTTGATTATGGCCTGGATAAGTTAATTAATGTCTAATAAATAATTTAGAAAATATTTCAGGCCTAAAGAAAGACCTGCAATAGGCAGATTTAGCTCTTGCATAATCTATGTTTAATATACCCCACCGTCACGGAATGGGGGTGGAGGTGGGGGCAGGGCGTGGTGATCTATGATTTAGCATAAGAAACAAGATTCTATTGGGGGCGCAAAAACACAATATTTATATCCATGTTGGTTAGGGTGAGAAATATTAGGCTGTATTGAACATGCTGAGTCAGACAGGGGCTAAGTTAGAGGGACGCAATAACGAGCTTTGTGTCATGGTTTTGAGTTTTTGCGCCCCCTTGAGGTTTTGCGTCTCTCCCAAATGTAAAAAAAAATCACGTGATATCAATACGGTTTTCAACATTATAATCATAATCATAATGCTTAACCAGTGTCAAACATATACCATGGGTCATATATGCTACAGATCCACTCTAGTATGTTCCACATAGCCCAGTTTTACCCGGTGGCACTGGGAAGCCCCCCCCCCCCCTGCCCCGTACACACATTTAAATATTGTATTTTGGGGGCCAGGAGGGGATCTTATTCCTCGTAGAAAATCATGGGTCACCACGCCCTTGTAGTCAGGCTATTATAGGTTTGACAATGGTTGGACATCCTGCAGGGGATTACAGCTGTGTATAGACAAAAATACATGCTAACTGTCAGCGTGTACAAGACAAGCCATAGAAACATATACAGTACAAACATACATTTAAAAAGATTTGTAATCATTGGGGGGGGGGGCGAATGGTTAGCACGCGCGTGCTGTATCATGAGGCCTGGCATTGAGTCAACTGGCGTGGTTTCGAATCCCCGGCTGTACGTGACAAGGAGTAGGGTCGCCTGTCCAGCCTCGTGGGTTTTCTCCGGGTCCTCCGGTTTCCTCCCACTGCTAAAGATCCCTACGCGCAAGCGAATTATGGAAATAAAATTGAACCATATGTTAGTCCCGAAATGACCTAGTTTGTGTCGAGTGGACGTTAAACCCATCTCTCTCTCTCTCTCTTCTCTCTCTCTCTTTTGTAATCATTGATAAAATAGCCGAGAAAGTGGCTTATTAAAATGAAATTAACCTGAATGATTAAAGTCCAGGAGATAATATTTAACTGGTTTAAAGTCAGACGGTCATATCTCCGTTAGTTATAATATATACCCTGACCTCTGACCCCTCTCATTAATATTCAACTTATACAACGGTTATATCATCATTATAAATATTACTTTCTTGTTATGAAATCTATTTCACTTTTCTTGTAATGATTATTAGCAAATTATTGTCGGTCTACGTGTAATTCAATGTTTCAAAACATATTACAGTTATATATCCGGAGACCACACCACTCCGACATCCCATTGTATAAAAGGCCCCTTTCCATCTCGACGAGATGGTCCCTTGTTTTGTTTCTGAACACCCGTTCCGACCTGACAGAGATGGCTCCAGCGGACTGTTCGTTGTTGCTTTGTTTTTTTAAACACCCGTTCCGACCTGATAGGGATGGCTTTAGTGGACTGATGATATGCTTAGTCGTTTGGATGAGTCGAAACCCGAGGTACTAATACCAGAACTATGATTTTAGATAGGCAAACGCCTAATTCTTTTCCTGATAGCTCCAGGAGATTCGTTGGATATATAACATTAAACACATAAGTTACCATATTTGTCCCACAAATCTTATTTTCAATTGCAGTATCGACAGTTGTTCCATGCCAGGACCTCCGCCCTGCACCATTGACAGGGAAGGGGGTGGGGGGCAATGGCGGAATTTCCGATGACCTTTATATCGGTCAACACCGAGATTGAAGACGAGACCTCTAGGTTACCGAGCCACCAACGTCATAGCCATTGAGCCACCGCGTCGCCTGCCGAATTTAAGGAGGCCTGCGTTCACACATGAAATAGTTGTAGATTTCAGCAAAAATTGAGTTTTGAGAATTGTCTTAAAAGCACCCTTCGTGGTTTCTGATAATACGTGTTTGAAATACCCGTGTGGACTTTACATTTCTTTGATGATGATACGGTGTCGTATTGCAATGAGATAATGTCGAATCGAGCAGTGCCGGAAATATTTATAGCTACACAGCTAAAAATAATAAAGGAAGTTTACACCAATTCGAGTGCCAATTTAGCTGCCACCTAAATAAGGGGAACACCTAGCCTTTAGTGGTGTAAACCCAATAACACCCTACTGGTGTAGAACATTACACCAATTCTGGTGGAAACTAGTTGCCACTTCCAATAGTGTAACCTGCCTGATGCACTCCAGACACTGTAATGTTACATCTAAATAGTTTACACCTGTGGGTGTAGATTAAGCATCACCCTCTCAAGGATGGTTTGTAAATTACACTTCCATTTTAATTATTACACCAAGGGGAGGGGTCACATCTTCCTCTAGTCGTGAGGATCGGGGATTGGAAGGGGGCCCCATAAGAAGAATAACCTACGTACGACTTCTCTTCATCTAAATCTGGCACTGGAAGCGAGACACGATTATTTTCTGATTATTTTTTTGTGCATGTTTCTTATTATATTCCATACACATCTATTCCGTCTGTCTAAAATTAGCTCCGTTTGGGAACAGACACGAAGATAGTTGTCCGACATTTTATTTCCTACATCGACGATTTTAGTCGAAAACACTGAGTATACTTCTAGAATTTTGAGATTTATTTATTCCTCTGCCATTTTCACATGTACTGAAATTGAAAAAAGTTTATTTAGATTTTGTGTAAAGCGGATTAGAACCACGTAACAAAATAGTACATTTTCAATGTGGTGGCCATTCTGGGCAGAGTTCTATTCTCAATGTAGATACAGTAGTAGGCTATGTTTGTGCAGAATGATTGCATTCCTATTAAACTCTTAATTAATGAACATATTTAAGGACTCTACCAGTTGGATTATTTGTCATCACACTATCCACAAATGGGGTTTAACGTCCTGTTAATGGACACGGGCATAAGCTATGCAGTGTGCTATGATTGAAATTTCGCCTTGACAGCGTCACTCTACTTTTATATCGAATTCCGACTGGCATGGGATCTTTTACGTGCACGCCAATGTGTACACGGGACCTCGGCTCTTTGTCCCATCCGAACAACTACGTTGTCCCTTGCCCCTTGCCAGACCCTCCATCCTGCAACACTGACAAAGAGGAAACACAAACTCATAAGCATTTTACTTCGTCGGCCACCCGTTAAAAGGAACGGAATAATCATTGCGACTCTCCGCTTGCCCTTGTTACTCAATTGTGCTGGGCCCTTTTTCACGAAAACTTAAAGATACATTATGGCAGATAAGATAAAGAGATGGCAGTCCTCGCTATAATAGTTAAAAACTAGATAGTGTAAAGGTAATTTGCTGAAAATTTCAGTCAAATTGATCCACTATGAGCCCAGAAAGAAGCGGGTGAAATTTTTGCATAGTCTCGGTCATCATTACTAAAATCATTAATATAAACAGCATAGTCTCGATTATCCGCTTTTTCTGATTTAATTATCAATGGCCGTTAGCGGCATTTAGGAATCTAATCCAGCCAACATCGAAGGCTAGCCTTGACATCGAGAGTTTATTATGGTCTGGATAAGTTAATTAATGTCTAATTGATAATTTAGATAACATTTCAGGCCTAAAGAAAGACTTGTAATAAGCAGATTTTGCTCTTGCATAATGCATGTTTAAACTAAGTTACAACCGAAATTTTAAGAAATACTGCAACTTCATTGGATATATGCAAATTGATTTTACTGGTCAGCCAATCGAATTGCAGTATTTCTTAAAATTTCGATTGTATCTTAGTTTAAGTTTTGGTGAATAAGGGCCCAGAATTCCTCTTCTGGACTGTTTATTTGACCGCTGGATTGGTTGTGCTTGATTTTGATTTATGATCATAATGTGTTATAATTATATTATTTCCTCCATAGTTCCTATCCTGTTCCAGGATGGTAAAAAAAAAGCTGACAATTGTACACGAGCGTTTAATAATTCATGACGGCTTTATATTCCAACCCATAACCAGGAAGAAAATCAAATCACAAATAAATCTTGATAAACATTTAGACATGAAAGTTGTTTTTATCTACGGAATATTTAAGTCTTGGTGCATAACTTGAAATGTGGGCTCGGCGATGAAAATTGGGTAAGAATTGCCTCCCCTGAGATTATGCTCTTCTAAAAGGAGAACAAAATGTAACGGTTGCTATAGCGGTAAACATCCAGTCATATTTACCGTTAGTTTATAACGGGTCATTAAGTCAGGATAATCGAGACCACTCCCATGACAACTATTACAACTAAGATGGCGTCGAACGAAGCATCGGACAAATTTTATCTGGAAAGTATCCTTTTTAATTCAACAATTATATTATAAAATATATTTTTATTGCGGGAAAATATACTCTTTTTATTCCTTCAAAAGTGGAAAATCTATTTTTTTTGCAATATCAAGACAATTTAGTGAAATAAATCGTTTTCAATTGTATCTGTGACATCACAATGATGAATGAATAGACGATTGGTCAAACGTAAAGTGCAAAAGTAAAAGCCGACAAAACAAATCAAGATAATTAAAGAATTTATAAGGCCTAGAAGACAAAATACTGATGGCGGAGCCGAAAAGTAATGAATATCTACGTTCTAAAAAAAAGTAAAAACAAAAACAAAACAAAAAGTTACAACAAAAACAGGAAAAAGTAGGAGACATTTTTTTCTGATTTTACTTTTTATTATTAGGCTATTGATTGTTATCCATACAGTTATGTTATTTCAACAAATAAGAATATGTTTACCCCGCTTTGCACACAGCATGTGATTATTGTGATATTAAGGTACATGTCGAATCTCAACCTGCCGTAAGTTGGACCAGTTTTTCATGACTGGCCTCGCTGGCAAATTTCTGAGCAAACATTTATCTGCGATGTTCTCATTGGAATTGGATGTACGTTAACCCCTCTATTAGTCTATAGACAAGTCGACTAACTGTTTCTCGTAGAAGTTCTAAGTGGAATTAGCCAATGTAATTTAAGCCCTCTAACTCTAACATTTATTAATATTAAGTATCGTATTTTGAATTTAAAATGATGATCAATAAATGTCATTTCCATCAAGGGGGGAGTGGGGGTGTCTGGTTAGTGCATGGTTAGTGCATGTGTTGTATCACAAGGTCCGTCATTGAGTCAACTGGCGTGGTTTGATTCCCGGGATGTACGTGACAAGGAGTAGGATCGCCTGTCCAACCTCAGGGGATTTCTCCGGGGCCTCCGGATTCCTCCCTATGATAAAGACCCCAACACCCAAACGAATTAATTAAATAAAACTGAACCATATGTTAGTCCCGAAATGACCTAGTTTGTGTTGATTGGACTTTACCCCCCCTCTCTCTCTCTCTCTCTCTCTTCATCAAGGTGATGTCACAAGTGGTGTAATCGTACCTGACATGAGTAAAACTGATCACAAAATAATGAAAGCATGAAACTCAAAGATGGTTACTTGGCGGATATTTTTTTTTATAAAATGTAAATGAAAACTAGGCTACAATCGATCCACATTGCCCATAGTGAAGTTAACATTCAGATTGAAAATAAAAAATTAATTCTTTTAAAAACAAAGAATTTAAGATTCAATCTATATAATATGTAGTTTGAGCAGTTAAGTAAAAACAAACCTTAACCAGTTATTTAGAGGAGCAACTGTTAGCTGATTCTGATGATGAATTCCAATATGAGGAGGTTCCTATTGATGAAGAATTTATTGTTGATGGTAGGTCAGAGTTACTTACCTTGGCATATTCTGTTAAACTTTATTAAAACAATTTAGATTACTTATATACTTGGAATATTCTGTTAATGCAATTAAGATTACCGGTACTTATATTGAAATATTCTTATGAATATAGGTTAGTCAGATTTGTGTTGAAGATTTTAATGTCCTTGGTTATGTATAATTCAAATACTGACAGTTGATGGTGGATTTGTTCAAAGAGAATTAGCAGGACGGAAAATAATGATTTGAGACCTGATAAAATCCCATTTAGGCCTACTAGCAATCAACTAGTACCTGATATAGGCCTACCTTTAAATAACAATCAGTGACCAACAAAATGACAGGCACCAGTGGGAATGTGCCTGATGGTTCCTGGCTTTTAAACTGGACATATTCTAATTTTATATTATTGACTGTTGTTTTAATAAACTATTTAGAAATATATATTTTAATTTATTTATTTATTATAGAAGTAGTAGAGAATTTAGATATTGCTGTTAGAACAATCCGAGAATCTCAGGATGATGCTGAAGCAGCTGTGAGTTATTTAAATCCTTTCATATTTTAATAACTGATATTGATGTAATAGTAGTAATAATAATAATAATAATCTAAGCTTACATAATAATGAATGAAATAGAGCTAAACTTATCACTTACACGGGGGGTTTTATGTCATTGAGTCAACTGGCGTGGTTTCGAATCCCCGGTTGTACGTGACAAGGATTAGGGTCGCCTGTCCAACCTCGTGGGTTTTCTCCGGGTCCCCCGGTTTCCTCCCACTGCTAAAGACCTCTACGCGCAAGCGAATTATGTAAATAAAATTAAACCAAATGTTAGTCCCGAAATGACCTGGTTTGTGTCGAGTGGACGTTAAACCCCATTTATCTCTCCCTCTTATCACTTACACAATACTTCCATCATGTAGGACTAACAATATACAGTTAACTTTTTCCATCAACTCAAATACAATGTTAGGAAGGTGAATTTTGCCAAGAGAGTGACATTTCCACCTATTCCTCATAAAGCAGTTAATTGTTCTCTCATGTGCATCTTAATATTGTGTAGCATGGTATTCAGAGAATTTAGAAAGTCTGCCATGTTTTCATTGCTGTATAATAATCTACTGCAACTGTCAGGACAAATTGTTCTCTCTTGCAGAATGACTGTAATGTCTTGATTTAAGTAAATTGGAAATACTATTCTGTATTAACAACTAACCCAACCCTAACCCTTCTGTTTCAGGTTCGGAAAGAAAGCACAGCTCGACCGTCTGTTACCCAACATCCAGAAGTTGTTGATGATTTTGTGAGAAATTTTCTTGTCCGAATGGGAATGGGACGAACACTGGATTGTTTCCAAACAGAATGGTAGGAAAACAATTTACATTTTTTTATTTATTTCCTATATATTCAAGAGAACAAAACAACTAAATTGCCAAATATGGTAGCAAGCTGAACAGTTTGGAGGACTTTTAAAAGTAGATCAATTTGGATACGATGTAATTAGATATTTCAAGTATTTAACCATTAAAGGTCACTGGAAAAGCTTCAAATTTTTTAAATAAGGCAAGTAATTATGTCAACATTTCCTTTCCATAAGTATAACACGAAGGGGAATGCCAATATTACCTGCAACAGGTAAATTTCAATGTTAGTAATTTCCACTGTTCTCCATAGGTAGTGGTAACTTTCCGTCAATAAACAATCCGAGACGTCATTTTAGTGCTCATATTCTTGTCTATATTTCTATGAGCAGAAGGACTAAAATGACGTCACAGATTGTTTTTTGCCAGAAAGTTACGACTACCCACAGAGAACGGCGGAAAATTACTAACGTTGAAATTTACCCGCTGCAGGTAATATTAATACTGACATTCGGGTTTATGTTATACTTATGGAAAGGAAATGTTGACATAATGCCTTGCATTATAAATTTATGAAGCTTTTTCCAGTGACCTTTAACACAATACAAAAAGTTAGATATACATGGAGGTCTTTTTATACTCAAGTAGCTTATGCTTAAAGATGCATTATTCAAGAACTAAATCTGCCTATTGCAGGGTTTCTTTATTATGTTATATAAATTATTAATTAGACATTTATTAACATGAAAAGACTTAAATCAATTCTCGATGCCATCGTATGGCTCTAACTTTAAGTAGATTAGAATGGTTCAGCCACCTAATGATTTAATTTAAAAATGGAAAAACAAAGTTTAGTCTCGAATATACCAGTACCGTGGTTACAATAATAAACAATCAATGCATACATCTTGTCAAAACTACAAACAGTGATTTGAATGAAATTTTCAATATATTTATTTTGTATTTGTTGACCTATTATAGCAAGAATGGCTGGCTCTGTATCTAATTTTACATAATGTGTATTTAAGCTGTGATAAAGAAAAATACCCAAGTGTGGGTATGGAAATAACGGTTTTAGATGTACCTGACAAAATGTCAAGCACTTATGAAATAGTACCTGACATTTTCATCTTAGTACCGGACATGTATTATTAATAACATTAAAAAAGACAATTCAGTGCCGGACAAAAAGCCTGAATCTGTGCCTGAAATTGTCTGTGACAGGTGCCTTATTTCCAGACTTGCGGCCAAGTGTGATCTGTGGTACTATATGTTATGTGTATTTATTTAAAGGTACGAGTTACAAGGGAAAGGTTTATTACATGGAAGTGTGATCTGTGGTACTATATTTTATGTGTATTTATTTAAAGGTACGAGTTACAAAAGAAAGGTTTATTACATGGAAGTATGTTCCGTGATACTATATGTTATGTGTATTTATTTAAAGGTACGAGTTACAAGGGAAAGGTTTATTACATGGAAGTGTGATCTGTGGTACTATATTTTATGTGTATTTATTTAAAGGTACGAATTACAAGAGAAAGGTTTATTACATGGAAGTATGTTCCGTGATACTATATGTTATGTGTATTTATTTAAAGGTACGAGTTACAAGGGAAAGGTTTATTACATGGAAGTATGATCTGTGATACTATATGTTATGTGTATTTATTTAAAGGTACGAGTTACAAGGGAAAGGTTTATTACATGGAAGTATGTTCCGTGATACTATATGTTATGTGTATTTATTTAAAGGTACGAGTTACAAGGGAAAGGTTTATTACATGAAGAGGATATTGATGTTGTACCAGATATCTACGCTAGGAATCAGGATCTCGACAACGAAATCAAATTCTTGAAAAAAGAAGTAGATAAATATAGAAACGCTGCCCTGTAAGTCTGTTATTTTGTGATACTCGAATTCAGATAACAAAAGTATGAATAAAATTGAAGGCTATTATAAAATCTTGATCCAGTGCATCTTACCAATGCGGTGTTTTATATAACAAGGTCTGGAAATAGTTATTTTAGTCGAGCACTAATCGACTAGTATTTTAGGCGTAGCACTAATCAACTAGTATTTTAGTCAAGTACTAATCAACTAGTATTTTAGTCAAGTACTAATCAACTAGTATTTTAGTCAAGCACTAATCAACTCGTATTTTAGTCAAGCACTAATCAACTAGTATTTTGATCAAGCACTAATCAACTAGTATTTTAGTCATAGCACTAATCAACTGGTATTTGGCATTTTGTACTTTATACCAGACATATATATTTAATATACTTAAGAATTCTGATAATAGACATGCACTAAACGAATTGTGTTGATAATCTTGAATATCTGTGACAGGTGCCTTATATTTAAGGGTTGATTATAACCCTGCTGATTCAGTGATTCCATGTTCCAAGTTTCCTCCTTAGGCAAATGTTTGTATTGATTGTGACACAGGTGGATGGAACAGAATCTCATAGAATTCTTGCAATAAAAAGAGACTCCCTTTGATTCTCTTTTCTTGTTTTAAAACAGAAATGACCATGTTTTATTTTGGGTTTCAGTAAAGCGAAAGAAACATATGTTAAACTGAGGAAAGAGAGAGATTATCACAGAATGCATCATAAACGTGTCGTCCAGGAGAAAAATAAATTTATTGATGACATTAAAAGGTAAGTGAAATGAAACAAAATGGTGTTTACTTTCCTCTATAAACTCAACTGATGGAGATAGTCGTACGACAGGCATTGAATAATTCTTACGGTTGATTTCCTGACATTCCTTTCAAATGACTCCTCAAATGACCTGATTGGGAGATTAGATAAAGAACTGGCAGTTCTCATTATAATAATTAAAAACTAGATAATGTAAAAGGAATTTGCTGAAATTGCAAATACCTGCAACAATCTTTAAGCATTGTTCATTTGATTGATTAAATTTCAGATTAAAGAGACATTATCAGCAATATGAACCAACTTTACACCAGCTGAAGAGGAAGTATGAGGTGGCCATGAAGGAGAAGATGTTGGCTAAACTAGAAAGAGACAGAGTCGTAGGGCAGGTTAATGGTTTACAGAGTACCTTAAAATCTATGGAGTCCTTTAAAGGAACTTCGTCCATGTCTCTACAAGGTTGGTGGTTTGTTTCTTTTAGTTGCTCACCTTTATCAAAAAATCTTATTCTAAGATATTTTATAAATTCATCCTATCTATTGGACAAGAGCTAAAATTTTTGCTCATGTGGCTCCTCAAAAAACAAATGTAGTGAACAATCCATAAATTATGTGATTAAATACTTTAACAAAATTAGAACCATTTTAAAAGTGTATTAATAGAGGGGGTCACGGTGGCTAAGTGGGTAAGATGCTGGCTCGCTAGCCTCAAGGTCGGGTGTTTGATCCCTGCATTGGCTGAGAAAGTTCATCCAGATTGTCCGGCGTGGTTCCCCGTTGTCAGTGATGCAGGACAGAGGGCCTGTGTACACATTGGCTTGCATGTAAAAGATCCCTTGACCGCTGAAATTCGATATAAGAGTAGGCCATAGTGCCGCTGTCCGGGCAAAATGTTCCTCAAGCACACTGTATGGCGTATGCCCGTCTTAATTAGATAAGTTCGGAGCAGAACAGTAGGACGTTAAACCCGATTTCCTTTTATTTTGTATGTATAGATAAACGATCAGTAAAAGGAGATAAGCAGGTAGAAGAACTGGGACCAACACAGAGAGCGTTGGCTTTAGAGAGAGAGAAGGTATCAGAATGTGATATACAATTATTACCAGAAGATTTTAAACGATATCCCAACGTAAGTAGCAAAATTTCCTCCACACATCTATCCTCCATTTTTCCAGGAAAAATTCTTCTACATGTAACCATAGTAATAGAAATTGTTAATTTATAAAAACTTCGCTCAGTGATAAATGAAATTTTGTGAATGGTGGAAGCGATCCTACAGCTGAATAACAATAAAGAGTACTTGTAATACATTAGACTTTGTATTTTGATATAAATTGAAATTCTGTCTGTTGATGTTTTGTTTTTTTTTAGTTCAATATGTGTCGTTTTGTACCAGAAATCTGTCATATTTATAGAATAGTTCATGATAAAATAGAAAGTGTATATCAAGTATCCCAATTCTCACCTCACTAGCTATTCAATACAGTAAATCACAAAGGAGTTGTTTTACAAACAAAGGAGTAATTTTACAAAGGAGTTATTTTACAAATAAAGGAGTAATTTTGCAAATAAAGGAGTAATTTTACAAACAAAGAAGTTATTTTACCAACAACGGAGTTATTTTACAAACAAAGGAGTAATTTTTACAAAGGAGTAATTTTTACAAACAAAGGAGTTATTTTACAAACAAAGGAGTAATTTTACAAACAAAGGAGTTATTTTACAAACAAAGGAGTAATTTTACAAACAAAGGAGTAATTTAATTACAATTGTCTATTTCAGGATTCTGTTTTCCCCGTTGATACAGGTGTCAATCCTTACCTGTCAAATTCCAAGGCAGCACCAAGTCACATCAGTAGAACAGGTGGTTTCCGTCTCTCGAATACGATACAGGCACACAGTCATTCTGTTAGCGGGTAAATATATTACTGTTAATAGGGGTTTCAGGTCACGTGACTTTAGCGTGAAATCGGACAGCCAGCGGCTGAAATATAGCCCACTTCAATCTACGGTTCTGAATTACTATTTTATGTAAATGCATTACTAGCAATTGTATTGCAATAGTTTAATATCAATCTCAATATCTGCAAAGATTCAGGCTAAAAAATTATCGAAATGTAAGTGAAATTACCGTTTGTTTACATGAGACGCTCGCGGGAAAATACCGCTCTGACGTCACACGACCTGAGATTTTCCATTGCTATGACTCACTTCATTGGTGAATCCGCAGCTTAGTTACCGGGGGATTTTGATATAGAACCAATCAAACGATAGAAAACATTTTTGTGGTTATTATGGTTGTTGATACCACGTGATCGGACAAGTAGACCCGTAGAAAATGGGATTTATCTGTTTTGATGACTGAAAATTGCCAAATTTCGACTAAATATAAAAAAACCTTCTTGAGGTATCATCCAGATTATAAATATTTGACATATTATCATTCAAATTATTACGATTTTAATAAATTTTTGCTGACAATAACGTGCAGATTTCAGGTTTAAAATTGGTACTAGCGATTCTGAAGGGAAAATACCGCTTATGACGTCACTCAAATATGACTGAAAAGCACTTATTTTGGTGCCATGCCACGCATTGACTGGTATAGAACATTTTGATTACATTATTGACGTCGATCTCGGATTTTAAAATTCCATAACTTTGGATCTAATTAGAATATTTTGATGAAATAAAAAAATTTGGGTAGCATTTTATGTATATTTTCACAAAATATTTTTAAAAAATTTTTTTCTGTCATTTGAAACTTTGACCTGAAACCCCTACTGTTAGCGGGTAAATATATTATTGTTAATACAACATGTGCAGGGAGATCAGAACAAGGCCCCGAGTTCACACAGCATTATCAGACTAAAGTTAAGAATTTACTCAAAATTGTTTGTCTTATTTTAACTAAAATATAGCCCTTTATAAAACTTTTGTTGTTTTAATGCAGTCCTTCACGTTTAAGGGGAGCTTTTGCTCCTGTTCCTCTCGACGCACGTCGGCTTTCCTTCGAAGAAGTCATTAAAGACTCCTGTAAATTAGCTAAATCGCTCTCCTAAATATTGAGATTAATAAACTACTTTCAGTTTTTGTTTACTTTTAAACTGCATATATTCAAGGTATCAGGAGCTTTTTATGGCTCCCGCACAATTTTATAAACATGAAGGACTGTTAATGTATCAAATACATCAATAAGAAACTATGTGCAAAGTTTTGTGTTTCTGGATCAAAGATATTTTTCATAAGCAGTGATTGAAAGTTGAGTAAATTCTTAACTTAAGTCTGATAATGCTTTGTGAACTTGGTGCCTGGTATATAAACACAACAGTACTACAAAAGTTTGTTATATAATATTTTATATCGCAGTCGGAAGTGGTATCTGGGGTTCTAGAAAGAGTGGGCATACCCTCTCTCATGTACAACACCTATCAATACTATATACATGTATCAAGTGGTATGAGGTGTTCTAGAGAGAGTAAGCACACCCTGTCTCATATACAGCACCTATCAATACTATATATCTTGACTAGGTGATATCAGATGGTCTAGAAAGAATAAGCATACCCTGTCTCATGTAAAACATTCAAAAGGGGGGGGGGATTGGATGGCCGAATGGTTAGCATGTGCGCGCTGTATCATAAGGTCGGTTATTGAGTCAACTGGCGTGTTTGCAGTTCCCTGGTTGTGCGTGACAAGGAGTAAGGTCGCCTGTCCAACCTTGTGTTTTCTCCGGGTCCTCCGGTTTCCTTCCACTGCTAAAAAAACCCTACACGCAAGCAAATTATTGCAATAAAATTGAACCATGTGTTAGTCCCGAAATAACCTAGTTTGTGTCGAGTGGACGTCAAAACCCCATTTCTCTCTCTCTCTCTCTCTCTCTCTCTCTCTCTCTCTGGCTTTCTGGAAAGAGTAAGCTGACTTGTGCACAAAACATTTATTCCTACTTATAGCTAAATGTTTGGACTGAAGCTAATGTTATTAGGTAAAGAAGGTGGCAGATGAGCGCATTTTTTCGCTGAATCGCGCTAAGTTTTAAAATCGCTCGAAATAATCGCCCGATCAATCGCTCTTATCTAGCATGTAAGATATTTTCGTCCAAATATTTTTCGCTGGTGATCAAATTCACTCTTGTACCAGTGTCCAGCGTATATATTGTTGGGCGAACCATTTTTATAAGCCAATCGGAGACCTGATGGAGCATGGAATCCAACTCCTGTACCAGTTAATAGTATTCAATTGTGTGCACCTAACAATATTATTCCAAGAAATCCTTTCCTTGTATTTCAGGGTTGCTCTTCATCCACGTAAACAGATCCTTGTAACCAGTAGTGATGATAATACGTGGAAGATGTGGGCGGTACCAAGTGGTGACATAATAATGACAGGTGAAGGTCATACAGATTGGGTGTCTAGTTGTGACTTCCACCCAGGGTAAGTTAATAATCTCAGTTGGTTTTTATTGATTGTGACATCATTTATCATTTGTGACATCATTTGATTGTCTTTATCATTTGTGACATAATTTCATTGTCTTTATCATTTGTGACATCATTTGATTGTCTTTATCATTTGTGACATCATTTGATTGTCTCATTATTTGATTGTCTCGACTATTAATTTGACAATCTATCATTTGTGACATCATTTGATTGTCTCTATTAATTGAATGTCTGTCATCTGATTGTCTCTTTGTCAGTTGATTGTCTCTATCATCTAATTATTATTTGATCGTCTCTATCATTTGATTCTCTCTATCATTTGTGACATCATTTTATTGTCTCCAACATTTGGTTTTCTCTAACATTTGATTGTCTCTATCATTTGATTGTCTCTAGTATTTGATTGTTTCTAGTATTTGATTGTCTCTATCATTTGATTGTCTCTATCATTTGATTGTCTCTAGTATTTGTGACATCATTTGATTGTCTTCATCATTTGTGACATCATTTGATTGTCTCCAACGTTTGGTTGTCTCCAACATTTGGTTGTCTCTAACATTTGGTTGTCTCTAATATTTGGTTGTCTCTAACATTTGATTGACTCTATCATTTGATTGTCTCCAACATTTGGTTGTCTCTAACATTTGGTTGTCTCCAACATTTGGTTGTCTCTAACATTTCACTGTCTCTAACATTTGGTTGTCTCTAGTATTTGATTATGTCCATTATTTGATGTTAACATCGCATGGTTGGTACATAATAATTTGATTACATATCGTCAAGGTAAATTTTTAATGTCTCATCTATTTTGTTTTCTAGGGGAGCAAAACTAGCGACTACTAGTGGTGATACAACCGTTAAAATTTGGGATTTTGCTAAAGGAGAATGTGTACATACATTTGTGGATCATATGCTGGCAGGTAAATATATTTAAACATGTCTGATTTATGTAATAGAGAGGTTTCACAACTTAACTGTTACACACTTACATTTACATTTAGATAAGTGTAAGTGGAAACTGTACATTATGACGTTTCACTAAATTCACACTTACAGTTACACTTAGTATATATAGGAGGCGACACAAACTTGGTCCATGATCTCGATAGGCCTTCGTCACGGATAGATTGTTGAAGATGAGATTACTAAAGCACGCAAATGTTTTGTCTGAGCCTCTTCTTATATTGTCTACATGAAGGAGCGGGTCTTCTCTGTGGATTTAGTTCGTGAAAAAAAACGATTCAGAGAAAAATTATGGACTGGATTATAGAAATTAAACAAGGTTTAGCTAAGTGTTGTGAACTTACAGTTATGGAGGCTGCTATCTGTCGGACACACTTTTATGACGTGCGCTTCACATAATACATCACAAAAACTGTACGTGTAAAGTTGCGCAACCTCTCTATTATAATGTAGAATATTTTAGTTATTTAAAACTTTAAAAATAGACCGTAATCGTCTGGGATTGTGCAGATTCAGCTTGTTTCTTAATTCATCCAAAATATTAACACATAAGAACTATAAAATTAATTTTATTGTGTTTTAAAGCCTTTGAAATTTTAATTATGACATGTTAGATTGACTGTGAGAGGTAAGTTCTCTATCCAGTCAATATGTCTGTCAAGGCCGGTCAATATGACTGCCAGCCAGTCAAGGCCGGTTAATATGACTGTCAGTCAAAACTGGTCAATATGACTGCTAGTCAGTCAAAACTGGTAATATGACTGCCTGTCAGTCAAAGCCAGTTAATATGACTTCCAATCAGTCAGTCAAGGCCGGTCAGTATGTCTATTACAAGAGCTGCTTTATGTGTTAGTAAATATTATTTTGTGTCCAAGTGAATGCCAGTTTATATATTTTGATTTTGTTTTGTTATTTAGTATGGAATTGTAGCTGGCATTCATGTGGTGATTTCCTGGCCACCTGTTCTATGGACAACACATCTAAAGTATGGGATTTAAATAGTTTACGATGTCGCTACACGTTACGAGGTCACACCGATTCCGTTAATAGCATCCAGTTTGTTCCATTCTCTAATATACTTCTGACATCATCAGCAGATAAAACTTTATCATTATGGGATGCAAGAACGGTAAATATATAATTCTTTATTCTTAAAACTTTTTATAACGTTTTTTTGTTCCATCTGAACGTCTGACATCCACTTGACACAAACTGGGGTTCAATTTTATTTCAATAATTCGCTTGCACGTAGGGGTCTTTAGCAGTGGGAGGAAACCGGAGGACCAGAGGACATGGAAAAACCCCACGAGTTTGGACAGGCGACCCTACTCCTTGTCATGCACAACCGGGGAATCAAAACCACGCCAGTTGATTCAGTGACAGACCTTATCCTTATGATACAACACACGCTTGCTAACCATTATTTTATTTCATTTAAATGATTTATATTGCTTCATTTATATTTATTTTATATTTATTACAGGGTTTGTGTACTCAAACATTCTATGGACACATGAATTCTGTTAATCATGCTGCTTTTAATTTACGGGTAAGTTTTTCCAAATTTTCTTCTCAAACCCACTGATTTACATGATGTCATGGGTGATGTCATTTGATTGGTTCCAACCACTTCATTGTGGCATCATTTAATTGTATCCAACATATTTCTTGTGACATCATGGACCTTTGCCATCATTTGATAGTTGTTACATCATTTGTCCATTGTTACATCATTTGTCCATTGTCCATTGTTACATCATTTGTCCATTGTTACATCATTTGATTGTTGTTACATCATTTGATTGTTGTTACATCATTTGATTGTTGTTACATCAGTTGACATCATTTGATTGTTGTTACATCAGTTGACATCATTTGATTGTTACATCAGTTGACAGTTGACATCATTTGATTGTTGTGACATCATTTGATTGTTGTGACATCGTTGTGACATCATTTGATTGTTGTGACATCATTTGATTGTTATAACATCATTTGATTTTTGTGACATCGTTGTGACATCATTTGATTGTTGTGACATCATTTGATTGTTGTAACATCATTTGATTGTGTGAATAATGTCATTTTTTGGTTTTGACAGCTTTATTTTGAATATTTATTGCCAAGATCATATAAATATAAAGCAATTTCTTTACAAATATTTTCTGTTTTCAGTGTGATACAGTAGCATCGTGTGATTCGTATGGTATATTTAAATTATGGGATGTAAGAAATGTATCGGAAATGGTGTCTGTGGATATCGGTCCACATCCTGCTAATCATGTGACATTCGATCCTTCAGGTAAAAACATTAGATATATATAGACCATACACCCAAAAACTCTACTCCATTACTGGCATTAGATATAGGTGGGTTGGATGGCTGAATGGTTAACCTGTATCATAAGGTCTGTCATGGCGTGGTTTCAATTCCCCGGTTGTACGTGACAAGGAGTAGGATCGCCTGTAAAACCTCAAATTGTTGAAATAAAATTTAACCATGGACATTAAACCCTGTTTCTTTCTCTCTCTCTCTCTCTCCCTCTCCCTTTTTTCCAGGTTTGTGGACCATTCAACCACATCTCCACAAATAGTTTCCACCTAAATCAACCTCATCTTCATGAATAGTTCCCACCTCACTCAACCTCACCGCACCCAACCCCATGTCACTCAACCTCATCTCCACAAATAGTTCCCACCACACTCAACCTCATCTCCACAGATAGTTCCCACCTCACTCAACCTCATCACTGCAAATAGTTCCAACCTCACTTAACCTCATCTCTATGAATAGTTCCCACCTAACTCAACCTCATCTCTACGAATAGTTGCCACCTCACTCAACCTCATCTCCACTAATAGTTCCCACCTCACTTAACCTCATCTCCACTAATAGTTCCCACCTCACTCAACCTCATCTCCACAAATAGTTCCCATCTCACTCCATCTCATCTCCACAAATAGCTCCCACCTCACTCAACCTCATCTCCACAAATAGTTCCCATCTCACTCCATCTCATCTCCACAAATAGTTCCCACCTCACTCAACTCATCTCCACTATTAGTTCCCACCTCATCTCCACTATTAGTTCCCACCTCATCTCCACTATTAGTTCCCACCTCATCTCCACTAATAGTTCCCACCTCACTCGACCTCATCTCATCTCAAATGATTCCCACCCCATTCAACCTCATCTCCACTAATAGTTCCCACCTCACTCAACCTCATCTAATCTCAAATGATTCCCACCCCATTCAACCTCATCTCCATGAATAGTTCCCACCTCACTCAACCTCATCTCCACGAATAGTTCCCACCTCACTCAACCTCATCTCTATGAATGTTTAGTAAGATATTAATTTTAAATGTTTATTTTATCGTTACAGGCAGTGTATTGGGTGTCTCCAGTAATGACAGTACAATTAAAATGTATGAACTTGCTTCAGGACAAGTGAGTAATTTCATTCTTTCATTTTTGACATCCCTTTCAATGTAGGATGAATTTATCCAAGAAAAAATTTAAAATTGAATTGTGTTCAGACTTCTCAATCGAAATACAGCAGCAATCATTGATGGCAGCAGGATATTTCAGTAAGCTGGGGGGCATGGGAGGACTTGGTTAAAAAAGTATCAGCAACGTAATCAACTGAAATAATCTACATATTCTTTGACAGAGACAGAAAGATGGGTCATGGAGCTTTGATAAAGCTAGCTTGGAATGAAAGGCGGTATATTAGGGTCAGAAACAAAGTGTACAATAAACCGGTACCATGTGTTAGTCCCATCTCTCTCTCTCTCTCCCTGACCATCTCTCTCTTTTTCTCTCTGAACAATTCCCGGGTTGTACATGACAAGGAGTAGGGTCACCTGTACAACCTTTTGGGTTTTCTCTGAGTCCTCCGATTTCCTCCCACTGCTAAATACCCCTACGTGCAAGCGAATTATTGGAATAAAGTTGAACCACGTGTTAGTCCTGAAATGACCTAGTTTGTGTTGGTTGTGTGGACCGTAAACCTCCCTCTCTCTCTCTCTCCGTCTCTCTCTCTCTCCGTCTCTGAATCTGAGTACATGGTTTTCAATATACTTGTATATTATTTCAGATAACTGCCTTATATGGTCATGAAGATGCGGTACAGTGTGCGTTATTTGATCAAAGTGGAGAGTTTATGATATCTGGTGGCAGCGACTGTACGGTTCGCATCTGGTCCTAAAAACATCCACACTTGTCAATCATATTTAAATTTTATTAGATATTTATTTATTATTTAAACTGTGATTTATATTTATGTCAAGTTTCCCTGTATTTGTTATTTATTTACATTAAATCAGTTGAAGGAAATAATTTAAAGAAATCTTAATCTACATCATTCAGATTATGTATGTGCATGTTATGCACGTAAGTTATGCATGTGTGAGTTAAGTTTGTGCATGTTATGCATATGTAAGTTAAGCATGCATGTTATGCATACACAATTACATCATTCAAGTTATGCATGTGCATGTCATGTATGTGTAAGTTAAGCATGTGTAAGTTAAGCTTGTGTAAGCTATGCATGTCTAAGTTAAGCTTGTGTAAGCTATGCATGTCTAAGTTAAGCTTGTGTAAGCTATGCATGTGTAAGCTATGCATGTGTAAGTTATGCATGTGTAAGTTGAGCATGCATATTATGCATACACAATTACATCATTCAAGTTAAGCATGCAAATTAAGCATGTGTAAGTTATAAAGATATTCTTTTACCTGTTAAAGTTGCTGATAAAGTTACTGATCGGCGTTTACAATTTTGGGACAGTATTAAATTTGTCATTGCTTAATCCATGCTTAAAGGAGCTAAGTCACTAATATTTGGGACCAAGAAATTTTGATAAATGGGTCGCAACGCATACAATAATGTAATATGAATGTATATAAATTGATTTACATTCAATCGTTTCTGTTTTTACTGTAATTTTTAATCAGTTAGGTTCGGCGAAATACGCCAGTATTCTCAATCGAATTTCAATTTCTAGCGTCTGCTTATTCCAGTCTACGCGGATATTATTTATTGGGCTTGCTTTCCAGATAAGAATTATAGTCTCACCGTTTGACATGACTTGTGGAATATGCCTAGCCTCGTTTTTAGAGTCCCTTATTACCAATAGCACTGAAACGCATTATGGTACCAATTGTAAAATGTTTATTTTGTCTAAAATATTGGATATCAGAAGCCCATCTTTTCCTGGTTAGATCACAACATCAATGTTGATTTAAATTGACAAATAAATCGTGTTTTCAATGTGTAAGATTTTGGATGATATTGAGTTAGAGACTTAGCTACTTTAATTAAGATGTCAAAATCAACATATCAATGGTAGATAATCTCTCAACCAAAGATTCTACCTTTATTATTCACCATGTCTTGATGTCCGATTGGGCATATTCCTGGTTGGACAATTTAGGACGTTTGGAAAATAGCGTTGGACATGTCCGGAATATATGGGCGAAATCCCATAACTGATTCTACCCAACATTTAGAAGTGGTGGTGAATTGTTTATATGGTCCGTAAACACTGAATGAATTTAAATAATATTCACAATATTCAATATTCACAATATTCAATATTAAATATTCACAATATTCAATATTCACAATATTCAATATTCACAATATTCAATATTCACAATATTCAATATTCACAATATTCAATATTCACAATATTCAATATTCACAATATTGTAATTTGACAGGAAATGTGGGGGGGTTGGATGGCCGAATGGTTAGCACATGCATGCTGTATCATAAGGCCTGTCATTGAGTCAACAGGCGTGGTTTCGAATCCCCGGTTGTACCTGACAAGAAGTAGGGTTGCCTGTCCAAACTCATGGGTTTTCGCTGGGTCCTCCGGTTTCCTTCCACTGCTAAAGACCCCTACCCGCAAGCGAATTATTGAAATAAAAATTAAAAACCATATGTTAGTCCCGAAATGATCTAGTTTGTGTCGAGTGGACATTAAACCCTATTTCTCTCTCTGTCTCTCTGAAAGGAAATGTAAACCCTTTAAAGGATGATCAGTGGATTTAAAGAGGCTCAAATCTACATTAAAATTGTGGATATATGAATTGTAAAGATATTACATATTTTTTGTGTGCTATAATTTAATATGTTATAATTTACAAGTTCTGATATTTGTTGAAAGTGTTGATATATTATATTTTCTGTCTTGATGTAAACTGTAGCAAATATTTAAAACAGAGGAAGATTTCTTTTATATAAATTAAAATACATACAAATATTGACTTAGTTTTTCAGTCATTTGAGAGAGTGGGACCTGTTATGTTACATATCATACTCCTGGCAGTGTTTTGTTTAATTAGACCTAATCTGGGCCATTGCTTCAGGAATATGGTTACATATAAGAGAATGGAAGTTGTTCTGTTATTTGAGAGAATGGATGTTGTTCTGGTACATAAGGGAAATCAAATAGTTCTTGTAAATAATTGGGTGCAGTGTCAGAATAAATTAATTTAAACACATTCACAAGAGCTTAAAATTGAACCCTCGCTTAAAGCGTATTATCGAAATAGCTCTCATTTGAAGATGCATTTTCCGTATGATACTACTGATTTGGGAAACTGGGGACATAAGTTCATCGGTCACATAGCCAAGATTCTTAACCTGCTTCTTAGGAGATAGGGAAATTGCTTTAACCAATTTACTAGATTTTGATTTTGATGATATGACAAGAGATTTGGATTGGTCATCGTTAAGTGTTTGCCCATGTCTGGTTTTCCTCGTATGTCTTTCGGACAAGCCTCTAGGCTACTAAAAGAATCCCTGGAAGCAAGGTAGTTGTTGTGCTGAAAGAATTCATGTATTTGGGTGTCGTCAGCAAAGCCGTGGTCTTGTACCCCATATTTTCTTATGGTGTGACCAATTGGAAGAATGTATAGGATAAAACGTAGAGGTCCCAATACAGATCCTTGTGGAACACATATCATAACAGTACAGGGTTGAGAAACAGACCTATTTATTTGCACCTGTTGTGTTCTATCTTGAAGATATGACTGTATCCAATACTGTGCACGGCACCACAGATTCCAACTGGACGTTTCATCCTTTGAAATAGAATAATATGATCTATAGCAGTGGTTCTCAACCTTTGTTTGCCAACGGCACACCTTCGAACTCATGAAAAAATAGCGGCACACCTGGCTAAATATATTTGAAAAGTATTTGAATTTTGCAAAATAAAAACATGGCAAGTCATATACGGCATAGATCCGCCGAGAGAGACTAGTCATGGATGACTCAAACTACTGGTAAATAAAGAAAAACACAGCTATGAAGTTACCAGTAGAGACCGTTGAATGCTCAATTGGGATCACATGTTTTTTCGCAATGTCTTAGTGTGCCGTTCAAAATTTCAAGGCACACTAAGGAAGATCGTGTGCCACGGCACACTGGTTGAGAATCACTGATCTATAGTATCAAAGGCAGCACTGAGATCCAAAAATATCAGGTGCACTGTGCACAGCTAGATTCCTATCCAGTGCCAGGTCAAAATCGTTTTTAATTTTCAGTAGAGCCATCTCTGTGCTGTGGCCTCATTTGTAATCAGATTGTAGCTATTCGTGTAAATCATTTTAAGACAGATAATTCAAAACTTGAGAAGCCAGAACTCTTTCAATAGACTTGCCAATGAATGGTAAGTTGGAAACCGGTCGGTAATTCTTGCACAGCTGATCAGGGTCAAGGTTTGGTTTCTAAAACAATGGTGAAATAGGAGTTGACTTTAAGCATACCAGACACGAGAAAGAGAGAAATGGGGTTTAACGTCCCACTTGACACAAACTAGGTTATGTCGGGACTAAGATATTGTTCAATTTTATTTTAATAATTCTCTTGTACGTAGGGTTCTTTAGCAATGGGAGGACCCAGAGAAAACCCACGAGGTTGGACAGGTGACCCTACTCCTTGTCACGTACAACTGGGGAATCAAAACCACGGCAGCTGCCTCAATGACAGACCTTAAGATACAACGTGCATGTGCTGACCATTCTGCCATCCAACCCCCTTTAAGTAATGTGATTAAAACACAGACCCTATTTCGTTTCGTTTTTTATAGTTCAAAATTTCGTTTTACTTGGTTTTATCAAAATTTCGTTTTACTACACTAGGATCTGGAAGAGTTGTTATCATTGACGTGTTCTGAATGGCGTGAGAGATTAGCCAATGAACGATCTGTTACGGCGAGTTTTTAGCGTGTGGTGCACGAAACTGTGGGTAACCCACTAGAAACATCAATGTTGATTGGTTAATCAAATGTCTCACGTCATGGGGTCAAAAGCTGCTTGTATTACCTCTGACACAACCTTCCACTACAACCGGTCAGATCTTCATGTAGTGTAGGCCATCGAAAGTAAAAATAAACGAAACAAAATATAGATCCGTATTTTAATCAGAGTGTACAGGAACAGTGGTTATAGAATGATTAACAATGCCAGTAATAATTGGAAGCTGAGTCTCCACTACTTCTCTCTATGGCAACAACAATAACACAATCACAATTTTGTCAACATCGGTTAGTGCTGAATGATGAGGAGAGAGAGAAATGGGGTTTAACCACTCGACACAAACTAGGTCATTTCTGGACTAACATTTGGTTTAATTTTATTTCAATAATACGCTTGCGCATAGGGGTCTTTAGCAGTGAGAGGAAACCGGAGGACCCGGAGAAAACCCACCAGGTTGGACAGGCGACCCAACTCCTTGTCACGTACAACCGGGGAATCAAAACCCCGCCAGTTGACTCAATGACAGACCGTATGATACAGTGCGCGCGTGCTAACCATTTGGCCATCCAACCCCCCTGAATGTTGAGGCCAGCTAGTGCTAATCCCAACCCTAACCTTGGACCTAACCCCAATGCTTATCTAACCTACAATCTCACCAACAATCACGTGCCCTAACATTATTTACATCTCGGCAAACTTGACAAAAAATGAGCCGACCTTAACAAATAGATTTAGCATGTCAACATCTAGACATCTGGGGAGTAACTCTATGACAACAGCGCCACCATGGTAGTAACTTCCCATTCCCAAGGTGATGCTGTCATAGAAACAACCCTTTTCCAGCAGAAAAAACAACAAAATTCTGTATAAATAATAAGAATAAACTTTACTTTGTTTAATATGTGGTGATGATATTTTAAAATGTTAACTTATATTTTTTATATTATAATATATTTTGAGGTTAAACAACTATGGACACAATATCACTATTTAATATATAAACATACATATATATATAGATACATAGGATGTTTGATTTAATCTATAACAACAGGTGCCCCCTGTATATATATACGTATAACAACAGGTGCCCCCTGTATGTATATATATATATACATATAACAACAGGTGCCCCCTGTATATGTATATATGTATAACTACAGGTGCTCCCTGTATATTTATATAATAACTACCATATAAACATATAGAGACATTTTTAAAGAGTTTCAATATTAATACATTCATGAGGACTACACCCACATAGATTACAATTTCATGTAACACTGATATTAGAATTCAAATTGTACGAGCAAGACCCAATTATAATTTACACCAGGGCTTCACTATAATGTTGATATCCAGTGAAAACAACCCAGTTGTCAAAATTGCCAGTTTACAGTACAACCATTATATGTTAGGCATGGGATATGTTTCCTGGCAAACCCACTAAATACTGTGGCTTAATATATAATTAAGAGTTACATGTAGTTAATTAATTAAAGAATGACTTTGTCTTAAAGTTAATATTTCATGGGTTTTATATTGAAAACAATAATACAGATATATTTAATTCAAATATGCTTCATTTTACAAATTTATCGGTTTCAACTAAAAACTATTTTATCGTTTTATTTAAACAAAGATTTTAAAAAAAGTTTTATTTGTATTTTGGTTTTAAGACAAAAGAAACAAAATAACATGCATAGAATTCTATTTTTTTTGTTTTTTGACAAATAAAAGAAAGAATAAGGTGAATAAAATTCTATTAAGCTATAACAACATCTTTGGTAAGTGAACAGAAAAATATAACAGATTGATCTGCAATCAGAGAAGATAACAAATTCATGGTGAGGTTTTGAAACCAAGGGGTTAACAATCTGTGGATAAAAATAATTCAAATTTAAAATGCGATAAAATTCAATTTGTTAATTATCTGAGATTAATGTAAAACCAGAATGTGTGAAATAATGACGAAGTATAAAGGGTTAACAATGAACGTCTGTTAAAATGGTTCTATTTTATAACTATTACAAACCAATTGTTACAGCCAGTTTAGGGCAGTGACCTGGCTTCCGAGTTCACAAAGCATTCTCAGACTTAAGTTAAAAATTTACTCAAAATTATTGCCTTACTTTAAGTAAAATATAGCCATTTATAAAACTTTTGTTGTTTTAATGTATCAAATACATCAATAAGAAACTACGTGCAAAGTTTTGGGTTTCTGGATCAAAAATATTTCTCATAAACAGTGATTGAAAGTTGAGTAAATTCTTAACTTAAGCCTGAGAATGCTTTGTGAACTTGAGGCCTGGTTATCTATAGCGGGCTGGGGTACATTCCAAATAAACAGAATTGAAACCAAACGTCATGCCACAGTCCCTAAAACATAAAATGTGTGATTTGCATTAATGTAAATCTTACATGCACTGAGGGTAATGGGACCCTTGTCATCAATAAACAGATTTCTGATTAAAAATGTGTACAAAAATTGTGAAAATTCAAAGAAATTAAAATAATAAAGTTAAAATTTGGAATGGTGAAACAACAGTATAACATATATAATAAAATATCATTTTAAAAATTCTTTAAAAAAAATCAAAATCAGATTTCTGAATAATAGAGTCATCTGTAACAGTCTTATTAAAATTATTTTAAAAACACAAAGTTCAAAATATACAATTCAAGAAGAGTTCTTTCTTGTCTAATAAAATTTATATTTTTCTAACAACATTTTAACAGGAAATAAATCTTTCTTTTAAAAAACACATCGTTTTTCTTTACAAATTTAAAACAAAACTTTTTAACATATATACAAATAATTCATTTGGGATTCAATTTATGATTCACGAGTCAGTGGTCTGAAACCTGATCAATAGATTGCATTTCATTAATTACAGGTAAACTACAGGTAATCTACAGGTTTGATTGGGCCATGTCCTTTGATTGGTCTTTGATTTCATTAAACAAACATCCAATTAAAAATCACAGATGAAATATAACACATTTCTGGAGGAAAAATTACTAATAAATATAGGCGACGTTTTAAAAAGTGTTGTTTAAATATTTTCAAGCCAGTTGGAAACGTCAGCCAAATTAATCAGTTATTGTTTCTCCATCAATATGTGTTATTGCTCTATGCAGTTACTGAATACAATCCTAAAGGGGTCAATTAATTTATGGTTACATAGACACAGAATGAGAAGGAAGTGCAAGGGAGCAGCCACCTCCATTTGAATCCATCCGTGAAATTACGACATGCATATGATAATATTTACGAGAACCTAACCAAGGCAGCAGTTAAATTGTATAAGATATTAACATAGTTACATAGCAATATAACTGTAATGTATTAGTCAACTGTTTCAATGATCTTAAAGTAACTGAACATAAAACACACATGTTACAATAATATGGACTACTGTTTGTTAATAAGCGATATTAAAACTAGGAAATTTCTCGTCTTTTTTAAGTAAATGACACTCACTAATCAACAGTAATTACTTTAATGATCTTAAATTTGTCACATGGTTATTTTCGGTTGGCTAATTAAACTCGTTACTAAAATTCAACAACTTTTCAATTAAGTACAATATTTTACCTATATTAATGCAGAACACGAGATAATGGTGAATGCCATGTTTGATTGTCGTGTTACGTAAAACCCACAAACTATAAACATACAATATGTAGACCAGGGTACACTAGGGTATTTTTGCGACAACATTGAGATTTCTTAATAAACAATAAATTCTGTCCACTATCTAAAAATAAAACAGGGTTTAACATTCTATTTTCTGCACCAACTGGGCTAATGAGAGAGAGAGAGAGAGAGAGAGAGAGAGAAATGTGGTTTAACGTCCACTCTCGACACAAACTAAGTCACTTCAGGACTAACATATTGTTCAATTTCAATAATTCGCTTGCGCGTAGGGGCCTTTAGCAGTGGGAGGAAACCAGAGGACCCGGAGAAAACCCACGAGGGTTGGACCCTACTCCTTGTCACATACAACCGGGGAATCGAAACCATGCAAGTCGACTCAATGACAAGACTTTATGATACAGCGCGCGCATGCTAACCATTTAGCCATCTACCCCCCCCCACCCCACCACCCCCCCCCGCGGGCTAATGAAGATAGATATACACCAAGCAGTGTGTTTTGAGGGATATTTTGCACCATCATCAAATTCTGTGTACAAAGGGGAACCTCGGTTTTCCATCCCATCTAAACGACTAGATTCTTTTTTCCCTCGTCAGTCCCTCTCGTCCTGCACCACTATGAAAATAGTTGAAGATACAGACACAATGGGAGATCTGGGGAAATGCTGCTAAAATATTCGCAATGCTGTTCAAACGCGAAAATCTCATAGTGTACCCTGGCCTTCATAAACCAACAATATTATACAACACTTCTACTTATCACCAACCAATCACAAGCCATTTATATTATCACATGATTCGCTAACAATATAACAAACTAACCAATCAAAAAACAACAACAGGTCAAAGGTCATAGAATACATGCAAATTAATATATAATCTAACTTTGGTAGCTGAACCCTAAAAAGTCAATTTTCTAAGGATTCGTTTCTCTGTCCTTTCTGCCCCACCACTAGGTGTGAAAGCAGACGATGAAAACAAGTATATTAGTATAAATCAGAATAAATCATTTCTAAAATAATCGCAGAAAAAGAGATTGGAATAACTATACTCTGACCATGGACCCTATTATAAGGCCCATTATTTTGACCATGGACCCTATTATCATAAGGCCCATTACTTTGACCATGGACCCTATTATAATAAGGCCCATTACATTGATTATGGACCCTATTGTAACAAGGACCATTACTTTGATCATGGACCCTATTATAAGGCCCATTATTTTGACCAAGGACCCTATTATCATAAGGCCTATTACTTTGACCATGGACCCTATTATTATAAGGCCCATTACTTTGACCATGGATCCTATTATAATAAGGCCCATTACTTTGACCATGGATCCTATTGTATTAAGGCCCGTTACTTTGATCATGGACCCTATTATAAGGCCCATTATTTTGACCATGGACCCTATTATCATAAGGCCCATTACTTTGACCAGGGACCCTATTGTATTAAGGCCTATTACTTTGATCACGGACCCTGTTGTATTAAGGCCCATTACTTTGACCATGGACCCTATTATAAGGCCCGTTACTTTGACCATGGACCAAATGATAAGGCCCATAGTTTTGACAATGAGGTGGTAACCCTATGACCGGGTGTTATTTATTGATTGGGATCTTAATGCATCACAATATTTGTTTTTATCAACAGATTACAGTATAGCAGATTACCAACAATATTATATTTACATCTAGATTCCGTTTCGCACCGCATAAAATGGCGTGCTTTCAATCCCTAGCTTATACAGTGGGAGGAAGCTGGAGAAAACCCACAAGGTTGGGGAGAGGGAGAGGGAGAGGGAGACAGAGAGGAGAGAGGTTTAACATTCACTCGACACAAACCAGGTCATTTTTGGACTAACACATGGTTCAATTTTACATCAATAATTCACTTGCGCGTATGGGTCTTTAGCAATAGGAGGAAACCGGAGGACCTGGAGAAAACCCAGAAGGTTTGAGAGAATTATAGAGAGAGAGAGAGAGAGAGCGCATGCTAACCATTCGGCCATCCAACCCCCTCAGTGTGCTATAAGGCTAACTGTGCCAGACAAAGGGGCCATCCGGAATAAAGAAAATTTAAGAGACTAGTTAAACTTCGTACAACTCCCCAAAAATCATTTTGATAAAATTCATAATACTGATAATATACCATAGCTAGGGAGAAAGAGACGTCCAGGAAGTTTATTGTCAGCTTATAGTTAATAATAATTGTCCCGTACCTGCTCTGTGGAAAATTTCTGTAATTTTCATAATTTTTGTGATATTTGGAGAATATGAAGATATTGATTTGTCTGCGATATCACCTCGGAGGAAGCGGGTGTACAATACAATTAAGTCACACATATATTGAATTGATTGGATTAGGACATTGATAAATTTCATTAAATGATGTAATAAAAGATTTTCTACTCAATTTGTGAAAACTAAAATCTAGAAATGGCCTGATTAAAAACAGTGATTAGATTTTATTCGGCTTGTGTTCAGCAGATCATTAGCTTGGTAATGTTTGCCATGAGAAGCATGGTAATGGTTTACTGAACTATGGTTAGCTACAAGCGGTTTTTAACTTAACTTGGCATTTGATTCTATTGAGCGCAGAGCCGATCACATAATCAAATACTTCTATTTAGTAATAAAACTAAAAATTCATTTTTAGGTTACAATTCTAACTAATTTTGCTTAAAAATCTGAATCATTTAAAAAAACCCTATAAATTCATTTACATTGTACAATTTCTGACTAATTTTGTTTAAATATCTGAATGATTAAAAACTATAAGTAATAATACAACCGTAAGATTAAAAACTAAAATATATGACTATATGATGAGAGTTTAGACAATATACATGATTATACGACTGGATAAACAACTTCATTGGTTGATTGTTGATAAATGTATTTTTATTTTTAAATCATAAAATATTGAAGGAATTATGATTGAATGACGTGGATGGGATGTGAAATGTTTCCGATGTATACACATACGGATAATGAATTCTGAATTTAACATTATATGTACATCGAGTCTGGTGACACGATATACAGTGTAATATAATTCATTATGAGGCTGTACATTGATTAAAGAAATACATCAATCAATCTGATTACAATACAGATCGATATTTCGTTTCGTATTTTTATACTTTCGATCGTCTACACTACATGAAGATCTGACCAGTTGAAGTGAAAGGTTGCATCAGGGATCGTACGAGGGCTTTTGACCTTATGACGTCAGACATTGATTAATCAATTAGTGTTGACGTTTCTGGTGGTTTACCAACAGTTCCATGCATCGCACGCCAAGAACTCGTCGTTTCATTGGCTAATCCCTCACTTCAACCAGAACGTCGGTAATAAAACAACTCTTCCAGATCCTAGTGTAGTACAGACAAGCAAAACAAAATTTTGAACTATTAAAAACGAAACGAAATAGGATCTGTGTTTTAATCAGATTGTTTGTAAATAGATAAGTACAAGTTTATTCTCCAACTGGTCAGTTTCACTACCAGTCAGTCAAAACAGGCCAATACAACAGAAACTAAAATCCAGGATTTGGATTACAAATCAGAATTATGAAACAAACCCTGGATTTGGATTACAAATCAGAATTATGAAACAAACCCTGGATTTGGATTACAAATCAGAATTATGAAACAGACTATATGTTGATTATGGATGCATATCATTACAACCTTTGCTATAAAATGGATAATGAACTGGATATATGAAACAGACTAATGTATATCATAATAATTGGATACATGAAACTGACTATATTGTAAATGAAATGGGTCAAAGGTCGCGATCGTGTGAATATTGATTATAATTTACCCAATGGATGACCTTTTAATGAGCAGTTACTGTCCACGTGTTTATCCAGGTTATTCTTTGTAACGAAACCCTCGCCACAATGTTGACATTCGTTACGAGCTTTCAACATATGTATCTGTGATTTCGTGTGACGATTTAAATCTGATTGGGTGACACCTTTATAGTTACATAGCTTACAGCAGAATTCACGAATACCTGAAAAACAAAAATCATTACTCTTACATTGCTTGATGAAAATACCTGTAAGATAGGGAAAGAAAAGGTGCTGGGCGAGACATTTTTTGCCCCCCTCCCCTTCCCCTCCTTTCCAACACTAGTCATATCTAAATGATTGACTATCAGATTGCGATAAACTGAAACTTTTGTTAATAAAAGCTTCAAAGTAACAATAAAAAATTCATGCCTAATTGCCCATTTTAATTTTGATTTTTGACATTCATGGGCCCCATAGACTCTTATGGGCATTGAGACGGCGCACCCCGGTCTCATGAAGCCTACATGTAATAAACCAAGAAGTAATAAATCTTTAAAGTTGTGTTTTTATAAATATATTATACCTCTACTTCTAAATGTCATTTAAGGGCATCGAGTAATCTAAAAGGCACATTTTAAATCTGTAAGTTTTGTTCGTAAGATATGACAATTAATCACCAAAAAAATACCAACTTTATTTATCATAATTTAGTGCGTATCTTAGATTACTCAACGCCCTTAAGGACAAAACTCAAGTATGTTATTTAGGGGTCATTTTGGGACTTACATGGTTCAATTTCATTTCAATAATTCACTTGTGCGTAGGGGTCTTTAGCAGTGGGAGGAAACCAGAGGACCAGGAATAAACCCACAAAGCTGGACAGGCAGCCCTACTCCTTATCACGTACAAGCAGGGAATCGAAACCACGGCACTTGACTCAATGACAGACCTTATGATTTAATGTGCACATGTTAAGTCATTTGACACAACCTGTTTCACAGAAGATTACGGAAGTCTTCTAATATCTCTGCAAAGATAACTGCCCTCAACACATGGCGTCAATAATTGGCTCAATGGCGCGTGGATTGTGTACATAAGCAGAATGGTGTCTTTTACTTATTTTAATACCCATTTACACTAAATAGGAAATAATTTTAACCTACAAATAGTTCAAACAGCTTTATTTATTTTTCTAATACAGTAGAATCTGCTTTAAACAGCCACCCAAGGGAATTTTCACAACTGACCGCTTAACGGGAGTGGCCTCTTAATAAAATCTCGGTGCTTTTTGTGCTGACATAAATTAAATATTACGCTTGGATGCATTGGAAGCGAACATCAATACTTGCATCGGTAAATTTGACCGTCGCTGAATCTTGCGCCGAACGAAAATTCTTTACTCAAATCTATCTCGGACATAACTTCTGTAAACTTGTCATTTTGTACCAACCTTCGATACTACTGTCTACCATTGTGATGCATTCAATAATATTTATCCATTTTTGTGAAGAAAATCGATGAATTAATTTTATTTTATCAAAAAAGCACATGAACAAAAAACCATCGCTGATTTTATCACCTATTTACAGGGGGTGTAACTCTGTATGTGATATTATAGGAGGTGCTAAAACGTCTGTTTAACAACAAGGTGACAATGGAAAAGAGATGATGATCGTGACAAAACTCGGTACTTTTATTTTATTCAATCAGTATCAAATAATGTGTCGTTATGCGTGAAAACAATGATCAGGCTAGTCGTTTAATAAAACAAAAGATTAATTAACAGATATCCCGGGTTGATTGTTTTTTATTTTTACATTTCATTTTACCTGATCAGTTGGGTCCAGTTAATTAACTACTACTCACGGGATTAGCGGGGGGGTTACAAAGAACGACAAGATGGTATCATTCAACAATGGCCGTTGAATGGGCGATGTTTTGTTGAATTTATTAGTAAAATAGTGACCGCTGGTCGCGTTAGAGGAGTGACCGTTGAATAAAGAGATGAAACAACAGAATTTTTACAGGGGGAATTTATCGTGACTGCTTACAAGGAGATTTTGCTGAATAGGAGTGGCTGCTCATACAGATTCTACTGTACATAAAAAAAATGTTTTAGAATTTAATTTGTCGAGGAAAAAAGTTAATATTTGTGACTCATTAAGGCGCATCGATGTCATCCTCATCAGTGATTGTAGTGGCCTAATGAATATTCATTGCAGATCAGTGTGCATTAGAACACACCTCCCTCAATGAATAGCAGAAGGGTTGGTGCAAAAGATAGAGGAATGGACAAATTTGTACTGAACAAGAAAAACTGTACGATGGGGCATTTACAAGATTTGAAGACACATAAATTTAAGAAGATGTAAAGTACTTACCTTGGTGCCTCATCATATGAACTTTAAGTTGAGAATTGGTCCGAGCATAATAATCACAAAAACCACATTTATACGGACGAATATCTTAAAAAAAACAACATTATCTTTATTAGATTCAACAACAAGTTGATCAGAACCAAGCGTTACCATGTAGTTATTGATTTTAGATCAAACAACTGACAGCATTACCATAGTTGTCGACTTTAGATCTAAGCAACTGACAGAGTTACCATAGTTATCAAATTTAGAACCAAGCAAATGACAGCATTACCATAGTTATCGACTTTAGAACCAAGCAAATGACAGTGTTACCATAGTTATCGACTTAATGAAGAGTAATTTGAAACTTATAGTGCAGTCCTCTTTAGATTGATAGATTGTATTTAAAATTTAGACCCATATTAGCGGATTGAACAAATGGTGTTTCGTGAAGGCAGAGTGTGTTTATTCTCTCTAAACACCACTTCTCACTTGGCTGTAAGTAGCAGTGGGTGTCATATATGAGACTGTATGGTTAGGAGGTCTGGTATGTACAGATACATGTACCAATGGTCGCAAGTTATACACTCCCTAACAGTCCTAAATCAATGTAAGAGTAGGCTGTAGCGCTGCTGTCTGGGTAAAATATTCCCCTCATAGCACACTGTACGATATATGCCTGTCTTCACTAGCCAGGTTATTACATATATACAAGCCCTATTTCAATTCATTCTGTATTTATGAACTTACAGATATTAATTGTTCTTTGTGATTGATGGATGTATATTTACTTCATAAATTTTAATTGCTCTTAGTGATCGATAGTATAATTGCCCTTAGTGATCAATAGTATAATTGCCCTTAGTAATCGATAGTATAATTGCCCTTAGTGATTGATAGTATAATTGTCCTTAGTGATCGATAGTATAATTGTCCTTAGTGATCGATAGTATAATTGCCCTTAGTGATCGATAGTATAATTGCCCTTAGTGATCGATAGTATAATTGCCCTTAGTGATCATAGTATAATTGCCCTTAGTGATCAATAGTATAATTGCCCTTAGTGATCGATAGTATAATTGCCCTTAGTGATCATAGTATAATTGCCCTTAGTGATCAATAGTATAATTGTCCTCAGTGATCAATAGTATAATTGCCTTTAGTGATCGATAGTATAATTGCCCTTGGTGATTTGATAGTATAACTGTCCTTAATGATCGATAGTATAACTGTCCCTAATGATCGATAGTATAATTGTCCTTAATGATCGATAGTATAATTGTTATATATTTACCTTCATGAAAGTCCATGTGTCTGTTTACGTCTGAGAAGGACAGGAAGTCCTTACTGCACACGTCACATCTGTAGACATAACGACCATCTGGTAAAACTATCGGCTTACATAAATTATCGCGATTAACGGGCTGATTCACAACATGTAGTCTGCAAATATACAAATATAGAAAATATTATGTATTGTTTATTGGTAGAGAGCGAGACATTAAGTAATATATTGAAACAGAACGAGGGCCGTGAGGTCATGTACAAGCAGGGAAACAAAACCTAGCCACTTGACTCAATGGCAGACCTTATGATTTTACGTGCATGCATTAAACCACTAGGCCACCCCAACCCCTCTACATGTTAAAGAATGTTTTTCTACATGTACCTGGAATGTGTATGTTAAAGAATGTTATTCTACATGTACCTGGAATGTGTATGTTAAAGAATGTCTACCTGGAATATGTATGTTAAAGAATGGTAAAGAATTTTATTCTACCTGGAATGTGTTCTAGAAAGAGATGTAACTTTTCTTCCATCTGTGGAAACGGCCAAATCTTCTGGTGTGGAATGATGCCAGTTGGTTCTTCTACCCCCCTTCCCTTCACAACCTGATCCCCCTGAACTTGATCCACCACTTTCACTCGATGAATTAGGGTTCCACTGAACTCGGGGGAATCCAAACAACCCATCTTGCTCCACGGGAGACGAGAAAGATTTACTCGTAGTGGAGGTCATGCTCGGAGGTGATGCCTTGGAAGTTGTCTGACCTTCCCCCGGAACCTGTATAGAGATCGGCAGACTTACTGGAATCGTTTGATCTGAGTCTTCAATGAGTCCCGAAGCAGGCAGAGCACGAATGAAGCGGTTGACTCCATGGTTAGATGTTGCCGCGGCAATAGAACTTGCCAATAAGAGAGGATTAAGCGCAACCATGGTGCTTGTAGAATAAGCTGCTGCCGCTAAAACAGCAGTTGAACTGATCGACATCGCTGGTTCAACATCGTCTATGGTTTCTTCCTTCACTTCAAGTTTAACGCTGCTAGCATCTTCATCATCTGTGTTCTCTATTTTGGTTGGCTGAGCAGCTTTTCGTCGAGACTTCGCTTGAGGACCATCTTTACAAAACGACATCAGCGATCTTTTGGGTGCCTTTTTGATTTCTGCTCCATCATCTATTTCGGTGTCAGACATAGAATGTTCTGACGGTGCATTGGAATTTCCTGAATCTGATGTATTCCCTTGAAGTTGGTCTGCTGGGGGTTCTGCAGGCATGACGACAGTGATTTCCTCCCGGTACCCCTCTTTTTCAAGCAACTGTCTGGCCGTTTCAAAATCACGTTTTTGAGGTTCTTTCTCTGTTTGACTTGAGGTTTTCTCGTCTTCCTGGGTAGTTTCTGTTGGCTCTTGTTTAATTTCATCAAGGTCAATTTGCTCTTCTCTTTCCATTTCATCCTTCTCTCTTTTCACTTCTTCCTTCACTCTATCCATTTCATCCTTCCCTCCTTTCATTTCATCCTTCCCTTTTTCCATTTCAATCTTCCTTCCTTCATCTTGTGATTTGTGGCTGCTGTTGGAATTTTCGTGGTTATTCTGGATAACGAGAACGGACGATTTACTGGGAATTCCGTGAAATTGTTCCAGATGTTGATGTAAGGTCATGGGTTCCGTAAAGCCCTTACCGCACTCCTTACAATAAATCCCTTTTTGTCCCGTGTGAATCTTTTCGTGTCTCTGAAGCAGAAATTCCCGAGAAAAGGATTTCCGACAATATCGACATTCATACAACCCGGTCATATAATTAACAAAAAATTTCTTACGACCATTTTCATTTGTCAATTTGTGGTGGGTGGAGTTATTTGAGTTCTCGTCGACACTCTCCTTTTCGTGTTCTGATTCATTGTCCATGTCTTCGTCGCTCATGACGACGGGTTCGACTGTTTGATGGATTTTAGCGTGTTCCATCATCTTTACTTTCGAATCAAAAGATTCGTCACACGATTGGCATTGATAGGTTGTAAGTTCAAGGTCAAAGTGCATGGACATGTGACACTGGATTTTGCTTAAAGTCGGGAAAAGTTTTTTACAGATGTAGCATTTATACACGGAGGTATCTTTCCCCGTTTCTTTGTTTACACCATCGATACGTGTAACAACAACTGTTTCATTTTTGATTGTCATTCGATCGAGTCTATATCCACCATGTTCATTCATCCCTAGTTCTGGGCCATCGCAATCCATTCCCTTATCGTTACTTGGTGACGTGTCACTACCGTGAGAAAACTGTCGTCCGATTCCAGGACTAAATTGACTGGCGTATCCCGCACGTAAATATTTGTCGGTGTGAATGTTTGCTGAAAGCTGGAATGTAGAATCGATCTCTTTTTTAATGTCTTTGGTATTTAATAAATCAATGTGAGAATGTTCAGCAGTTATAGCTCGCTCTTTTTCTAGCAGCCGATCTTTGACGAACAACGATTTCATCAATGCGCGACTTTTTAACTTGAGGTATCGCTCTTCTAGTCCATCGCTAAGTTCTATATCGACATCGTGGGCTGCCTTTTGATGATACAACATGCTACCTTTGGCCTTAAAGGCCTTACCACATAACTAAAAAAAAAAAAAAAAATTAATTAAATGAAACAGGTTTAACGTCCTACTGTTCTGTTCCAACTTGGAAACTCATTCAGAAACAAGTAATATTATATATGGAGAGAGAGATAGATAGAGAGTCTAACCTTCTCTTGACACAAACTGGGTCATTTTGGGACTAACATGGATCAATTCTACTTCAATAATTTGTTTGTGCATAAGGGTCTTTAGCAGTGGGAGGACACTGGAGGACTCGGAGAAAACCCACGAGGCTAGACAGGCGAAGTAATATAGGGGCCAGGAACCCACCATGACATCATCCTTGACATCTTGGATTTGTGACATATCGAAAAATCAACCCCATCAATCGATCCACATTTGTTGGAGAAACAAGCATGTCAAGTTTCATGTTGATCGTACTTGAATTGGTGGGGCTTCGGCCTGATAAAGAATATCGGCAACCCTAAAAAACAACAAGATGATGTATAGAGCTTTGGGACCAATTCCTGATCTAACAAAATGTTTTAATTGGAATAGCCCTGCTCTACCTGTTACCACGGTTTTATATGTAGGCCAAGACAAAATGGTTTTAGTTTTTAACCTGACAAAATGTTAGGCACTAGGTAACAGGTACCGGATAAATAAGAGGGAGAGAGAGAGAAATTGGGTTTAACGTCCACTCGACACAAACTAGGTCATTTCGGGACTAACATATGGTTTAATTTTATTTCAATAATTCGCTTGCGCGTAGGGGTCTTTAGCAGTGGGAGGAAACCGGAGGACACGGAGAAAACCCACGAGGTTGGACAGGCGACCCTACTCCTTGTCACGTACAACCGGATAAATAAGAAATGGGATTGTGGTAATTGGAGCTTTTTGTCTGATGTATCCAAATTATCAATTTAAATACAGTACTTACCTCACATTTGTAGGGACGTTCTCCTGTGTGCACCAACTGATGCCTTTTCAACTCGCTGGGTTTACCAAAATATTTACCACAAAACCTACACACACGATCAGAATATATGTCGTCCATACTGGTCGCCGTCTTCTTCTCCTCCACCCCGTTGACCACTGTTTTATTGTTAAACTGTCCGGCGTTTAATAGGGCTATCATCATACTATTGTCTGTTTTTTTACTCGCAGCGCTTTCCGCAACAGTTTCATCTGAGGTAGTTGTCTTCTCACCCTGAGGAGGCTGAACGTCGTCTGTGTGAATAGCCCGAGATTTTAACGCCTCCAATAATAAAGAGTTGGTATCTGGATTTATGGGAGTTTTATGGATGATTTGTTCGGCTCGTAACGACGTCTGCTGTTTTTGTTTCTCTACCAGATCTGGATGATATGTTAGTTGATGTAATTGTAAACTTCTCTTCGCTTTATAAGCTTTACCACAACCCTGGAAAATAAAACTTGCTAATTTTAACATCAAATTCATTTTATATCATTAGATCTGTCATTCCCCGGTTGAACGGGACAAGGAGTATGGTCGCCTGTCCAACCTCGTGGGTTTTCTCCAGGTCCTCCAGTTTCAACCCACTGCTAAAGATCCTTAAGTGCAAGCGAATTATTGAAATAAAATTGAACCATATGTTAGTCCTGAAATGACCTAATTTGTGTCGAGTGGACGTTAAACTCCATTTCTCTATAAGCCATGTGCACATTGGCGTACATGTAAAAGAACCAATGATGGTTGGACTTTGATCAAGAGCAGACGGAGACACCGCTGTTCAAGCAAATTTCTCTAATAGCCTAATGCATGACGTATACCCGTCTTCATTAGCTCAGTCTTTCACAAGTAAATTTACTAACTTGACAAAACGGTCTTTCACCCCTACTAACGTGACAAACAGTCTTTCGCCTGTAAGTTTACTAACCTGACAGACAAACGGTCTTTCGCCCGTATACCCGTCTTCATTAGCTCAGTCTTTCACAAGTAAATTTACTAACTTGACAAAACGGTCTTTCACCCCTACTAACGTGACAAACAGTCTTTCGCCTGTAAGTTTACTAACCTGACAGACAAACGGTCTTTCGCCCGTATGTTTACGACGATGACGCTGTAAAGCTGCTGGTGTTGGTTTAACGGCTCCACAAAATTCACAAGTTCTGTCCTTTATTTTCGGATGAGCTGCGATCATATAAAATAAATTGGCTGCCGTATCTTCATCAACGGATTCTAGTTCAAGATTCCTGTCTGTTGGCGAATCAACGTCATCGATTGTAGAATTTGGAATGTCATCAGAATCATCGTCGCTCTCGTCCTCAGTCTCCTCTTCAGATTCTGTATCGTTCTTCTGTTTACGGGGACTTTTTCTCAGGGCACGTTTTTTGTGGCCTCTTTTTGATTTTTTGCGCTGTGGTTGTTGTTGTGATATTTGTCCTTCCTGTTCATCCGTCTGCTCCGTATCACTGACTTCCTTCTTTACCAAACTGAGGTCAATCTCCAGTTTCTTGTCATCATCCTCATCTGAGTCATCTGAAAAACAAAAAACCCACAAAATTTATTTATCAAATGGGTTTTATATTTTGCATTAGAGATTCAGGAGAGAGGGGGGGGGGGGGAGAGGGAACAGATTTGGAACCCAGGGGCTGGAGGGAGAAAGAGAGAGATATAGAGTGGGGGAGAGAGAGAGAGAGAGAGAGATAGAGAGAGAGAGAGAGAGAGATGGTTAAATTTCATAGATTTTCAAAGGAGAGAGAGAGGAGTTGAAGACCATTGACACAAAACAGGCCATTTCAGGACTAACATATGGTTAAATTTTATTTCAATAATAAGCTTGCACGAGGAGGAAACCAGAGAACACAGAGAAAACGCAGGACGTTGGACAGGCAACCCTAAATCTTCGTGGTGTAAAAGGGGTTTATGGAAACGATGCCACTTGACTCGATGACAGACTTTATGATTTAAACCATCCGTCCACCCAACCCCTCTCAATTTAATATCACAACACAGGGTATTTATCATATCTAAAATAATTTCAAATCAAAGGTATTGTGACGTTGGGAAAGAATATAACGGAGAAATCAGATGAATAATTAATATTCTCATATTCTCACTAAATGCTGATCAATCGTTTCAGTACTCAAATTGTGTTTTTGCAAGAGAATTATGGATGTTTTGAGGAGACAGCCTTGTACTAAACTAAAAAGAAAACAAAGTGGGTGCTGGGGAGATTAGTTAAAGAGCTGTCAATTCTCACTATAATATACTAACGTCCAAAAGAAAGTATACACTGTGCATTTTGTGCTGCATCAACCAAAGTCGTTTTTCCATGGTATACGGTATTAGGGTAGAATGTCAATTTGTTTCACATTTTTATTTTGCTTAGAAATGTTGAGTTTGGACGCAAGAGACAAACTCAGTAATGCTTTATCAAATGTTTTTAATCTAAACAAAACTTAGTCATACTTTTAGTGTGTATACTTTCTTTTGGACGTCAGGATAGTTAAAAACTAGATAATGTAAAGGCAATTTGTTGAAAATTTCAGTCAAATTGATCCACTATGAACCAAGATTTTAGTGATTGAATATTGTGGCTAGCCTTGATCATCATTACTAAAGTCGGTAGGATAAAAAAAACATAGTTTCGATTATCTATTTTTTGATTTAATTATGAATGGAAGTCGAACAGCAAATCAGAACGTAATCCAATAAACATGGCAGGCTAGCGATGCCATCGAGAGTTGATTATCGTCTGGATAAGTTAATTAATGTCTAATTAATAATTTATATAACATTTCAGACCTAAAGAAAGACCTGCAATGGGCAGATTTAGCTCTTGCATAATGTATGTTTAAAAAGGTTGGCTATTAAAATAATGTTTGTTTACATTAAGTGATGTTACTGTCACCACGGTCTGGCAAGAACTTCAAATTATCTTTCTATGGTTGAATTAATTAATTATAGAAAGAGAGAGAGAGAAATGGGGTTTAACATCCACTCGACACTAACTAGGTCATTTTGGGACTAACATATGGTTTAATTTTTTATTTCAATAATTTGCTTGCGCGTAGGGGTCTTTAGCAGTGGGAGGAAACCGGAGGACCCAGAGAAAACCCACGAGGTTGGACAGGCGACCCTACTCCTTGTCACTTACAACTGGGGAATCGAAACCCCTAATTAATTATAAGGTAATTATATTTGTTGAATTAATTAATTATATGGTAATTATCTTTCTATGGTTGAATTAATTAAATATAAGGTAATTATCTTTCTATGGTTGAATTAATTAATAGAAGCAATCTGAATGAAATTTTCAAGAAATTCATTTTGCATTATCTAATTTTGAACTATTACAGCAAGAATGGCCAGCACTTTATCTAAATCTTACATAATGTATCTTTAAGAAATAAAACTAACATTTTTATAAATAAATTATCAGCAGGCATATATAAAACTGATCATCGTCTTCTAGTGGTTTATAGTAGGCTACTTACATGTACAAGTCAAAATTCTATCTCCACTGACGAAAATATTATATTTAATAACTTGCTGGTTAACATGTAGGTTCCAACGAACAACATACACGTGAAATCTGCTCGAGATATTTTAAAACATGTCTTGTCAGGATGTCAGAAAGAGCTATGTGGTGTCTTCTCCTACTGTTTTTCCGGTGTGTGTTTAGTGAACGGAATGCGGTGTCTAAACATGTGCTTTTAGCATGCCCTCGCTTTGTCTGTATTTACTAAACATGCGTTCACCTGAACATGCAATCGGACGTTCCTAAACCAAATTCTTTGTTAACTTTTTCTCTTTGGCTGTCAACCCCATAAATTTATCTAATCATGTGAAGTGTCAATTAATGCCCAATACTTTTCCGTTTTTTCTCATTTAAAGTTTATCTAAAACTAATACTGAAAAAAATGTCTAAAGAAATATTGCATTGTTTCCATTGTAAAATACTTATTTTCAGAGAGAGAGAGAGAGAGAGAGAGAGAGAGAGAGAGAGAGAAATGGTGTTTACCATCCACTTGAAACAAACTAGGTCATTTTTGGACTAACATATGGTTCAATTTTATTTCAATAATTTGCTTGCACATAGGGGTCTTTAGCAGTGGGAGGAAACCGGAGCACCTGGAGAAAACCCACCAGGTTGGACAGACGACCCCACTCCTTGTCACGTACAACCGGGGAATCGAAACCACGCCAGTTGACTCAATGACCTTATGATACAGTGCGCACATGCTAACCATTCGGCCATCCCCCCCCCCCTTATTTTCTGATAATAAAGAGAAAATAATTTTAATATATATATATTTCATATTTCGACACTTTATAAACATATTTTTAAATGGTGGGTTAGGGTTAGGGGTTGGGTTAGGGTTAGGGTTAGGTGGGGGTGGTGATGGATTTATAGAATATTTTGGGAATTAAGATTTTATCAGCAGCATTTTCTTGAACTTTTTAATCAAAACTAATTACTCTGTATTCACTTGACATTTTGATTCAAGCCAAGGGCTGCGTTTAGCAGTTTTCTGACAATATCTAATACTGTAGTATACTCCACGCTAATATGTGTACGTTATTCAAATTTATTATTTTACATTTAATTTATAGCTTTGATTAAACCATGAAAAGTTTGTTATTTTTGGATAAAAATGCAAATTGTGCCTTGTCACTTCAGCCCCCTACCCCCAACGAATTTGTTTTCTTAATGTGTACTTTGTTCATCCAGCAAAGGGAAGGGGGGGTGGGGTGGCCGAGCGGTCTAATGTGCATACCTTAGCTCATAAGGTTTGTCATTGGGTGAAGTAATGTGGTTTCAATCCTAAGCTTGTTTGTGACAAAATGTAGGGTCGCCATTACAACCTCATGGGTTTTCTCCGGGTCCACTCACAGCTAAAGAAAGATCTCTACATGTGAACAGGAGTGAACTATATGTTAGTGCCAAAATGACCTAGTTTGTGTTAAACCTATTTCTCCAGAACCTTGGGTTTCTGCTTGCTGCTGAAGACCCCTACATGCAAACAAATTATTGAAATAAAATTGTACCATATGTTAGTCCCAAAATGAGTGGACTTTGTGTCGAGTGGACTTTAAACGTAAGTTTCTCCAGCCCCTCAGGTCTCTGTAGTGCCTGCTGCTGAAGGCCCCTATGTGCAAACAAATTATGGAGAAAAAAAATTGTACCATATGTTAGTCTCAAAATGACCTTGTTTGTGTTGAGGGGAAGTTAAATCCCATTTCCCTCTTTTTCCATATCCCGGGTTAAGGGGTGACTCGAAGGTGTGTCGCATGATTGTATCAGGAACTGTAGCAGAAATTTTAACAGATTTTAAACAATGTGTAGAGGCCCCTATCATGGGCCCTATGTACTACAGTACCATATTATAATAGATTAATTCATAAAATTATTAAATATAACAGAGAGAGAAAGAGCAATGTGGTTTAACGTCCACTCAACACAAACTAGGTCATTTCGAGACTAACATATGGATCAATTTTATTTCAATAATTTGCTTGCACGTAGTCCAGTGGGGGGTCTTTAGCAGTCGGAGGAAACCCACAAGATTAGACAGACGACCCTACTCCTTATCATGTACAACCGGGGATTCGAAACCACGCCAGTTGACCAATGACAGACCTTATGATACAGCGCGCATGCTGTGCATGCTGCGCATGCTAACCATTCAGCCATCCAACGCCTCTTAAATATAACAGAAACTATACTATTTGACATCATTTTAAAACACCATTATGAATTTGTCTACAATCTACATGCTGTGTTACTATTATGTAGTATGTTATGTTTAAAAGCTGTTTCTTATTTAAGGTTTCTGAATTTGTATGTCTTGTGTTACCATTGTTGTATTATAGGCTATATTTATAAATAAAATGAAATGAAATGAGGTTTAACGTAGAATGGTTCTGCACAGACTGGGATAATGAAGACGGTATGCCATTCAATGTGCTATGAGGGATTACGCGACAAGGAGTAGGGTCGCCTGTCCAACCTCGTGGGTTTTCTCCGGGACCTCCGGTTTTCTCCCACTGCTAAAGACCCCTATGCGCAAGCGAATTAGTGAAATAAAATTGAAACATGTGTTAGTCCCGAAATGACTTAGTTTATGTCGAGTGGACGTTAAACCCCATTTCTCTCTCTCTCGCAAAGAAGGAAATTTTGGCCAAAAAGGCTATTTATAACCTATAAGTCTATGACTTACAGCTATACATGAATAAATTTTTTAAACATATTGGAGCCACAGTGGCTAAGTGGGTAAGACGGTGGCTCGCTAGCCTGGATGTCGTGTGTTCGATCCCTGCATTAGCCAAGAAAGTTCATCTGGGATTTCTGGCGTGGTTTCCCCTTGTCAGTGGTGCAGCATGGAGGGCCTGACAAGGACAGCTGTCTAGTTGTTTGGATGGGATGAAAAACTGAAGTTCCATGTATACATTGGCATTCACATAAAAGATCTTTTGACAATTGGATTTCAATATAACAGTAGGCCATAGTGCCACTGCCTGGGTAAAATTTCCCTTGTAGCACACTGTATGGCGTATGCCCACCTTCATTAGCCCAGTTCATGTCATTCCACTTAACCAGATTAATTTATAAAATCATTCAATAGAACAGAAATTATATTTAGTTTGCATCGTTTCAAACAATCACAATCCACAGATAAAAATTATGAATCTTCAATGTCAAAAATTTATGTATTTATAATATTTATACCCATGCATCATAATTGTGTTGAAGGCTGTGTCATTATCAAACCCGTTTGAGGTAAATGTGTACATTACATACCGTTGTCCTGTTAGTAAATCTATATTATAATTATAAGCTAGATTAAAATTACGGTTGTCTTATTTGTAAATATTATTTGTCATAATGTTATAAATATATTTACATGTTTATATTGTATGTTGTCCTAAATGGATGTTTCGATAAAAATCTTATCTACATGGAAGCTTAATAATAATAATTTAGTTTTCCTTTTTAAATATTGGTAGCCTACCCTTTATAAATATAGTCTATCTCATACAATTTATCATTTACAGAAATTATAAGTAATCAGACAAAATACCAAATAATCAGACACAAATTCTGAATCTTCCAATACTGTGGCCTAAAAATTCTAAATTAAGTTTCATTTTAAAATATTAGCATACCAGTATAAAATTAATAATAGACAATCATTCAATTACCGGTAATCAGATAAAATTCCAAGTTATTGGATAAAATCAATAAATCGATGACTCTTCTCACCTGCTAAAATGTCCGTAAATATCACTGGATTCTATCGGTAAATGGCCGAGACATCAAAGAGATTGCCAACAAACAACTCAAATAATTCGTCTGCACGGGCAACAAAACTCAACTCGAGTCTAATAAGTTAACTTAAAATGGGTTAGCTAGGATTGTGTTTTGAGAGATAAGTCTGAAGTTTTTCATTTTGAATCTGAAGTTTTAGCTGTCAGGCACGTATTTAGCCATGCATGCTGTCCAAAAATGAATCGGTGACGATGTGCCATGCACTCCAAGGTAGCGGAGAGATTTGCGCACGTACTGAAACGTGCCAACTCCGGTGATTTCGTTCGAGAGGATAAAAATAACTCCAAGTTTATTACTTAAAACTCGAACTGCTTATTTATGCAGTTTTCAGAGTCAGTCATGTATTCAAGAGGTCACGAGCACAGCTCAGGAATGTGTCACGCATAGATCACACGTCACGTGCGCACGCGTAATGGCGTGCGTGCATGCTAAAACAGTTGACGCCCCAGAAAACTTTACCGTTAGGAAAAAATATATAATTGAAGACATAATAGCACTTACTGTACACGTGGGAGGGCTTCGATTGTTTTCTGCGAGACATGACTGATGGATCCGTCCGCCAAATATTAAACTTGCAATAGTAAACAAATACATTTGGCGGAATTTCAATGAAAATAAGACCAACAACCTAAACTTCCCCTTCTCTTCACCTCCATCTTGAGCGGTGTATGCTGGGATTGGCACGTGTGTGCGTTGCGCGAGTTTAATGTCCAGTCCATTGCATGAGACAGATTACAACATTGTTGCGGTTCAGTTACTTCATTATTCAATCACAACACGTGTTATTCGCCCACCGGCAAAGCTTTAACCATGGAAACCGAGAAAACTACTGGAGAAGAAGTTATTGGGTAAAAAATGCATTTTATTGATAGCGCGAATGAAAACCATGTGTGTATGTGCAAATGTTGACGTTTGACTTGACTCTTTGAGTTGGCTAATGTGATTTACCGTTTGCTTTATTACTTTACGTCATCACGATTCATAAGGAAGTCTGTTGCGTGGATCGACATCATATTATTATTTAATCAATTCATCGTGACATCGTCTGACAAAAATATATAGATTTAAATCAAATTAATTTCTCAATTGAATTGATTTTAGTGGATATTATTAATATTATTAATTGTTGTATTTCATGATTCATGAATGTCATTCACAAAACAATAAAGTTAGGGGATGGGGCCGAATTGTAGGCCTATGTGGTCAGACCATAAGGTCTGCCATTGAGTCAAGTGATGTCAAGTGACATGTTTTCCATTCTGGTCTAGTGTCACCTGTCCATTCTCGTGGGTTTTCTCCAAGTCCTCAGTTTGCATCGGGTCCCCAGTTTCCTCCCACTGCTAAGTCAACTACACCTACTACAAGCAAGCGAATTATTGAAATAAAAGTGTACCATATTAGTCCCAAAATGACCTAGTTTTTGTGTGTTGAGTGGACCCGAAATGACCTAGTTTGTGTCGAGTAGACTTCAACCCCATTTTTCTTTTTCTGTCATTTGTCATTTCTATAAAAAAGAAAAATTAAGTTTGGTTTTTAGAATTTTTTTTCCAAGATTGATGTCTACATTTTAATGCATCAAAAATACAATATACATGTAGATCCATGTGCCTCAGCGAGTGAGGCGCTGGCTTGCTGACTTAGAGGTTCTGTGTTTGATCCCTGTGTTGACAGAGAAAGTTCATCATGATTATCATTTTAGGTGCTGTCGACAAACAAAAATTCTTACTTTGAAAGGTCATTCACAAACAAAAATAATTTTAGATGATATTTTTTATCGTTTTTTTCTGTGTTTTATAAGAACGTCGCCGAATATTAAAAATATCAAAATTTACATGTACATCGTAATTAAACATTAATCACCAATTAAGTCGTGTCAAGGGTTGTCCAATACAAGCCTTAAACCGATCATACCACTCAGAGATGTCCTTTTATTTTTATTGCTGCGAAAGTTAAGTTCTTTTGACAAGTATTTTTCAAGTTCAACGTGGTAAACAGAATCTATTTATGATTAAGAAATACACACGTTTGTTTCGTATAAAAATGGAATTTTGAAGTCAAGTTGCTAATCTGGTTAGAGACATGTTTGTTGTAAACCGTGAACTGGCTACATACACGAGCTCGCGATAACCAAAATTCACAAAACAAACATTTTAGCACGTCTGCCATATATATAAGATGTTATGTTGATTATTTACAAAAATAGACTTGACAACATTTGTATTTTACATGCCTTTGTCTAGTCGCTAAATTTACTGTCTAGAGGATGGAGAGAGTATGAAATAAAATGGCATTTTAAGGTCCTACTGTTCTGCTCAAATTGGGCTAATGAAGACGGATATACGCCATACACGCTATACAGTGTGCTATGAGAGAAATTTGGCCCGGACAGTAGCACAACATCCTACTCTTGTATCGAATTCCATCTGCCAAGGGTTCTTTTACGTGCATGCCAATGTGGGTTTTCTCCTGGTCCTCTAGTTTAATCCCACTGCTTGCAGGACGGAGGGCCAGACAAGGACAGCTGTCTAGTCCTTCGGATGAGACGAATCACCGAAGTCCCGTGTATACATTGGAATGCACTTAAAAGATCCCTTGGCAGTTGGAATTCGATATAAGAGTAGGCGATAGTGCCGCTGCCCGGGCAAAATTTCCCTCATAGCACACTGTATGACGTATGCCTGTCTTCATTAGCCCAGTATAGGAGCAGAACAGTAGGACGTTAAACCCCATTTCATTTCATTTCCTCCCACTGCTAAAGAAGCCCTACGCGCAAGCGAATTATTGAAATAAAATTGAACCATATGTTATTCCCGAAATGAGCTAGTTTCTGTCGAGTGGACATTATACATGTAACTATTTCAACATCAAATCAACGTTTAGTTTCAACTCAAATTAAAAAGTCTAGCGATTTTAAGATTAAATGTTCAAATTACTACTCGATGAGATTATAAGAAGAAAACATACTCATTAGCATATTTTTAGTAAAATTACACGTATTTATGGCAGACACCCATGATGAAACATGACTTATCATTGATTTCTAAAAATAGATAGGTTTTTTTCTGATATATAATCATACATTTAAATAGTATTTATTAACTTTATTCGTATTAATCCTAATTGTTTCATAGCTTGTAGGATTACTATCAAACTTCACTCTTTACCACTTTTTTTATACGCCCACATTTTTATGTGGATGTATAGTGTCGTTGCCCCTGTCCGTCCGTCATTCCGCCCACAATTTGTTTGTGGACTCTATAGAGGTCACGATTTTTATCCGATTTTGATGAAACTTAAAACATATTTTTATGTCCTAAAGATCTCAGTCCCTGTTGATATTTTATGTGGACGTATAGTGTCGTTGCCCCTGTCCGTCTGCCAGTCCGTCCACAATTTGTTTGTGGACTCTGTAGAGGTCACAATTTTTATCCGATTTTGGTGAAACTTAAACATACATTATGCAAGAGCTAAATCTGATTACCGTATTGCAAGTCTTTATTTAGGCTTCAGATGTCATAGAAATTATAAATTAGATCTTTATTTACACAACAGCACAAAATCAACTCTGTAGACCCACTGATGGCTTGGATTCAGCTTGGATTTAAACAGGATTTCGTTGACTGATTTAATTTTAAATGGCGTCGTGAGCGGAGATTAACCATTACATTGACGTCATACTCCCGAATCGAGGCTAAATGATAGAGTGTACGAAGCGAGTCCGCTGTTGAGCGATGCCTTAACAAATGACATATAAACTATTTAAAGTGCGATAAACTAAACACAGATAATGACAAATTATACAATTCCTGGAAACCGTGAGATGACTAATACAGACGGACAGGTCTTCTGTCTTAATAATATCAATAAAAATATTTTTATTTCCCCAATAGGCACGACGCCACTGGTGTATACCGGTACCTATAGATTTATCATAATTGTATTATAATATTATGTCCTATATTCAATTGATTTAATGCATGCCCAAAATACAAGTAAGAATGAAAATTTACCCTCTCACTCATTTTGTCCAATTGTTACAAAAATCCAAAAAGGTAAAACACAAATTCGGATATGATGAGAGCGGACAAAAGACAGCAGAGATTATGTAGGTGGAGTTAACGCCTGTCAATCAAACGATCGGCCATACTAAGAATCGGTGAAGATGCAATTCAATCCCATTTCTAGTAAAAAATTACAGTGGTGATAACTATGTTCAGAATAAAGTAATTTGACTGAAATTTTCAATATATTCTTCTTTCATCATCTATTTTTGAACTATTATAGCAAGAATGGCTAACTCCTTATAAAAATTTCCCATAATGTATCTTTAAAACATATTTTTATGTCCCAAAGATCTCAGTCCCTGCTGATATTTGCGCATTTCAGACCATAACTTTCTGGATTATTGCCCATGATTGTACAAAAAATCTCGTTTGTTTTTAGCTTGTTCTCTATCCTTCACTTGCAAAATGTGGGCATGTGCCGCATGTCCTGTCTGGCAGCCGCTGGTTCTTATTTTTAGGGGGTGGGGTGGTGGATGGCCGAACGGTTAGCACGTGCACTTGTGCGCATTGTATCATAAGGTCTGTCATTGAGTCCGCTGACGTGGTTTCGATTCCCCAGTTGTATGTGACAAGTAGTGGGGTTGCCTGTCCAACCTGGTGGGTTTTTTCCGGGTTCTCCTGTTTTCTCCCACTGCTAAAGATCCCTACATGTAAGTGAATTATTGAAATAAAAAGCATATGAAACACAGGTTTTACACCGGTTGATTATGGTGTTAGCCATTTGAGAGGGGTCACAAAAACTCGGAAGGGGCAAAGTAACCTCAAAAACATAGCACATTATGCGCTGTGATCAACTCCACAAATATTTACAATTAAATGATTTCTTTAAGTTGGTTGATAGTTGAATTTTATTGTCAGGACATTACAGAGATATTACATCATTTCAGATCTGGGCAAACAGATGATGAAATTAACTTTATTTTATTGTAATTCTGCACCTACTAAAGATCTTTCATTGGGCAACCAGTTAACTTTATTTTCTTGTAATTCTGCACCTACTAAATTATTATTATTATTATTACTCCAAGGGATATTTCATTGGGCAAGCTTTTAGATGATGAAATTAACTTTATTTTCTCGTAATTTTGAACCTACTAAATTTAGTAAAGAACCCAGATCGCCCCTGACCAGTATTTTATTTGTAATTGTAAGAATTGTCGTCAAAAGCTCAGGAAGATTTTCAGTGTATTGATTGATTGGGTATCTGAGGTATAATTAATAATTATGTCATCGTGTAAGGTAAATAAAAGTTGATTAAATTATTTGTCAATGTTTATAGGTTGGATGGGAAACCCACTTCTAAAAAAGGTTTAAAAAAACAACAGAAAGAAGCTGAAAAAGCTGCTAAGAAAGCGGAGAAACAACAACAAAAACAACAAACAACTGTAAGTGTCTTTAGAATACAGATGTGACGCCCAGAGGCGTAGTCGTGAAATATATATTGGGGGGGTCCGCAACCCTAACCCCTAACCCTAACCCTATTTTAAAACCCCTAAAAATATAAACAAACACCATGTGGCCATGCTGTCTACAAAACTCGTTTGCTGTCTACCAAGACACCACGTGCAAAGTATTATGGTTACGTGGCTGGCTGAGCGGGCGATGAATATTTGGTTTTTGGGTACCTACATGCGATTAACTCTGATAAGTGGCAGAAAAAAATTAACTAGACACAATTTTATGGAACACAGTTACTTTTCACTTCACACGTCATGTTTCAAGGATGATTATCTCTGTGTTTTATTTTAGCAGTATTAACCATATTGGGATATGTACAGGTTTTATACAGATAGAATCTTAACTAATCCTAATAATTGTTGTAAATAAATAGGAGTTAGGGTTTACTATGTAAATATTTTTTTGGGGGGGGGTCCAAGTATATTCAGACCCCCGAAGAAATACAATTGGGGGGTCCCCCCCCCCCCCATGTGTGACGCCCATGGTGACGTCATCCTTTTATGTTACAATCAGATTAAAACACAGATCCTATTTCGTTTTATTTTTTATAGTTCAAAATATTGTTTTACTTCTCTTTACAACAATAGGATCTGGAAGAGTTGTTATCTTACCGGTGTTCTGGTTGAAGTGAGGGATTAGCCTATGAAACAGTGTTTTACAGCGAGTTCTTGGTGTGCGATGCACGGATCTGTGGGTAAACCACTAGAAACATCAGTGCTGATAACTCTAACAATCGAAGGGATATGATATACATATATATATATGTAGGGTAGATAACTCTACCAAATTGATGTGATGTGATAAAGAATTAATAATATTTATGAATGAAATAGAGTTTAACGTCTTACTTGGCTGATTGGTAGACAAAAATGTTAAAGGCTTGGTTTATTTACAAATTGTAATTTATTTCGTATTTTTTAGGAGACAGAGAGTGAAGACTATGCGAAAGAAAACTATGGCAACTTTCCTCTTATCCAATCAGCTTCTAAAGTTGATCGCAAACTTCAGAAAGTTAGTCAGCTGACCCCAGAATTATCCAATCAAAAAATATGGGTGCGTGGTCGTCTACATACTAGTCGTAGTAAAGGTAAGGATTCAGGTTAATCTGTTCATTAATTGGATTATGGAGGAGCGGTGGGGGTGGGGGGCGGGCCCTTTGTCAGTGGCATAGGATGAAGGGGCTGGCAAGGGTCAACATATTAGTTGTTTGGATGGTACGGAAAACATTGGCCTGCGCGTAAAAGAAGCCTTGACAGTTTGAATATGGAATAAGAGTAGGCCGTAAAGTGTCGCTGTCCAGGCAAAATTTCCCTCATAACACACTGCATGGTTTATGCCTGTCTTCATTAGCCCAGTTCGGAATAGAACAGTAAGACGTTAAACCCCATTTCATTTCATATCACTTATTACCTTTTTTGTTTTGAATTTGTATTTTGGCAGGTAAACAGTGTTTTTTTGTGATTCGCCAACAGAAATGGTCGATACAAGCTCTTCTGTCAGTTGGTGATAAAGTCAGTAAACAAATGATCAAGTTTGCTGCCTCGTAAGTAAAATAACAAATGCATTACTTTACGATGTTAGAATAGTTTTTAAACAGTGCCAAATGAATTCAAGGAATACCTCAGAAATCATGTTGTACTGCTGTGTGTATTGTAACTGTGCGAATTAGAAAATGTGAGTTGAAAAGTTTTTATGTTGCCATGGAAACGCATTTAAGTTTATGTACAGTATAGTATAATATCCTATTAAAAGAAAATGTTAATTTCATTCAGGGTGTGGGTTGTTTTTTTTCGATTTAAAGAAATATTTAAGAAAAATGCATTTTGGACACTCTCTCGCTCTCCCCAATTTGGGGGTTGGATGGCCGAATGGTTAGCACATGCGCGCTTTATCATAAAGCCTGTCATTGAGTCAACTGGCGTGGTTTCGAATCCCCGGTTGTACGTGACAAGGAGTAGGGTCGCCTGTCCAACATCATGGGTTTTCTCCAGGTCCTCGGGTTTCCCCCCACTGCTAAAGACCCCTACGCGCAAGCGAATTATTGAAATAGAATTAAACCGTATCTTAGTCCCGAAATGACCTAGTTTGAAATAGAAATATAATATATTTTTTGTTTGAATCAGGTTAAAAATGAAATATATTTTTTTATTTCAATCAGGATAAACAAAGAGTCTATAGTTGATGTAGAAGGTCTGGTGAGAACAGTAAATAAAAAAATTGAATCCTGTTCACAGACAGATGTTGAATTACACGCTGAGCAGGTAATATTTGTGTTAAATATAGTTTTCCATCATTTGATGCGAGGTTCGGTGGATGAATGGTCTAATGTATGCCTTTTAGATCATAAGTTGGATTGCATGCCCCCCCCCCCCCCACCACACACACACACACACACTGGTAAACCACCTGCATGCAGGCTAATTATTGAAATAAAATTGACCAATTTGTTAGTCCCGAAATGACCTAGTTTGTGTCGAGTGGACGTTAAACCCCATTTCTCTCTCCCTCTCTCCGCCAACCCGTCTGCTATGTATTTAGGGGTTTGTGTGGTCTATTAGTTTAACATGTGCACTTTAAATCATAAGATCTGTCATTGAGTCAAGTGGTGTTGTTTCAATTCCTTGCTTATACATGATAAGGAGTAGGGCCGCCTGTCTCCGGGTTTTCTCTTGGTCCTCCGATTTCATCACACTGCTAAAGACCCCAACACACAAGTGAATTATTGAAATAAAATTGAACCATATGTTAGTCCCAAAATCTATAAACTTGAAACATCTCTCTCTCTCTTTCTCTCTCGCTCTCTGTTGGAATAAAATTTATAAATAATTTTGTAGATTTGGGTGGTGAGTTCTGCTGCACCACAGTTACCCTTACAGATTGAAGATGCTAGCAGAAGAGAAGGTGACGGGGTAAGTTCATTGGTTAATATTCACAGCTAAAATACTACATTGATAATTTTCTTCTCAAATATAAATCAACTATTTAAAATCTAATTAAAATCCATGCATTGCATATTAGATTTCTTGAAACAAATATTGTTAAATGGTGCTCGATAAAATAGAAATGAAATAGGGTTTAAGGTCTGACTGTTCTGCTCCGACTGGGCGAATGAAGACAGGCATCCACCATATAGTGTGCTCGAACGTCAGCGCTGCAGGCTAGTCTTATATCATGTGTACACCAATATGATTGAAATAGACCAATATTAAAGTAGCTAAGTCTCTAACTCAGTATCATCTTAAGTTTTTTCTGGGTCCTCCAGTTTCCTCCCACTGCTAAAGACCCCTACGCGCAAGCAAATTATTGAAATAAAATTGAACCATATGTTAGTCCCGACCTAGTTTGTGTCGAGTGGACGTTAAACCCATTTCATTTGATTTCATTGCTTTATGTTATGATTTTAAAGGACTCAGTTTGATTTCATTTTAGGAACTAGCGACAGTAAATCCCGACACCCGTCTGGATAACAGAATATTAGATCTACGAACCACAACTAGTCAAGCTATATATAGAATTGAAGCAGGCGTCTGTCGATTATTCCGTGATTACCTCACATCAGAAGGTTTCGTAGAAATTCATACGCCAAAAATAATATCTGGTGAGGAATCTTTTGTTAAGTTCACTGATTTAATTTAAAAACATTGACTTTACTGCATTTCATTCGTATCCCTTTTAGATCCTTTGTTTCCTAGGGGTTAATATCTGGGGAGTTAGTGAGGTTGTTGGTCTCACCAAATGCAATGACAAATTTCGAAAGACAAATTACAATAGACATGTTAGTGAAAATTGAATAACAGCTAGTTAGGTTATTTTGGCGTGGTTTCGATTCCCTGGTTGTACGTGACATCGTATACTTGAGATTTAAACTAGATTAGAATGGTTCGCCATTTAAAAATGAGAAAGCGAGGCCAAGTCTCGAATATACCAGTACCCTGGTAACCACAATGCACACATCTTGTCAAAACTACAAATAGTTTCAATATTTTCATTTTACATTATCTAATTTTGAGCTTTTATAGCAAGAATGGTCAGCTCTTTATCTAAATCTTACATAATGAATCTTTCATATTGTTTTTATTCTGTTTGTAGCTGCGTCAGAAGGAGGAGCAAATGTTTTTACTGTATCCTATTTTAAAACTCAGGCCTACCTGGCCCAGTCTCCACAACTCTACAAACAAATGGCCATATGTGGAGATTTTGACAGAGTTTTTACAGTTGGTGCTGGTAGGTTATCTCCCTTTCATCATCTAAGAAAATAATTATGAGGATGCTCAATTATAAGTCCAGAATGTCCCGAATGGGCATTATTGAAACCGCATCTGTCGGTCCCGACAACTGAGGTGATGTGAGTAGAATCGTGACATGATTAAACACAACAAACATGTTTCGGTTATCATGACTGGTTGAGATATTTTCTTATTCAGTCGGTGCCTGTGTTGTAGCCAGTATTTGGGATTGAGAGAATTCAATTCAGGAACATTCACTTTCACTTGAGTATCTTCTATGTGAACAAAATTGTCTAGGACAACTTAAGTTATCTCCCTTAAGTGTTCTAGATAATTAAAATGAAAACAACAAATTTGTTTTATTAATATCATCATAAACTTACATGTGAACTTAATTGTCTTTACAATCGTAGGATGAATCTGCTTTCTTTTATAAACTTTCAATGCTCAAAGACGATCACACATCAAATGTGTTACATTGTCGTGCAAACAAGCCTGGAAATAACGGTTTTAAATGTACCTGACAAAATGTCAGGCACTAATGAAATAGTACCTGACATTTTCAATCTAGTGCCAGTCATGTATTAATAATATCAATAAAAAAGACAAATCAGTGTCGGACAAAATGACAGGCACCAGAGGTTTAGTGCCTGACAAAGCCTGAATCTAGTGCCTGACATTTTCAATCTAGTGCCAGTCATGTATTAATAATATCAATGAAAAAAGACAAATCAGTGCCGGACAAAATGACAGGCACCAGAGGTTTATTGCCTGACAAAGCCTGAATCTGTTCCTGACATTGTCTGTGACAGGTGCCTTATTTCTAGACTTGCGTGCAAATTGCAGGTCAAGTGGCCATTGTTTTATTGTGATGCAAATTACAGGTCATTTTTTAGTTGGAACACATGGCCTACAATATACAGCGTCTGATCAATTGGGTTCAGTGGTTTTGATCTTTTTTTAGAAAAATTTGTGTTGAAGAAACGTGTTACTCGATGTGATCCTTATTAGTGAAATACTAGCAGATGTTGGAAGAAAAACTTCACTTCATTGAAACAGAAAAAAGGGAACATACAAGTTAATAATGTTATTTTTACTTTCAGTTTTCCGAGCAGAAGATTCTAACACACATCGTCATTTAACAGAGTTTGTGGGTCTAGATATGGAGATGGCATTTAGCTATCATTATCATGAAGTTTTAGATGTTATAGGAAACCTCTTCTGTTCTATATTCAAAGGTTTACAACAAAAGTTAGTAGTTTATTGTCTAGGATCATAGGAAACCTATTTTGTTATAGAAAACCTATTTTGTGATAGGGAACCTATTTTGTGATAGGGAACCTATTTTGTGACAGGAAAGCTATTTTGGGTTTTCGTTATAGGAAACCTATTTTGTTCTATATATATAGGGTTACAACAAAAGTTGGTAGTTTATTGTCTAGAAAATGGAATGAAATGGGGTTTAATGTCTTACTGTTCTGCTCCTATACTGGGCTAATGAAGACGGGCATACGCCATACAGTGTGCTATGGGGGAAATTTTGCCCGGGCAGCGGCACTTTCGCCTACTCTTATATCAAATTCGAACTGCCAAGGGGTCTTTTACGTACATTCCAATGTATATACACGGGACCTCGGTTTTTGTCTCATCCGAAGGACTAGACAGATGTCCTTGTCAGGCCCTCCGTTTTATTGTCTAGGGTCAGTAGGTATCGTAATGTACGTGTGGGTAGAAATTTAAAGGATATTCGGTGGCCAGATGGTTTAACACTTGCGCTTTAGATCACAAGGTTAAATGGTTTATCCCATTGTCAGTGATGCAGGATGGAGGCCTGACAAGAAGAGCTTTCTAGTCGTTCGGATGGGACGATTTACCGAGGTCCTGTGTATATACATTGGAATGCACACAAAAGATCCCTTGGCAGTTGGAATTCGATATAAGAGTATGGCGTATGCCCGTCTTCATTAGCCCAGGTTAGGAGCAGAACAGTAAGACGTTAAACCCCATTTCATTTCATTTCATTTCATTTAAATGGTTTATTGGGGGGTTTGATGACCGAATGGATAGCACGTGCGTGCTGTATCATAAGGACTGTCATTGAGTCGACTTGTGTTGTTTTGATTCCCCGGTTGTCCATGACAAGGAGTAGGGTTGCCTGTCCAACCTCGTGGGTTTTCTCTGGGTCCTCCGGTTTCCTCACACTGCTAAAGACCTCTTACGCGCAATCGCATTAATGAAATGAAATTGAACCATATGTTAGTCCCAAAATGACCTAGTTTGTGTCCAGTGGATGTTAAACCCCATTGTTGTCATGACTACTGGTGTGGATCACGGGGTTTGTCAATGAGACTGTGCCAAATGTCTGACCATGAAAGTGTCTTGTTGTTCAGATGGGAAGAAGCCCATTGGTGTGCGCATAAGAGACCCCTTGGAAGTTCAAATTTAAAGAAGAGTTTGTGGAAATGCTTTCCATATTTTGTAGTTGTATATATATATATATACTCTTCAAAAACAGTAGGGGATATTGAAATGCAAATACCTATGCAGGTTGTGATATGATAAATAGTCATGGACACTTGACATGCTTTGAGAGTATGTTCACAAATGAAGAACTTATCGCCCCAACAGAACCACTGAGCTGCAGATGCGACACGCAGTAGTGCCATACACGTGGGAGGGATTCATTGTCAAATTTGACATGTTTGCTCTCCTATGGGTTCTTGCATAAGATTTACTGTTTAACATATCTTTGCTTTAGTGTGTTACGTTTCATTTGATCGGGAGACATGTTCGTCGATGTCAACATCAACCGGCAACACTGCAAGAATTGGCCGTGGCACTGCAAGAGGAGCAGGTCAGATTAGGAGCATGCCACAACAATTTGATGAATATCTGAGGATTGGTGGAGCAATTACTCATTATTAAGACAAAAATTAAAAACGTCCATTTTCACTTTTGACAGTGTATCTCTTTGCGAGTGAAATGGGGCTGTCAGATAAGCCGCCCATATGAACTGTTTATGTTCATGTTTAGGCAAATGGCCTTTCATTAACATACACTGGTTACCTCTAATAAAAACTGAAGTGCATTTCTGCAGTTTTGTATTGTTTCTGAATATCCCCTACTTTTTTGAAGAGTATATTATTGTATATTTTGTAGTTTTGTATATATAATGTTTGTATATTTATATTGATGTATATTTTGAAGAGTATATATTGATGTATGTTTTGTAGTTGTATATATATAATGTTTGTATATATATATATATATATATTGATGTATATTTTGTAGTTTTGTTGAAGAAATAGAAATGGTACATAAACAATTTCCCGCTGAACCTTTTAAATTTTTAGAACCCAGGTAAAAAGGGATTTATTTCATAGGCTATTATAGTTAGATGCATCACCTTGATTTACGTCAAATGCTTATGTTAAAGATACATTATGGGAGATTAGATAAAGAGCTGGCAGTTCTCACTATAATAGTTAAAAACTAGATAATGTCGAGTGGACGTTAAACCCCATCTCTCTCTCTCTCTCTCTCTCTCTCTCTCTCTCTCTCTGCAATAGGCAGATTTAGCTCTGTTTAATCATTTAGACGTGATTTATTCGATATAGTCTGAAAAAGCTTGGCATATTGACTGCTTCAACCAAAAATCCACAGGACAAGTCATGCTTATAGCACGGTTTTCATGACGACGTAGGTTGAGGTGTTAAACCTGTTAATGAATGAAGCGTGCTATAAATGGCTTTTAACATTGACAACTACTTAACATGGTCGTTGTTATTGCACAGAAACACCCCCGCCCCCCCCCCCCCACTTCTCTACATGATTTCTACTAAAACTAGCGTAAACTAGCAAAAGTGTGTAATAACATTGAAAATGTCTAGTTATTGCACGGTTATGCTCCAGCCAGCCTGCTAGAGGGAAAACAATCTGCCTATTCAACGAAAATAACAAAGGAATATTTCCCGTCCATGTTACAAGCATTTCAACTATATATCTCTTAAATCAAATCAAGTGAAATTCGGGGATGGGTGACCGAATATTTTAATGTGTTAGTCCCGAAATGAACTAGTTTGTGTCGAGTATATGTTAAACTCCATTTCTCTCCTCAAATAGGAATTCCATTAGTTGCATCATATGTACATTGTTAAATTGAAAGTTAACTCTTAGAAATAATTAAACATGTTTTATTTGTTATCAGTTTACGACTAGATTACAGCGAAGGAGTTCAGATGTTGAGGTCTGCTGGGATAGAAATGGAGGAAGATGAAGATCTGAGCACGCCCAATGAAAAATTACTGGGTCGTCTGGTTAAAGCAAAGGTAAACTCGTTAGTTGATTTAAATCATTTCACTGTCATCTTGGGTTCTGACGTTACTGGAAATACCTTGTTTACACATGTAACCATAGAAATACCTTGTTTACACATGTTACCATAGAAATACCTTGTTTACACATGTTGCCATAGAAATAGATATTACTGTATACGGTTCCTGCAGGCAACAACAGGTGGGTTAGGGTATATGGTCCGGGGAGCCAGTTGACATGGCATACATGTTCTGGGGGTGGGTTCTTATTACAGTACCATGCTCTTTTGTCTAAACAGGGATACCCGATTGAACGTTCTTGAATTTTATTCTCTCAATCCCCAAAATAGTTAACTATCGAGTGAAAAGGGCATTTTGGGTAACAACTCGTGTGTCAAATGGCTTAGATAATATCTCAACCAACCATGACAGCTGAAACATATTCGTTGTGTTTCATTACGTCACGATTCTACTCATACCACCTCCATTGTCAGGACTGACAGAACAAAACTGTGACAAGACTGAATTCTGCCCCACTCAATTGTAAATCTGTCCATTCGGAACGTTCCAAACTGACAATCAACCATCTCCTAAATCTATCTTTTATTCTGTTCTGTTATGATTACAAAATTACTTAATCAGCAGTACTTGGGGGGGGAGGGCTGATGTCATTGTGGGGATACTCGATTGAAAGTTCCGGAATTAAATTCTCTTAATTCCAAAAATAGTGTTAATCGAGTGAAAAGGAGAATCTCAGAGTACAACACATGTGCCGACTGCATAAAAAAATATCTCAACCAATCATGACAGCTGAAATATGTTTGTTACTTAAAATATGTCACGATTCTACACACACCACCTCAACTGTCGGGACTGACAGAACTGTGACAGGACTGAATTCCGCCCCACTCAATTAGAATACGTCACGATTCTACTCACATCATCGCAACTGTCGGGACTGGCAGAACTGTGACAATTGTGTCAATTCAGGACGTTCCGGACTGACAATCTAGCACCCCCTATGGCTATATTGGACAAGGGAGGTAATATATTATTGGTATTTATTTCAGTATGATACTGATTTCCATATGACAAGCTTGTAATTCTATCCATTCGGGATTTTCCCATGATAATATAGGACAAGGGAGGTAATAATTATTGTTATTTATTTTCAGTATGATACTGATTTCTTCATCCTAGATAAATTTCCTCTGGCTGTTCGACCATTTTATACCATGCCTGATCCTAACAATAAGGTAAGTAGCTAAGAATATCTACTAATCTAGTCTCTTTTTTTTGTCTCGTTGATTTTGTGATGGTGGAGTATTTAAAGCCCAGAAAGTGATGGTGCAATGAAATGAAATGGGGTTTAACGTCCTACTGTTCTGCTCCTATACTGGGCTAATGAAGACGGGCATACGCTATACAGTGTGCTATGAGGGAAATTTTGCCCGGGCAGTGGCACTATCGCCTACTCTTATATCGAATTCCAACTGCCAGGGGATCTTTTACGTGCATTCCAATATATACACGGGACCTCGGTTTTTCGTCTCATCCGAAGGACTAGACAGCTGTCCTTGTCAGGCCCTCCGTCCTGCATCACTGACAAGGGGAAACCACGTCGGAGAATCCTGATGAACATTCTCGGCCAATGCAGGGATTGAACACCCGACCTCCAGGCTAGCGAGCCAGCGTCTTACCCGCTTAAACAAGTGATGGTGCAGGACAGAGAGACTGGTAACTAAGGGTCAGTCGTATAGGAAGAAAAAAAAATGATGTTCTTTGTACAGATGGAATTTGAAATAAGAATAGGCTGTCCCATCTTCATTAGCCTGGTGGGAGCCATGGTGGCTAAGGGGGTAAGACGCTGGCTAGCTAGCCTGGAGGTCGCATGTTCGATCCCTGCATTAGCCGAGAATGTTCATCAGAATTTTTCGGCATAGTTTCTCCTTGTTAGTGGTGCAGGACGGGGCGGGCCTTGCGGCATTTGGAAATCAATATTATATATCATAGTAGTCTGGTGCAAGTGGTCCCCAATATACCACAAAGAATATTTATCATGAATTAATTTCCAAATAATACTAGTGATTTCTTTCGTAAGTTTTAATTTTATTTTTATTGATAGAAATGGTCCAACTCGTATGACATGTTTATGAGAGGTGAAGAAATATTATCAGGAGCTCAACGTATTCATGACCCAAAATTCCTGATGGAACGGGCCAAGGAACATGAAATAGGTAATATTCAGTTTCTGTTGTTTGTTATTATTGAGCAGAATTATACATGCATTATGCAAGAGCTAAATCTGCCTATTGCAGATCTTTCTTTAGGTCTAAAATGTTATCTAAATTATTAATTAGACATTAATTAACTTATCCAGACCATTATCAAATCTCGATGTCATTGCTAGCCTGCGATATTTACTGGATTAGGTATTGCATGCAGTGAAAATGATTAAACCATAATCAACTCTCCATGCCGTCTTATGTGTTGGATTTTCACTGGATTTGTATCCAATCTTCTACTCTAACGCTCATTGATGATTATATCCTAAAATGAATAATCGAGACTATGTTTTTTATCGTACTGACTTTAGTAATGATGATCGACGGCAGGCCTAACATTCAATCGCTAAATTCTTGGTTCAGAGTGGAACAATTTGACTGAAATTTTCAGCATATTCCCTTTCCATTTTCTAGTTTTTAACTATTATAGTTATCTACTCTTTTAATTTAAAGGCCTGATGCATCATTCTAGCGCTAACGAAAACCCTTGTCACTCTTATGTTATCATCATCCAATCTACTTGAAGTTTATACACAGCGTTTATGTTCATGAAAATATTAATTCTGAACCATTTCCAAAGTTTTGACATGTGATCACGGTGTTTATGGTCAATGATTCCCGATTGTATAGGGAGTGGGCGAAGACTAGTTCGATGATGTTGACTTCACTAAAATATTCACATGACACGCGCTGTCTTATCCCTTTTCAGCATATCGTTACATGTATACATGCTCGAAAACCTGTGACATGTCCAAGAAACACGATGCTGAAAACAATAACAACTATTTATTCACTGTCACATATAACACAAAAGTTCAAAGGTTGCAGGTCACATTCTTAGATACATACATAGATAATCAAATGTCCAACATAAAGTTGATATAATGTAGCGAAACGTTGCGTAACGGACTGCGGTAGAAAACAGTATGCTGTCACCTGCTCACATCACACACTTTCAGCTTCCCTTTTGCACATGTTCTCAACATCCGCTAGGTTGCTAAGCAATTGACTTGATTTACTAGACACTATATACTATTCTACATGATGGTAATAAGACCTGATTAAACGCTTATTTAACCTAATATTCTGCCACACTGATCCGCAGTGAGTTTTCGTTAGGCCGCGACAATCACTGATAAGGATGACATCGATGCAACTTTAATGAGCCACAAATATTAACTTTTTTCCTCCGACAAATTAAATTCTAAACCTTTTTTTTTTATGTATTTGTAAAATAAATAAAGACGTTTGTAGTGCTTGTAGGTAAAAATTATTTCCTATTTTAGTGTAAATGGGTATTAAAATAAGTAAAAGGCGCCATTCTGCTTGAATCAGTAACGTCTTATGTAAACAATGCACGCGCCATTGAGCCAATAATTGACGCCGCGTGATGTGACGTCATGTGTTGAAGGCAGCATCTTTTACAGAGATATTAGAAGACTTTCGTAATACTCTGTGAAACAGATTGATATTCTGCAAGTATGCACTGACATATTATATTGCGATATATAGATTTTGAACATTACACCGATTACTCACACAAGTTATCATCTGATTGTATAATAAATGTTAGACCAAGAACAGGAAGCTAACCAAATTTTAATTGTTTCTCATAATTACTTCATGGATTGATACAAAAAAATAATAATGTGACAATTTTTTATATTTTAAAATCATGATGTTGATTTTTTTAAATCTTGGTTGTTTTCAGATGTCAGCAAAATAAAAGCTTATATAGATGCCTTTAAATATGGAGCCCCACCACATGCTGGTGGTGGAATAGGTAAGATTTCTTTTTCTGGTCAAATAGTGGTCTGAAACTTTTTATAGATCGGGGGGGGGGGGGGTGTCCCGAATGGTTAGCACACTGTATGGCGTATGCCTGTGTTCATTAGCCCAGTCGTAGCAGAAAGTAGGATGTTAAACCACATTTCATTAGCCCGGTAGGTGCCAAAAAGTAAGAACCATATTTTGATATATCATGCAGAGAGGGTTCATGTAACATAGGACAGACGACGAAAAACACATTTCATTGCAAAGGGGGTTGGATGGCTGAATGGTTAGCATGTACATGGTGTATCATAAGGTCTGTAAATGAGTCAACTGTGTGATTTTGATTCCCCAGTTGTACACGACAAGCAATAGGGTCGCCTGTCCAACCTCGTGGGTTTTCTCCGTTTCCTCTGGTTTCCTCCCACTGCTAAAGACCCCTATGTTTCCTCCCACTGCTTAAGACCCCTTTATTTAAATAAAATTGAACCATATGTTAGTCCCAAAATAACCTAGTCTGTGTTGAGTGGATGTTAAACCCCATTTCTCTCTCTCCCCCCTTGTCAGTGGTGTAGGATGGAGGGCCGGCCGGCCAATGCACAGCGTATAATTGTTCGAATGGCACGAATAAACAAGGTCTTAACTCAGGACAGTTGAAAATCAGTATAAGAGTAGGCAGTAGCACTGCTGTCCGGGAAAAATATCAACCCGAGCACACTGTATATGCCCATCTTTATTAGCCCAGTTGGTACAGAAAGTAGGACGTTAAATCCCGTTTCATTCGTAGAGTGAATGTTCAACCCTATTCTCTATCTTTTTGATAGTCCTGCTTGTTACAACACTGGGATGGCAAGTAGAGTTATTCACGTTGATCTTTTCTCTTGATTCCCAAATCATTTCATTTGAGAATTTAACAATTTAGCCATTGTTGGTGTATTTTTCAGGTATGGAACGAGTACTGATGTTATATCTGGGACTGGATAACGTTCGAAAAACATCTCTATTTCCCCGCGATCCTAAACGACTTACGCCCTAATTTATTGTTATATTGTTTATTTATCTTAGCCTCAATTAATCTACTACATTTCAAAATGTCTGAAACTGTTAAAGTCACTCATCTTCGTTTGAGAGATATAAGATTTGTTCGAAATTAAAATATTGTGAATGTTGAATCTCTAAAATTGGTTCACTTCTGTGTATTACTTACAATCTGATTACAATACAGATCTATATTTCGTTTCATTTTTTTTTTTTTTTATACTTTCAATGACCTACACTACATGAAGATTTGACTGGTTGTAGTAAGGTCGCGTCAGGGGTTGTTGATGCTTCTAGTGGGTTACCCACAGTTCCATGCACCTCAGGCCTAAAACCCGCCGTAACAGACTGTTTCATTGACTAATCCCTCACATCATTCAGAATTCGTGTTATATAAAAACTCTTCCAGATCCTAGTGTAGTTAAAACAAGTAAAACAAAATTTTAAACCATAAATACGAAACGAAATAGGATCTCTGTTTTAATCAAATTGTATTACTTACGAAGATATGATGAACATAAAATTCTGAAATATTTGACATCGGCTGCAGACGATATAAAAAATGCCATCGTCACCTCTAAGTATTGGGTAAAATTTTTAATCCAACTGAATCCAAGTCAGAAGGTTATCTCCCCTTGATATTTTGGTTTCGTTAAGTAATCAATTTGAATGTAATTTTAACGTGGTTTAAGCTGTGAGAAAATAGACATTTTCTGAAAGATACTAACACTGTAACCCGGCTATCATTTAATCTTGTGTATCTAGCACTTATTTCTATTAACATGCATTTAATATCAAAACTTAGTTTAAAAATTCGTAAAAATCGTTTAAATTCACCAAAAATGAATGTGAAAGCTTTTTATTGGGCTTCCAAGTTGATTTTAATATTTACATCAATACACAGGGATAGTTAGTTTATTTAAGATATTTATTACAAAGTTTATGATTGATTGACATTGGACATCAGGTGAATACAGATTTATGACAAAAGGGAGATAATATTGGGGCAAAAAATCATATTAAAATCAGGGGCCTTATTTACAAATAAGAAACAGACTTTTCATTGGTTGACAGTTACAATTCTAGTACAAATTGTAGCTCTTATCCAATGAAAAAGCTGCTTTCTTAAAGGGACAATAACACTCTTGCTGGCTTGACAGCTCCAGAAAATAAATAATAGCCTTATTCTAAGTACTAGATGTGTTAGTGTCCTACCTGTTGTGTAAATTATCCATTAAACCCTATTTTACTTGTCCAGAGGGTTCGAAAATATTTTTAAATCCAAGTCACATTTGAAAAGGTTTACGTTAGGCTTTTCAAATCATTTAGTTGAATTTTTCCAATTTTTTAAATTAGGTGTGTTAAGATGAAATTTGTATCACAAATTAATTGGAATATCGTAAAAAAAGTACAATTTGTTGACCAGAATAAAGATTGGGATATATTATTCAGTTACAACAAGAGTGGTATTGAGCCTTTAACATATTTTAGTTTAGATTGTATAAGGCTCAATAGGCCTAACATCTAACAGAATGACTAATTTGTATATTAAGGTGATATATATTTTTAAACTATTGTGTAGGGTTATTTGATTGATTGTGTCAATATATCATGTTTCGCTCAATATTAAAAAAACTCTTGATTTGAATTTAAACCGTGTGTCTTTCTATGATTAAAGCTATTTGTATATTAGATATTGTTCCAGTGAAACATCCTTCTTTATGTACCATACTGTATCTGTAGAATTATGTACTATGAATACGCTGTATCATAAGGTCTGTCATTGAGTCAACTGGGATGGTTTCGATTCCCCTGGTGTAGGTTACAAGGAGTAGGGTTGCCTGTCCAACCTCGTGGGTTTTCTCCGGGTTCCTTCCACTGATCAAGATTCCTACGTGCCAGAAGAATTATTGAAATAAAATTGAACCATGTGTTAGTCCTGAAATGACTTAGTTTGTATCCAGTGGATGTTAAACCCCATCTCTCTCTCTCTCTCTCTCTCTCTTTGTACTATGAATATTGTTAACTAAGGAGCACCTGAAATACCTGATTCCACCATGATAGTTTCTATTGGGATCATACATTGTTGGATACCTGTGGCTTTGTTGTTGATATTTTGTTTGTTACAAGTTTGAAATTAGAAGAATAATATGTTTTATTGTGTTCCGCGAAAAAATAAATTCAGGTGTATTTAGAGTAAAACCTGAACATGTGAGAATACAGGTTAAAGAGGCATTATGGGAGATTCAATCTGGTTAAAACACAGATCCTATTTCGTTTCGTTTTTATAGTTCAAAATTTCGTTTTACTTGTCTTTACTACACTTGGATCTGGAAGACTTGTTATTTAACTCATGTTCTGCTTGAAATGAGGGGTCAGCCAATCAAATGGTCTGTCGAATCGAGTGTTTGACCTTTTTTGTCCGGAACTGTGGGTAATCCACTAATAACATCAATGCTGATTGGTTAATCAAATGTCTGACGTCATAGGTCAAAAGTCGGTCTTTTGACCCCTGATGTGACCTATGGTTATAACTTGTCAGATCTTCATGTAGCATAGGCCATCGAAAGTATAAAAAAACGAAACGAAATATAGATCTGTATTTTAATCAGATTGTGCAAAGTTATGAGTATTTGAAGTTTTGACCGATTGTGCAAAGTTATGAGTATTTGAAGTTTTGACAAGATTTAGCTTTAGCTCTTAAATGGCCGCTGTATTCAAATCTACTTAATAATCAGAGCGATCCGAAGGCCCAGAGAGCTAATTATGGTCTTGTCATGTTAATTTTTTATAAAATTTTAAGCTAGTTATAAGACCTGCAATAAGCAGATTTAAATCTTCCATAATGCATCTTTAAAGATACGTTATGGGAGATAAGATAAAGAGCTGGCAGTTCTCACTATAATAGTTAAAAACTAGATAATGTAAAGGCAATTTGCTGAAAATTTCATTGAAATTGATCCACTATGAACCGAGAACTAAGCGATTGAAATTTCCGCCTAGCCTCGATCATCATTACTAAAGTTAGTACGATAAACAGCATAGTCTCGATTATCCATTTAATCCTTAAATCGTGAAGGAAAGTTATGCAGTAAATCTGCTCATAATCCACTAAAGATCAAAGGCTAGCGATGCTATCTAGAGTTGATTATGGTCTGGATTGATTAATTAATGTCTAATTAATAATTTAGATAACATTTCAGGCCTAAAGAAAAACCTGCAATAGGCAGATTTAGCTCTTGCATAATGTATGTTTAAATAGAATAGTAGCAATAATAATTTGTTACAGAATCTAATATGCAAATTTGCTGGTTCATCAGTTCTGAATCGGCCAATGAATCTATAGTGAACAGGTTTGTCTGTTGTCAGTTGAAGAAAGTAAATTGTTTTAATTCATTACATGTTATTTGTTTTCTTTTAAAAATTTCGCAAACATTTTGTCGGGAAATGAAAAATTTCAATAATATTAATTTCATGCTGCATGATTATTTAGCTATGATTACGATTTATCGGAAATACATGAAACAATTGTTTGTTGATTGATGTGAAAATGAATTTGTTTTTGTAAATTGGAAAAATATATTGTAATAAAAATTTAAATGAACATGTTTGAGATATTGAAATGGGCCCCCCTATGCCTGTCCCAGTTTTTGGAATACAAAGGGTTGGATGACTGAAACACATTCATTTGGGTTAGGTCTAAAAATTAAGGCCAACTGCAGATTTAGTCGAAGGTCACGAGATGTCAACAGATCTAGCCCTAACCCACAATCTTATCAACAATCAGAGCCCTAACCCAATTTACATCTCGTGACCTTGACAAAATCTGCAGCTGGCTTTAATTTTTAGACCTCATGATTCTACACACACCACCTCTATTGTAGATAACCTTTTCAGACCTACAGGGAACAATCGTTGTACAGAGAAATGCAATAGTATTACCATTTCTTGTTTTAACATCATGCCACCTCTAAATTAATTTAATTATCTTGTTGGCAAACAATTCTGGAAATAATATCAGGCACTATTCAACTTGTAGACCTATATGACATTTTGAATTTTGTGCCAGTCACGTATTAAATATTGGGGGATTGGATGGCCGGATGGTTAACGCATGTGCATTGTATCATAAGGTCTGTCAATGGTTCTTTTACATGCACATCAATGTGTACATGGGGCCTCGATTTTTTTTTTGTCCCATCCGAATGCCTATACATTGTTTCTTGCCAGGCCCGCTGTCCTGCACCACTGATAAGGGGGAACCACGAAAAATCAAGATGAACTTTCTCGACCAACACTGGGATTGGACACATGACCTCCTGGTTTGCGAGTTAACATCTGATGTGTTTGAAATGTGAAGGGTAGAGAGAAGAGGTCCCATATCGAGAAGGGTTCCCGTATCGAGAAGAGGTCCCATATCGAGAAGGGGTCCTGTATCGAGTAGATATCCAATATGAGGTACAGAATCAAATTTACAGGTGTCAAGTTTCACTCAATATCTATTAGAAACGTATTAAAACTGCACACCGGGAATTGAAATGGAGTTTATTTTAGCCCATACTTATCCGCACCAACAGGGCAATGAAGGCAGACTGTGGACCAGGGCTCAGACTTTTGAAATGCAAATAAATGAAATGAAATGAAATGGGGTTTAACGTCCTACTGTTCTGCTCCTATACTGGGCTAATGAAGACGGGCATACGCCATACAGTGTGCTATGAGGGAAATTTTGCCCGGGCAGCGGCACTATCGCCTACTCTTATATCGAATTCCAACTGCCAAGGGATCTTTTACGTGCATTCCAATGTTTACACGGGACCTCAGTTTTTCGTGTCATCCGAGGGACTAGACAGCTGTCCTTGTCAGGCCCTCCGTTCTGCACCACTGACAAGGGAAACCACGTCGGAACAAATACTACCTTGTATGGTTATATATAGTGAAGAGTGTTAAGCATGAGGCAGTGGATGTAGGCTTACTATTTATAGAGAATGGGAAATAGGGTTTAACATCCACTCAATACAAATTTTATTTCAATAATTCGCTTGCACATAGGTCTTTAATAGTGGGAGGAAACCATAGAACCCGGAGAAAACCCACGATGTTGTAGAGAGAGAAATGTTGTTAAACGTCCACTCAACACAAACTAGGTCATTTTGGGACTAAGATATGGTTTAATTATATTTCAATAATTCGCTTGCACGTAGGGTTCTTTAGTAGTGATATGGAAACCGGAGGACCCGAAGAAAACCCACGAGGTTGGACAGGCGACCCTATTCCTTGTCACATACAACCGGGTAATTGAAACCACGCCAGTTGACACAATGACAGACCTTATGATACAGCGCACACATGTTAACCATACGGCCATCCAAACCCCTGAGGCTCGACAGACGACTCCTTGTCACGTACAACCGGTGAATCGAAACCATGCCAGTTGTCTCAATGACAAACCGTATGATACAGCATGCACGTGCTAACCATTCGGAAATTCAACCCCTCCCACAAGGTTGGCCAGGCAACCCTAATCCTTGTAACATACAAGCTGGGAATAAAAACGATGTCACATGACACAATGACAGACCTTATGATCTAAAGTGCGTGTCTTACACAAATCGGCCACCCAAACTTTCTACCCACTAAGATAGTGTAAGAACACTTTACATCATTTATTTAAAAATTAAACCAACAGAATAATTTTCGTTTTATTTTTTTAGATTAGAAAAATACAATTCTATTCAAACACGGAGAAATCTTAGTTTTTGGGGAGTCGTGTCCATGATAAAAAAAACAAAAAAACAAAAACAAACAGACAAGAAAACATGCTTTATTGTTGCATTTTTCTACTTTCAGTTTTTGACCTGATATAATTCGCAATAACCGCTCCCTGTTAATTGAGGTCAAAATCAAACAAGCTTGTGCACGAGAGTAATTAATACCCAATCGGATTTGTTCTAACTGCGTCGTTTATTCAAAACGCATACACCGATGCACGTGTGCGTATAGAATTTGATTATTTGTCCAAACTGAGATACTTTCATCGTAATTATTTTAATAAAATTTGCTAAAAATTGGAAAAAGACCGACGCTTCAGATCGCTCTTCTACGATTGAATCCTCTTTAGTTCATGCCGATATTACACAGATATTACTCCGCCAATTGAAAGTTAATGACCCAATTTAATTAAAAGCCATAGAAACTCATTAATGACTTTTCCTACAAAAGTATTAACAAGTCCATAGATTTATTCATTTGCTTTAGGAAATTCTTTTTTAGTTTTGTTCATTTTAAAACTAATTACACAGACCTATGTTTTGGCGCGGTAATGTTATGACCTAATTACTAACAAAAATGGCCGATATCTGAAAGGGGAGTTCATCCTTATTCCCCCTTAGACCACATTATTTACCATATTTCAAATTAGGAATTTTTATATTGGATTGGAATCATGAATTAGTGGGAATAGTGTAGCGTTTTAATCAACTGGATTGTACATAGATAAAATTGGTAAGTAGAAAAAGCAGGTTGAAATCGGGTGATTGACAATGAGTATTCGGATGGTTTTAGGTTTGTACGTCAAGTAAAGGAATTGTCCCGGGCGAATAGAAATCTAAACCCTCCTTGAGTTACATATCACTTTCAATTTTCTCTTTTTGTGCACCACACGTCACTTTCTTAACCTGGTTCTTTTCAAGCTAATTTGGTTTATTTTTTGTATCTCTTTATTTTCAGATCCTTATTAGATGTTGTAACTTTTGTGGACGTAAAAATTTTATGGCTGAAATTTGTGTCACGTCTATTGGCAAGGAGCGATCATTGTCTCACGGCGTGGCGGCCTTCCCCTAAATTTGTCTAACCAAATTAACTAAGTTGCAGATATATACATTAATTTGTATATTCTGAATGGATGTCGTGTTAATTTAACTAATAATATAAATGGACGGTATGTTATCATTTGCCTTTTTTAACCATTTTTTTGTAGAGGGGGGTAATTCTCAGATTCTGTGTGGAAATTGTTATCTGAATATATACTAGTAGTAACCTATTTCCTGCAATTAATAATGCTAGCCTACAATATCAAGCTTGAGCTTAATTAGACATTTGTCCTCGGTTTATTATATAGTCTGGCTGACTGACACATTTATTTGTAGTTTTACTTTGCTCTTGTATTTTATTTATTTATTTCTCAAAAACTTCACATTGACCTATACAGTATACTGCTATAATAATATTTGAGTCCCAATGAACAAGGATCCAAATAGACTGTACATGTATAATCTAGCCTCTGATAACTTCCGATTCCGTTCAATGATATGTCGCATACCAGAGACTGAAATTGGTAATGTCAGTTATGCATTGGTCGGCTAAATTGGACGCACATGAAAAACAAAAGTTTTAACTATTAAATATCCCTGTGTACTTTAAACGTGCATAAGTAATCAATCCAAATATTAAGCCAGAGTTAACTGCTCAATCTTTTACACATACTTTATCTACCTCAAGTCTTGACATTGCACTCTGCTGGATTTTAGCATGTTTTTTTTAGTTTCAAAGTGAAAATACAATTAGGAAAATAGGTCAACCAATTAAATAAAAGACCTAGTTGAAATCCAGCATAATGCTATGGAAAGATAAAGAGTTGGGTAACAAAATGTAAAAGAGGCTGGATTATTCTGTCTAGGATGTAAACTACAGGATGCATTGTTGATCTACATCTAATTAAACAGGAATTCAAATATAGTATATATGCACATAGTATCTTTGGATATATACGAACAGTCACAGAATCACAGGACATCGGCAATAAAAATGGCATTCAGGATTTAAATTAAATGCCAATATTTGACGAAGTAGTCTGTATTTAGCCAGTTTACTTAAAATTGCAAGTTGAAATATACATGTACTGGGACTAGTTTTCTAATGTTGCTCTTCCACAGTTATAAGCTTGTAGCTTGATAACAAAAGGGGAGCTGCGAGGGCTCATTAAGTAATTGTAGCTTGCAAGCCTGTAGGTCTCAAGTTCACTATGGGTGTTGGCCAAGAAAGTTCATCAGGATTTTCCGGCGTGGTTCCCCCTTGCATGTATTTATTCAAAATGTGACAATTTTTATCATTTTCGCTATTTATAAATCAGTTTTTACACATGACAATAAGTTTAAGTTGTATTTACTGGTACTTTGTTTGCATGGCCGAATGTGTTAGCGCATGCGCGTTGTATCATAAGGTCTGTCATTAAGTCAAATGCTGTGATATCGATTCCCGGGTTGTACATGACAAGGAGTAGGGTCGCCTATTCAACCTCCTGACTTTTTTCCTGGTCCTCCGGTTTCCTCCCACTGCTAAAGACCCCTACGCTCAATCAAATTATTGAAATTAAATTGAACCATGTTAGTCCTGAAATTACCTAGTTTGTGTTGAGTGGACGCAAAACCTCATTTCTCTCTCTTTCTCTCTCTTTTTGTGTTTTGAGGTTTTAATTGTTTGAAATACATGTACGTACATACTGTATAATCCATTAATTGAATGGAACATGAATCATCGAACAGTCGGTTGATTGACTACTAGTTAGTGAAATCAGTGACAAGATGAATTTGAATGGCTCCTTTT